GGTCTTAACATTGTGACACCCATCAGCTTCAGGTAAGCAGGTCAAAGGATGAAATCCTGCACTATCTGAGAGTTAGACAAGAACATGGCATCATCAGCATTGCATAAGCAGATCAAAAGATGAGATCACACATGGTTCTGAGAGGAGGACATAGCCACAGCACTATCAGCATTGGGTAAGCAAGTCGAAAGACAAGATCACATAAGTCTGAGAGTAGGATATGGTTGTGACACCATCAGCATTGGATAAGCAGGTTCAAAAGACAAGATCATGCACAAAAAAAACAAGGTAAGTTAGTGTTGTGAAGCACCATAAAAACATACAATATACACATCTCTCTGTGCACAGATGAGTGCCTAGTGTTGAAAAAAGGGTGAAAACACCTGTAAGTAATGTACATACATACATAGATTTTCAAGTGCAGCATTGGAGTCAGCAATATACACCAGTAGTACTCATACCTGTGACCCACACAGGTTTACCTAAACCTGTGCAGATCCCTACCTATGATAAATTCTTACCAGTCAAATAATCCACATTTCAACTCCAGTGCACATTGCAAACATTTGACCAAATGTAAAGACAATACATACTTTGCACTTTAAACAAAATTGGTATAAATAAAATAAAATAAGACTTCTTTTTGTTAGTGAATCAAAATTTGACCAAAGTCGACATCAGTGGTCAGCAGTCAACACTCAACAGATAAATTGATTATGGTAGGTTGACCTATTGACTGTTTACTGTCTACTGTTGATATTGACTATGGTCAATTACTGACAAAAAGAAATCTGATTTTATTTTATTACTAATTTTGTTTACAGTGCAAAGTATATATTATGTTCACATTTGGTCAAACCTTTTTCTGTCAGCTGACTTTGTGTTTTTTATTACATATCAGACAAACAAAGTGTAGAAAAAGGAAGAACATAGGGTGATATAAATTAAAAACTGCATAGAAAGTGATCAGAATGAAAATACTATCTTCCTTGCACTCACTGGAAAAAAATCCCTCAGCTTGATTCTAATGACAAAAGAATAAACACAATATAATTGTGGTTTAAATTCATTCAATGTGTACTATCCATAACTTATTGAAAATATGGTCATTATGCAGTCGGAAGGGAAAAAAGGAACAAAAAGATGTCACAAAGCAAATGTTATGTCTGGTTAAAATGTGTACAAATGCTGAACAAAATTTAAATGTGAGAATAGAACCCAAGCTGATATAGATTAAGGAAAATGTGTGCAAAAAATAAATTGTTGTTATTATTTTCCACCAGAATTAAAAGTGACCCAAGTTTGTCTGAGATCACACTGGGTTCAACATTTGATCAGCAGGCAAATTGGTCCCTGCCCCCAGTGAGAAGTTGAAGAGCAGATGAACCATATCAAGAATGGGGAGAAGCTTACTCCTGAGCTTGAGCCTCCTATGCTGCCTGACTCCCTTCCTTTAGAAAAATCAGCCCTAATGCCTGGCTCCCATCCTTCAGAAACATCACCCCCCCACAACTGCTACAGAGCTTGAGCCTCCTATGACACCTAACTCCCTTCCTTCAGAAACATCAGCCCAAACACCTAGCTCATGTCCTTCAGAAACACCACCCCCCATGACTGCTACATCTTTCACAGCACCCCTTCCCAATTCTTCACCTTCTCCAGTCGAGGATGAGAACAATACCAATCCCTTCATTCCTGATTCCAGTACGTCTGGGCCTTCTCCTTTTGAGGACAACAACAATCCCCTTCCTGCTGAATTTACTCACACCTCCTCAATTACAGATGTCTTGTTGGATCCTGTACTTTGTGTGCTTGACAATTGTAAGTGTTGTATTAATGCTCTGTCATCATCATTGTATTAATACTGTCTTTTTAGCTTTTACTGCGCCTGTTGAGCATCTTCCAAGTCAACCTGATAGCCCCCCCTCCAGTCAGCCTCAACCTCATACTACTACCTCATTTACTCCAACTAATCAAGATTCCCTGATCCCAATGATAAATAGTAGTCATAAGCAACCTGTTAATGACACTGCACCATCCAAGGGACAATGCCCAAAGTGTGCCCGCAAGCTCACCAAAAAGGCACAACAGCTGTGCAGCATGGGCTCTGACTCACGTGAGAGCAACAAAGGACAGCGGAAAGCAAAAGGTGGACAGCGCGCAAAATAGAGCAAGGCCATCATCAATTCAGATCAAGAGAACATCATGTAGAATAGTTTTTGGGCAATATATCAACCATTTTGTGTACACATTACCTCTGTCCATGAGAAGTACATTTGTTATCAAAAAATTGCTATTAAAAACATGTTATTTTGATGATGTACTTGAGCTCGCTGTTGCAGATGATGAGGGCAAGGGTGGCAGTGCTGTGCTGCTGATGATGTTGCCTAATTGAGCAATCTGAATAAACAAACCCGCAGTGTGCCACCGCCAGTGCTCTATACCACATGTACAAGGTAGAAAAGCTTATTACAAGTCTATAGAACCTGCCAGTGTGCACCGCCAGTGCTCCATAGGAATGCTTGGAGGCTTAATTAAGTGGTTCTTCAACAACTGTGGTGCCACTTTACTAACTAGATAGGTGGTAAGTAATAGTGTCAGTGTTCAACAAAGTATCTAAGATATGTCGAGTGTTTCTTGGTTGATAGTCTCGGAGTTTTGTCAGAGAATGCATGTCTTCTTCAACACATTGCCAATGCCCGGACGTCAGAATAGGGACACTCAAAGTTGGGCACACACGTCACACACCGCACACCGCACACACACATGACCCCCTCGCACATGACCCCCTACCCAAAATGGTAATCTTAGATAATTGTCAGACTTTGGACTAAACCTTGCGGCACCCAGCGCTGAACAATACTCTACAGTACTTGTCGTGAATTGTCTACTATATAGCTTTAAAGCAGCATCTCTAAACCTTGCCTGAACCAGTTTCAAACCTCATCATCCCTAAAACCTTACAGGCCATTGTAACCCTTGCCATGTTTGGCCTAGACTTTGTCCCAAAACCAGCAACTTAGATAACATTTTGGGTCTTTCCAAGTCGAGTTCATCAGCCAACCACTAGGTCCGACATCCACAACCCTGCCTCAACCTCAGTACTTGACCAGTCCTAAACCTTTTAAACCCTTTCCACACAGTATATTGTTCAGTATATACAATGTTATGCTTTTTCATATATCATATATCACGTGATCACTCAAAATACGACTTTGAATTGATTACATAAAATATTCAAGTACTTGTGTACAACATGTGCACTGAAGGTTTAGGGTCCAGGGATGACAAGGTTTGAAACTGGTTTGGGCAAGGTTTAGGGATGCTGCTTTAAAGCTATATAGTATGTTGAATGTACAACTTCGACCATGTCTTTGTCATCCCAGTGGCTATACTATTACTATATAATTACAATGTGTTACGTTGTTTGTACCTCAGCTGTTTGTCTACAACACTGAGGTATAGTTCATGTTCTCTTGCACGCTGTCTCTTACTTATGTTACTTCGTCTCCAGACTTGTCTATTAGGTATTATCAATGTCAGCTGTTTGTCTACAACGCTGAGACTTGTCTATTAGTTTCCACTTCCAAGATAGTAGACAATGCACGACAAGTACTGTAGAGTATATATTGTTCGGCGCTGCGATTTGTTACTTAGTAAAAAACTGTACAGTACCAAATATCTGATTGAGATCGTTGCCGCTCATAAGTTATAACTTATAACAAGCTTGATGTCTGATCATTTATTTTCGGATCCTACTAATGGTTTGGTTACGGTTCGAACAGGTTCGCTATGGTCCACAAATTCAGTCAGTCCCCAAACCTCGAACCTCTCGAACCAGACCGTTGTTGGACCGAACCGTGCGTCCAGTTCGAGGTTCAGAACTGGACTGTGGCAACTTTAGTCGTGTGCGTGTGCGGTGTGCGGTGTGCAACGTGTACGCCCAACTTTGAGTGTCCCTATTAAATGATACACACCCATCACAATCCAAATGATCCCAAACTTCCAGGGCCATATTTTAATTGTACTTGTTCACGCAACGCATGATTTTACTCATTCAAGCATTGCGCAGAGGCGTCCTACTCTTGTCAGTGGGGACATTAGCATTAGTGCTTGTCTACTTTCAGGGCCATGTTTTAGCTACACTCGTTCATGCAACACATGATTTCACACGTTGTAGCACTATGCAGGGGTGTCTCCACTCTTGTTAGTGGAGACCTTAGTGCTTGTCTCGACGATTCACTCTATTAGTTTGTGTCACATCTTTTATTCGCAGACCAGTTCGTGTTTACAATGGAGCATAGAGAGCAGTACAACTCGACTGGCTTACTTACACATTCATCTTTCCTTCGTAAGGTCAAACATTTCTAAGTAAGCCCCCCCGCCACATTTATGTTGATTGCTGATGTTGTTACCAATACAAGTTAACTATGACCTTTTCATTTGTTCACCAGTTCACTGATGACTAACCCTGACATTCATTCATGGACAGTTCCTCAGAGGTTCATCTCAACTCCATCTTGATCAAAGTGGTTACCACGCCAGAATCAAAATCTGTTTCTCTTGGACTGCGCAGGTTCGAAATCTGCTGAACGTTCGTTGTTTTGCTATCGGAACACACTTTGATGTTCACTCATGGATGGTTTCCTCGGAAGTTCATCTCAACTTCGTCCTGGCAAAAGTGGTTACCTCAACAGAGTCAAAAAAAATCTGTTCCTCTTCGACTGCGTAGGTTCCGAAACCTGCCGATGAAAAGGTTTGTTTTACTCCAAAGCACAAGTTTCAGGAACATGGGGAGGATATATGGAATCTTGTCTGCTTGCACCACATCATGAGTGCTTCATGAGACGGCATGATGCAGAAGTGGAACAATACTGTGACACAGAAGGTCTTGTCGAGCAATGCGGTTGGAACACTCTTGAGTCTTGACGATTCACTCATAAATGGTTTCCTCTGGTCCATCTCAACTGGGCTTAGCCAAGTGGTTGTTAACAGAGTCAAAATCTGTTCCTCTCGGACTGTGCAGGTTTGAAACCCGCATACAACAAGGTTTTTTGTCTATCGGAACAGCCTCGAAGATTCACTTATGGATGCATCGATGATTCCTCACGCGTTCATCTGGATTCCGAACCGATCTTACTAGCCAAGTAGTTCAAACCACAACGGAATCGAAATCTATTTCTCTTGGACTGTGCAGGGTCGAAACCTGCCGTCGACGTTTTTTTAATAGGAACATCCCTTGACATTCTTCATGGATGATTTCCTCGAGGTTCATCTTATTAGTCTAATGCTTGTCCAGGTATACTCAACACCAGCACATAGAGCACGTTCAAATTTAAAACCTGCCGCGGCTGCGTGCCCAGTGATACAGACCTGCCTTAGACCGGCAGTAACTCTGACTTTCGTGACGGTAAACACCATATATAAACTTCGTCTGATATCAAGACTATGAACTACTATGACTTTCACAATCTTAAATGGCCCCGTCTGTAGATTACTATATGCTCTTTACATGGTGTGTCACGACAGTGCCACAGATGTGGCCCACGTGCCAGTGTTTCAGCGCTCAGCGCTCAGTCCCTACAATAGGAATCGTTGAGCTCTACAGAATGACACGACGTCGCAAGAATACGAATACCCCCAAACAACAAGCCAGAACGGAGCTTGCAGGAGAAGCTCAGAAGACGGACGGCTCTCCGAGTCCATGTGCATCCACCATACAATACCAACATTTCATTCCATAGTTTATATTGCGAAGATTCCAAGTTGGACCTGTGAGGTGTGTTTTCAGAGTCTTCTTGAGCACTCTGCGCGTAGGCACTAGACCAGAACACTGAATGATATTCTTTGCAGGTCCAAAACTGAACGACAAAGAGAATTTCGACAAACAGGTGTTGATCCTGAATACGTCCACTACTATGATATTGCTGCGGGTAGCTTTGACATTCGCCCCATTGAAAAGGTTTACGGGGTACCAAATTTCTATCAGGACGTCCGCAACACCCATAATATTAATGAACTAGAGGAGAAATTAGCGGACCTCGAACGCCATGCAGCCTCCATCATCATGGGGTTGCATAAAGCGCTTCCTCAGGGTACTTTCACTCTGAAGCGGAGGTCACTAGAGCTCCTGCGGAAATTCCTGTTTATCATGCATTATCGTAACGTATCGTGCGCCAACACCTACTTTCAAGCGGATCACCCGGAGAACACAATGAGTCGCCAGTGGATTGAATCCATCATGAAAGCGAAGGATATTCGATCTGCTGTCGAGTTTTGACTATACATCCTCATCCTCAATACCAAGGGCATAGGTGACCTCCTGCTTCCACGCAAAGTATGTATCCGGACCTGTCAATTCCGGGATGTGGTTGAGCTTTCGTATGTCAAAGAAAGACGACGAAACATCTCTAAGAGAATATTACAGCGAGTCGCTGAAACAAGGGCGCATGTCGGTATGTAGCCTGATAAAATTTCATTTAGAAATCGCAACTGATAACCTGTTAGAAGCTAGACGTGAAACACGCTCAGTGGTTGGAGACAACGACTCAATATTATTAGTACCTAGACACAAAACACGCTAGAGAACATAACATTAAGAGACGGCGGGACGACGAGGAACTAGGAACCATACCTCAGACCTCAGTACTAGTGGTTGGAGACAACGACTGAGGCATGCGGAGACGAGACGGTGCGTATTATATATGCAATTGGTGCACATGATAAGTAGGAAAAGGAATAACGCTCCGGGCGATGACGAGAATACTTAGACGAGGTCCGAGGATTCAACAATGCCTAGTAACAAGACAAAGAATGAATGGGGCGCATATGAACTGCAGCAGAAAGACGCTGCAATCGCCCTATCAGGTTAATGCGCACAAGTTCCTAGCAACAGGATCCGGGACCGCAGACCGATTACAATAGAACAAGGTCCAGCAGATAATCTGGGTGACGGTCAACATCAATCAGGATCCCATGCTTCCGCTCGGTAACAAGATACCAAAGATAGCGCTCATATCAAGATGTGGAGTTGAGGGTCAAGTTCGCTCTAGAACCAATCACCCAGACCGAAGTGCACGTTTCACACCATTGATGAGCAAGAACACCGTATGTTATAGCGCATATGAATCGGAATCGCACGGACGTTTATGACCTTTCAGAGAGTTAGCTTGAGACTTCGCAAAATGAGATGATGGATATTAATGGACATACACGTGCGCGATGATGTGATCCGATCATCCTGGTATGTTACACAGCTTCGAGTATTTTTAATTTTATATATATATAAATTTGGGTTTAAAGTAGACTCATCAAAAATGTTCCTGACCTTCAATGGAGTTGTCAAATGGCAGGACGTGTGTTCACATCATGGTCGTGAATGATTTCTTGCTATCTTCTCTACGTGTTCGAACTTTCAACGTGCAGGCTTTCGTCCGCGCAACTTGGAGTCGATTGCTTTGCATGGCCACTGAGGTTGGTGGATCTCAAATTATCAAAATAACGCACCATTGCCCACACAAATGAAGTTTCCCTCGCAACCCCATCCTAGATAGCGCTAATCTTGATATGCCTCGCAAGGCTGCCGTGAAGTGGAGAGGGTTTAGTAATGCCTTGTGAGGTGAGCATGGGCATCTTGGACAATGATGCATCGATGTGATGAACAAATGATGTCGCCGCTCGCGCCTCGGAAGGCATCACGGGTCCGTCGGATTTTCTCTGGACCTGACCACTTTTCCTGATGGCCGAAGCCAACTTGATCCGCAATACTTATTAAATGCATTCCCCAGGCACGTACTATTTAACCAACGTTGTGTGCCGAAACAGAGCTATTTTCGCTAGACTCATAATTCCAAGGTACCCTCTTATCTCGCTACTAGACACGAGACACATGCTCACGATACCACGCGTGCAGCTGGTGCCACAGAGATGGCCGTACCGAACAATTGGATCTCCAATTACGAGAATAGTCGCTTATTTGCGTTTGAGTGACTTTGAGGTAAATACTTATAGTCAGCGGCTGAGCGCTGAAACTTCTCGCTTCTCTTACAGTACTGTCTTATCAGGTACGATGAGTCTGACCGCTGCAGGGGCGATCGGCGAGCACACTGTGCCCAGCGAGAAAGCTCTTAGCAATAGTGACAAATCGTTCGATAGGAAAGGCGACGTCGAAACTGCAACAGTCGATGCTGACTCGGACAGCGAGGAAGGCGTGCTCTCCAATGAACGTGATATTGCTACGCACGTCATCTCGGTGGACGACGACCCTTCTCTGAACCCGTGGACATTTCGTGCATTCTTTATTGGTCTTGGCCTCTCAACCTTTGGTGGAGTACTCGGTGAGCTTCTTTGAGTTCGTTTTAGCCAGTATGATATTCATTAATGTCAATTTGTAGCGGAAATCTATTATTTCAAGCCTGTGCGTAGTAGAGCAAGCATGACGAATTTATGTGCTCATATCATTGCCGCAGCAAACAATTTTAGTGTCATTGATGTTCCTCGCGGTTGTTTCTTATATCCTGGGCGTCTTCATGGAGACCTTTATTCCTCGTCGCGGACTCCTGCGCTATTTGAACCCCGTAAACCAGTTTACCCTCGCTCGTTGCTTTATTCTAAGCATCTTTCACAGGGACCGTTCAATAAGAAAGAAAATGCCTTCGTTGTGATCATGGCAAGCGCCTCTGCCAACTCTGCCTTAGGTTCCGAAGTTCTTGCTGTCCAGCGGTCAGTGACCCTTACTCATATTGATAGAATTTACTGATCTTTGCTAAAGATTGTATTACAATGTCACGCCCAATGCCGGTGCCTCAGTGTTCCTACTCTTCTCTTCTCAACTTCTTGGGTACGAGAATTTTTGTTAAATTTACAGCAGACGCTGACAAAGTTCTCAGTTATGGAATTGGTGGCATGATGAGAAGTATGTCCACAATTGAGTCTGTTGTTGAACCCGGTGTTCACATACATCTACCAGGCATCCTGTTATATCCATCAAAGATGTTATACCCCGGTGTGCTACCATTGCTGTCCATGTTCGATGCTCTCTACGAGGGCGGGATGACAGCACGGAAAAAGCTCAGAGTCTTTTACATTGTGTTTACTGCGTAAGTCCCTCGATTAAGACCGGCAATGATCAAACACGCTGATCGACTCAGTATCTTTTTTTGGGAGCTTTTCCCAGAATGGATCTTTCCGCTTCTGACCGGGTTGTCGATTATGTGTCTTGCAGCTCCCAACAATGCCGCCGTCTCGCGAGTGTTTGGTGGTACAAACGGTAACGAGGGTCTAGGGCTCCTGTCTTTCTGCTTTGACTGGCAAGTAAGTGTGAACACGAACTTTGAAGTAGATCGCGTTACTGACTGGATCTGCGGCAGTATATTTCTCCCGGGGTGAACCCTATGACTATCCCGCTTAAAGCACAGGTATGACCTCTTCTCAGATACGAGGGCCAGAAGTCTTACATATTTTTTGGACAGCTCTCGACTTTTCTGGGCTACCTCCTTTGCATGTGCGATCACTCCGCCCTGATTCGAGACCTTGCATTGACTTATGTCTAGGGTTGTGTTTGTGGCTGTATATTACAACAACATCTGGAAGGCCCAGAACTTCCCATTCGTTAGTCTACATTCGTGTGCAACGGCAGAACATTGACGCCAACTCCCCACAGCTTTCTCAACTCTTGTTCTATGAAAACGGAACACAGTACAATCAAACACTCATTCTCAATTCCAACTATCAAGTCGATCCCACACTGCTTGCTGAACAAGGAATACCTTACTATTCCAGCACTTGGATAGTCTACTTGCTTTCCTCAAATTTGGCAAGTTCACCAAACGTTAGTGAGACTCTGCGGACTGACAGTCTGAAATCCTAGGGTTTGGCGGCCACGTTTAGTCATCTTCTCCTCTGGAATCGTAACGATATATATTTTGCATGGAGTTGGATGAATCCGTCGGGCATCAAAAATTTATGGGCGAATTTTGACTGGAAGTTCTGGCGAGCCGACGGAATGCGGAAGCAAGACGTCGATGATGAGGATATCGATCCCCACTACAAGCAGATGCTGAAGGTTAGTTTTGCATTTCTCTGTATTCAGCTTACCAACATGAATATTTCTGTAATAGTACCCCCGATGCTCCCAATAGCTGGTACTTCGTCGTTTTTCTCCTGTCCTTCGTTGTTGCCCTGGTCGTTTTATACAAGACCGATTCGACTTTGCCATGGTGAGTAGCTGTGATTGGAAATGTGGTCCAGGCTGATGAGCGTTAAAGGTGGGGCTTCCTTGTCTCGCTCTTGCTGGCGACGATTTCTATTCTATTCTTCTGTGCACTCGCCGCGATTACAGGATTGATGTTCGCCATCCAGCCGTAGGTGCTTGAATTCAATTTTGATCTTCGATATTTCAATTTGCATTCAGGTTTGTCCAGATGATTGGTGGTTACCTTCACAAGGGGTTGCCAGGTGATTGCGTTGCTCGTCGTTGATTTATAATGTGCTTTGATTGACGAATACGACAGTGGCAAATATGTACTTCGTTCTATATGGATCCAGTATGCGTCAGCCTTGCGTTCCAAGATCAGGTCAGCTAATCCAATGTTATAGACTCTGTCACCCAAGCCTATCTATTACTCCGCGACCTCAAGATTGCTCAGTGTGCGTGTATTTCAAGCGTGTAGGAGGACAGGGCAATCTGTGTTGACCGTAATTTACAGATGCAAAGCTGCCACCTCGCGCTGCATTTACCGCCCAGATTCTTGGCACGCTGCTTGGTGCTGTCTTGAACTTCAGTGCGTACGCCACTTGTTGCATGACCAAAACAATCAACTGACATTGCACGTGTAGTCATGATGAATTCAATCATAGATAACCAACGTGAAATCTTGTTATCTGTTCAAGGAACCAATATCTGGTCTGGCCAACAGCCACAGATGTACAACTCTCAGGCAATTGCATGGGGTGGACTCAGTCAGGAGCTCTTTTCCGCAGGCCAAAGATACCAATGGGTTCCTTGGGCTTACCTAGTTGGACTTTTCATACCTGTTCCTTTCTGGGTCATTCACAGGTATTGGCCAAAGCTTCGTGCTGATTATCTTTATACTCCAATTATCACGTACGTTCAGTGTTCCTTGAATTACTGACAGCATGCTCACATATTTCACAGCTACTACATCGGATGGCTTTGTGTTGGAATCAATTCATCTTCCCTCTCCTACTTTACTGTCGCATTCGTCTCGCAATGGTGGCTGCGTACGCGCTACCCTCGCTGGTTTGCCAAATACAACTACATCGTCGGAGCCGGTCAGTATTCTCAAACGTCATTAGGGACCCCAGACTAATCAAGTGGTGTAGCCCTTGACGGAGGCACTCAAGTCATGGTGTTCATCCTCTCGTTTGCGGTGCAAGGCGCTGCTGGAACCTCCCACCTGTTTACTACATGGTGGGGCGCGAACCAAGGAGGTAATTATGACCGCTGTCTCATGTTGAACTGAGATTAGTGATCATTGGGTGACTGTGGGACTTATCGCACGTATCATTACTAAGTGTGCGGTATCCATTGTATATAAGCATGGTGCAGCACTATTTCCACGCCCTTCAACTACGCAGCTGAGACGAGGAGCACAGGAAAACGCCTCATTGAATGTGTTTCACGGCTGGAAACATGAGGCCGCTAAGCTCTAAGCAAATGATGCACTGCCACCAATGCTTCTCACCCGATTTCATCCTTTTGGCGAACCGCGCCACTCGTTCCAAATCACTTTTATTTATTTCGATTGAAATATTCATGGCTCCAGCTACAACGTTCCTTGCCCCACTGCACCTCCTTCTCTAACGCTAGCTTCCAGCAGGCTATAGGTGTCCTGCACCACTCTGTCGCAAACGGAGAACAAGGGAATACGTAACCACAGCTTTCAACAACAATAGACCAACGGTTAGTACAATGGAACAATAAGTAAACAACACGCCTTGGACATGCAACTCATTTTGGAGTATCCTTTATCATGATTCGCAGGTGAAAATCCAGACTCAGCAAGATCGACAGCCTGTGTATCTACCCTCACTTCTACCTCTACCACCACTGGTTGGTGCTTTCATAGTTTCTCATGTTCGCCCGTATCGCCAGGTTGCGATTCCTTCTACCCCTTCTTCTTACATTCTCTTCATTGGCAGCTGCTAGAGATGACTCTCTGTGTACGTCTTCACCTACGGTATTGTAATTAGAATATACCTCATGATTTGTACAGTCACTTCCTCCGTGACTTATTGCTCACCACCAGAGAGTCTCCTCATTCAGCAGTTTGACGTCGCATACTTTGCAAGTAATCAGTCCATATGGTTCAACATTTCCGCAGCAAGTGTCGTACGTGGCTCTCTGCTAAAGCAAAGCTTTACCTCATTTTTCTTTCAAGGACGCCAACGTCAATGTGACCGCTAATGTATTGGTGAACGTCTATGGAATGCATCCCGTCAACTTTACCATCGATTTATGCTCGCTGTTCAGTGGTGCCCTGTGCCCATTACCGATGTATAACTTTACCGGTTCCGACTCCATCCCTCTGCCATCTTCCCTCGGTGTTTCCGACAAGATCCCTAGCATCGCTTTCCAAATTCCGGACCTTGAGGCATATGGTATGTTCTCGCTACGTTATACTGGACGTTGCGCTCATGTCTTGTTAGTACAATTATCCCTCACGGAAGTGAACACTGGAGTCCTTAAGGCTTGTGTTCAGGCAACCCTTTCTAACGGCTGGTCAGCACATCAAGTAGCCGTGGAATGGGCAACTGGTGCACTCGCACTACTTGCTCTTCTTTCTGCAGTTTTCTCTTCGTTTACGCCAAACACCCTGGCACCCTTCCGTCTTTTCGATCTTCTCTACCTATATCAATGGACTGCGTCAACAGCACTCCTGGATCTTAATTATTCCTCAGTCTATCAAGCATTTACAACAAACTTTGCATGGGCGATGGGTTTATTCTCCGCGTCTGCAACCTCTCCCATTCAGATTTCCATCAACAACATGCGTCACCTCACCGGAGGCAATATGGCTGATGCCACTGGAGGTTCTGCAGTTGCTCTCGTGAACCGCGAACTTAGCCCATACAATGCCATAGCTTCGTTAACTTCTCTCGCCTCTTCCGATCAATATGCGGGCATCGGCGTAGAGAACCTTTGGGCGTCTTCTAATATGACTTCAGCCAATTATATCTCGGACATCTCGGTAGCCTCTGTTCAAGAACTCTCTACCTCTGGCGATGTACAGCTTGTGACATCGGCATCCACCAATGTTCTCCAGGCCGGTGTACCTATCTATGTCAACTCTGTTGGCATCGCCACGGCCAACGCTTTCATGACCGTCTTCTTGGTCGTCTTGATGATCACCGCAATATTACTTGCGGTCCTTTCCGTCGGTTATTGCATCCTTGCCGCAACATCCTGGTATGGACAACGGACAGAAAGGTACATCGCTAATTGGCGTCATCGATATCCTTCATTTGCCCGTGCCTGGCTGCTGCGCATCGTAAGTATGGCTCGGCCTCCATTTAATCATATTCGCTTACGCATTGTCCTAGTGCCTGATTGTATTCACACCAGTGGCAATATTTGCGTTCTATCAGTGGACGCTCAAGGATTCATGGCTGTCTATCTTCCTCTCAGTGATTTTATTCCTTGCGGTGGTTAGCTATATCCTACATTCTATCGTCCTCGTGCATCGCCTGGCCCTTCGTTCAACGCCCTCTGAACTGTATACGCAACCCGATCTCCTAGCTTCTCATGGTCCTCTGTACGCGATATACCGCTCGGAGCGATTTTACGCGACTACTCCCTTGATATTGGCTATTTTCGTGAAGGCCCTCTTTATTGCCTTTTCTCATGTCAACGGTGTCGTGCAAGTTGCCGCAATCCTCGTTGTAGAATGCATGGTCCTTGCCTCTCTATTAACCCTTCGGCCACACAAATCAAGAGGTGCTGATGTCCTCGCAACCTACCTGGCGATTACCAGAGTACTTTGCACTGGCCTCATGATCGCTTTTTTGGAGAGCCTAAACTTAGGGGCAATACCTCGCGTTGTGATCGGCATCGTGATAGCTGTGATCATTTCGGTTGCGGTCATCGTCATGTTTATCAACACGCTTGTGAACATGGGCATCATGAGACTTGTTCCGGCACGTTATAGACGGCGCCCGGGTGCCACACCCAGTGGTTTGGATGTGGAGAAGGGCGCTGAAAATGATGAGAAAGACTGGCGGCCGCGGAATCCTACGCCAGAGCGGAACATCCCCCTGGATCCTGATGTTAATCAACCATATCCCGACAGTCCTTCCCAGACTGTGACGGACCATCAGAGTCTCTATTCAGAAGAGTCGGGGTCAACAACCCTAGGTTCACTGCTCCCGCGGCGGTGGTCAATCCAACAATCTCAACCCTCAAATCACTCGCGGTCCAACTCTCAATCGCAGTACTCATCAAGTCAATCCAATTATTCACCCTCCCAGTCCAATTATATATCAAATGTGTCGTCACCACGGCAGTCCGTGCCACCTTCGCCGCTACGCACACAATCACCATCACATAGCAGACAGCCTACTATAGACGAGCACCCTCCATTTCCATAGACGTTCCTTTTCCCCCTCAAGTCATTTTCCGTAGAGTTAAAGCACTTTCGCCTTCTCGCATCTGCATGTATCGTTCTTCATCTTGTTTCACTCGCATTCACTCTCACTCATTTGGACAAATCTGGTAATGCATGTAGATAGTTCTCCATGATGTGCATGATGAGTCACGTTATATACTTATTCTTATTTTCTTAAGTTGCTTTTGTTATAGTCTTACGGGCGAATAATTATATTGGTATCCGTAACAAACCTAAGTAATACAATCTCCATCTATGCAGTGTCATTGCACCTACACAGGGCGCAGATCATCGGCATGCTGAAACTACAGTGACAACTTTGACATCCCTTCGTAGCCACTAGATTTAGTGAAGCAATATCCCGATCGATATTCGTAAAGTCAGCGCCAAAGCTGGTTTCTTGGAGATCTTCTGTTGGACTGCAGAGCCACTGACGTCAGTTAGATCACGTTGTGATCGATCAGGCGCCCTTTTGTTCTCCACTCACCTATGTAGGCAAGCTCAAACTGCACATTGTGCTCCTCCCATGACTTCATGACACCAATACCCAAGACTATGACGTTATGGCCAATGAGCTTCGAAGTTGCTCCGAGGAAGGCTGGCATGAAAGCCCCGCCACCTAATCAGCGTAAATCCACAGCACAAAGGTATATCATGTGCTCTTGTCACGTCACGATGGCGCTAACGTGGGCTCTTGCACCTCTGATCGATAACTTCGTCGTGGGGCCGAAGAAAGCCGCGTGTTCGACTTCCCTTAGGCACATGAATAGATTGAGACTTGCTATAGTGATGACATCGGCACTGTGAGCTTCGATGATGAAGCGAAGGGCGAGGTGCCTTGAATCCACTGGATGAACTCCAGAACGTCAAGTTTCATATAGAATAGAAAGTACATTTTACTCCGTGAATGCTCACCTGACATCTAAATTAATGTTGCAAGAATAAACAAGGGTAGCAGTAACCCTGCCGGTGACGGGCCATAATACTGTAATTACTAGGCTTCGTCATGATTAACGACACGCAGCCAAGCCCTATTGTGTTCCTTCTGTACGTTGGAATCAAAGCGCTTTTCGAGATGAGAGCTGAGCTGGGGATGAGCAATCTATTTGTGAGAGCGGAACATGAAGGGGTATCTTTGTCTGATGGCAGTCCCAAGTGATATTTCGGACCGATCAAGGCGCGATTTGGACAAAAATATACGCCCACTGGACACGTTAATCGTTCTCGCGCACATGCTTGTTCGGGTCCACGACTGAATTGAAAGAAGGTTTGGGTTTTGGGGTCAAAAGATTGTCAAAAGATAAGTTTTAAATGAATCACGTGACTAGTATACACGCATTTTGTATTGCAATAAACATAGTTTACGGTTCACCGCGACACGACAACGATGAGCTCTAAAAATTCATCGAAAAAAGCCGCGAAAGCGAAGATCCCTGATAGAAATCTAAGGGTAACCGACTTTTTTACCCGAAGACCAGCCCAAGCGTCGGGTTCGTCGGTTGTGTCGTCTCAGCCTAGTTCAGTCGCGTTGGCCACACGTTCGCGTCAAAGCCACGCTTCAAAATCATCAGCTGAGACATCTGTGACAATTTCTAACAAACAGACCATGACTCCTATTCTCTCTGCTTCGCACACGTCCACTTCTAGTGGTTCTGCTACTCTTCTCTCTCCGCCCCACACAGCATCTAGAACTCGTTCTTCTGCTTGTCAAACACCGACAGGTCCTATGGTAACGCCTCGTATCACACGCAGCCATGCAGCACGGAACACCCCTAGGAGGGTCTCTCAAAAGCGTCCTCGTTCCCCAGACCAGTCTCTTGGCGCCTCTCACCTCCTGAGCGCGTCTAAGGCCAAGTTGCCTCATAAGCGCAAGAAGAAATTCGAGAGCGACTCCGAGAGTGAACGTCCAAGCGGTGTCATCTACGTCCAGAATCCAAGCTCTCCTTTCAAACCATCCGTACTAGCCCCTCCACTCACAGGGCCTCGCACCCCGTCATCCAGTAAGCATCTCATATACAGTAGCCAATCTGACGAGATGGAACTCGTCGTCCCTATACTAGACACCCGCTCCCTCAGTCAAGTCAATGAACAAGTCTACAAGTGGCGCCAAACCACTTTGGCATCACCATCCTCGTCTGTCATTAATGACAGTAGCCCCTGTGACTCAGGTGTAACGGATGCAGGCCTACCAGTACCTGCTAATTCCCCATCACATGACGGCGCGCGCTCGCGCTCTGCAACATCCTTGCCTAATGCACCACCTGAGACGCCCCTTCAACCCTCTGCTTCACTGCCCTCCCCGCCTGACACCGCAGGCGCCCCACCACTTCCCACCACACCCCGCGTCTGATAAAGCAGCCAAGGCTGCGCAGCTCATTGCAAGTATCAAAGCAAAAGCATTTGCCGAAAGCCCCCTGAGCGACGAGGAGAAAAACTACAAGTTCCGCGAGCTCGATGAGAGCAGCGATGATGACCTTGAAAACATGTCTCTCCTTCCCGACAAGAAGGGCAAGGGCAAGAGGTCTGTCTCATTCCATACACTTCAATGTACCATATTTTGAATCCGAATTCTCTTTAGCTCGCATCTTCCAGTCCTGAATGGTATGGATGGCATATTTGACTCGCCGCTATCAAGTGTTTCATCTTCGCCACCCAAACCCTCTACCTCCTACAATCTCCGCAACCGCCGTTCTCCTTCTGCCTCCCCCACGTGCGCCCCTGTTGATACCCACAGGATGTCCCGATCTCAAGTACATACCCGCTCTGGCCGTACAAGCAAGCCTGCACCACCCCTACGCCTTCCCACCATTGTCGTCACCAAGAATGCACCTGGACCCTCAAAGCTCAAGAACTCCTTCAACCCGCTTGAAGCACTCCTTCGCGAGAAAAAGGCTGCGGAGAAACGCGGGAACGGGAGTGCCGCATTCCTGCGTGCTGAGAACGCTTTACAAGCGCACATCTCTTCGGATGTGAATCTGGAAGATGATTTGAACTTGGCAGATGAGGGTGCCGCGTGGCAGGCGATTCAAGAACACGCTCAACGCAAGTCGAGTAGCCCCATGCTCGAACCACTGGAAGATGATGTGTTCATGGGCGAGCGCGAGACTAAAATTCTTGGTCGTGAGGCAGGCGAAAAGATCGAAAAGATCCTCGTCAGTGACAAGAACAGCAAGAGCAAAAAGCCGAAAGGAGAAGTTGTGGGCGTGCCGTTCTGGCAGGAGGGTGCGGATGATGATGGGATGGTTATCGATGAAGAATATAATGTGAGCTTCGGGGGTGCCAGTAACCATCCCGTATTGGCACTTTTGCAGCACTTGGGTGAGATCGGAGGTACGTGTATATATCGGAGCCAGACTTGGGGACTCATGTTCTGGGTAGCCGCCGATAAGCTGGCTTTGACTCTGTCTTCAGGAGTGCTCGGTGCTCTAGGTCCCGAGGAGAAATATATTGTTGTCTCTCCTCTTTTTGCGCTGGGTATGTATCGACACTGATCGAATGATTCATGTATTTGTTCACTCACGTTTTGCATTTCTAGCCATCAGCCTTACTGAGTCCCGCCTCTCTGGAGCGGCATATAGTGCTCTGCGTGGTTTGTGGAGTGCAACATCCTACATATCTAAATCTGTGCTCCGCTTTACTGACATCGCTACTGCACTCGTCAACCTTGGTGCATGTCGTCATGTGGCAGAAGACCTCCGCTGGACTATCCGTGAGGATGTACACCCGTTACATATTACCGCTGAAAATCGTTCGCGTGTTTTGAGTAAGCTGGTAACGCTAGTGGGCATTGCTGGTCGGTAGGTATCAATCATTCTTTCATAGACAGAAACGTACTCACGCATGACGAATCACAGAACGGAAAACCTTGTGGCAGAAGATATCCCGGACGTGCTGTTGAGCCTCGTACTGATTGGCCTCGACAGAACCACTTCGAACGAGTTGAGGGCCAATTTACATCTCGCCATTGACAGCATTTGCCGGACTATCAATACGTCAACTGTGAGTTTGCATTCCCAGAATCTAGCGCGTCATTCGTCTGAGCGTCTTGTAGCACCTTTCCATTCATCAACGACTTCTCAGCCATGCATCTACACTTACGCCAGCCAATAAAGCTTATTTTGTTTCGTTCTTTAGTAGCGGCAGTGGCCGCACTCGTCACATCGCACAATGGCTAGCATATGCGCTGTTCCTTCCAAACAGTATACCCTCTGTACGTGTCTCTCCTACCATGTCTAGGTTTTGTTTCACTGACCGACGTGACTCATAGGATGCACTCCCTCCACTCGATCCGCTCATCCTTCTGCTTTCACCTATACCTGGCTCTGATGAGCTCTTCGACGTGACAAGCGCAAACGCGGATTTCGAGGACCTCGGGCATTACTTCGCTATCATCAGTGTCGCGCTCGCAAACATCGAGGCCTACGTCCATGAAGAGCACTCGTCTTCCCAGTTGCTTTCTCGCCAATCATCGATAGATGATAGCCCCCGGAAGAGTCAGAAGCCTCTTGCTCCCCTCGAATTACTCCTGCGGGTGTTAGAGGTCACGCAGGGGCGTATTGGTGAGCATCTTTGTATGTAGTCAGTCTCGTGCGGTATTGACGATAGTTTGATGCAGTCGACACGCGCGCGGCGCACCTGGATCGCTCACGCACCAAGGCAGAGATGCATCGCCTCCAGATGCGCGTGTATTATCAAACGCCAGGCGCTCAAGCCCCCCGCAGCGTGGACAAAGACGGCCACCATCCAGCATTACTTCGGCCCCAAGTAGCCCCCCTAAGTATACCTAAGTCGCGCATTTTGCATGCCTCGCTTCTCTGTCATGCGACTTCATATGGAATGTTAACCTTATTCTATACGCATCCACTTCGCTTTTGCATAATGCCCCTTTCCTCATGTTTTCCTCAGATGGTGCTTTCTTTTAACTGTATGAGCTACCGACGATGCTACTTCCCCGTCTCCCCACCTGCTGCAGTAACATATTGTGTCCATTATAGCATGCCTATTGTAGATGAATTTGCTGTCAACCAGCTTTAAATCGTGTATGCTACCTTTCGTATTTGTAGCTTGCTCTTAATGTTTTTTCGGTTTTTGTATGACGTGTCAATTACTCAATTCTTTATCGTATGGGTAGTGAATGTGCATACAATCAATACGTATCCACCGCCATTTCTACGATGTATAAGCCTCACTCATCTGAGCCTAATGAGTTCCCAGCCCGCCCGAACCCCTTCTTAGCAGCCAGCCGTGGGTCCACATACAGGTCATCCGAGTCATCGTTGAGGTCAAGCTCGATATCCCATACTGGCGACGGCTCACGTGGAGGTGGAGGCCCGGAAGATGCGGTGGGCGGAGGACTGTCAAGATCAAGTTCTATATCCCATACTGGGCTTGGGCTGCGTTGCGCTGGTTCTTTTCCCTTTCCTTTGCCCTTAACCCCGCTTTGTGTAGGTATCGAGTCCAATATCGCTTTCGAACCTGAGGCAGCCATAGGTTCTGCCACCTCCGAAACCTTTTCTCCATTGGACGTAGACACGACCTCATCGCCAGCACCCCGTGGGAGTTGCGAGCCTACAGAAAATACAGCACTGGTAGGATTTCGAAATGGTTTGTCGAAGGCGTCTTTGATGCGACGGACTTTCACGGGGCCAAAGCCTGGTAAGGTCTGGAGGCGATCAGATGGGGCGCGAGCTATGTCGGCGAAGCTCTGGCCCGTTAGCTAAGTATATTTTAAATCGAAATAGTGTGAAGATGACATACCCCAAGTGACGAGCGCAAAGTCTCGACGTCGGTTTTGTTCACTTTATTGATGCTGGTGAGCGCAGTGCGGAGGACGGCATTGTAGTCCTTATCCACACGCTCCTTGATGAGATCTGGTGGCTTGTGCTCAAATTGCTTGAGTGTAGAGATGTACTGCCCTGCTTCTTCGATACTGCAAAAGTGAAGCAGTCAGTTGTCTGATTAATTAAGAGAACTGTGAACGAATACCTCCATGCGACGATGATGGTGATGTTATTGATGAGACAGACCTACGTGGAGCTGAGAATTGGTGGTCACCAGTGGGAAGGGGCAGACCTTGGTAAGCTCCCGGATTGGCTCCTGATGCTCGCTCTGCGGGTGAAGGAATTTAGAGAGCTCTGGGTGGGAACTCGAGAGCTACTTACCACATCACACATGATAAGCAAAATCCTGAGATTGAATGCATGCCCAAGTTTTTCTATGCGAGTATGAATGTACTCTGGGTGCAGGCGGTGATATTTCAGACTTCAATCCAATGTCAAGGATGCACTTCAATGATAAGCAACGCGAGACAGAGCCCACCTGAGAAAGAGAACGCCAGAAGTACGCCCCACTTGGAAGTCGGAGACAATGTCGCCAAATTCTTTGCCAACATTGCGAATGCACTCGAGAACGGGGTTCAAGCGCTGAGGTTGCTTACATCAAATTGAGTCAAGAGAACTGACAGGGGCACTGACCTGGTTGGGATTTATTATAATATTGTTGCCTGTGCCAGGCTGTACTACAGGAGGTTTGGCTTTTTGAGCAGCGGATCCCCCTGCTGCTGACACGCTCGTCATAAGAAGGCTTAGTAATCAATGATCAGCACCTCAACAAATAAAGGACCCGTTAATCGGAACCAACCCGTGACAGTGCTCCGGCCCTTCTTGTCCGTATGATCAACTGACAATCACTAGTACTGACAAGGACTGACTGTGATTTCCCAGCTAATTTTATTTCGTTATCATACACCGTAGCATATAAGGACCAGCGTCTGTCATTACTTGGCTCTTGTTCATCTCCTTGTTCGGAATGGACAAGCTACCTACATATTCCGAGTCTCCACCAGTTGACTTTCCGCGACTGGCAAGATGGAAGCTGAAGCACAGAATGGCACCAATAGCACTCACGTTGTGTTTGATATCCATAGCGAGCTTACTTTTATCTCTGTCACAGATCGCGTTACTAGGAAAGCAGGCCGTTCAGCTCCCCCTCCATGCTGAGCAGATACTGCAGAGATGCAACATGCTACACGCAAAGCCTGGCCCACCTTCCGACTTTCACCAACGCACTGAGTCTGATCGTTTTGTCGAAGGAACCCCCGCGACTCTCATTAGAAATGCGTCCATTTGGACTGGAGATCGGGAGATCACGCAAGGGGATATCTTGCTCGATAAGGGTATCATCAAATTTGTTGGACATGCAAGTCCAGGTATGTTCAACAACTTCAAGGACTTGGTCACATTGGATGCAGGTGGAAGTTGGGTCACACCTGGGTACGCGTGCACATGATCAAACCTCTCTTTCTCTTCTCTAATCCTACACCCAGGATAGTCGACCTTCATTCCCACCTGGGTGTTGACAGTGCCCCAGCTCTAAATGGCGCAGGTGATACCAATTCATTGAAAGGTATTACATCATCTCATGTCTCAATGATGCATGAAGATCCATTTTTTTTGCAGGTCCTATCTTACCCTGGCTTCGCAGCCTGGATGGACTCAATACCCACGATGATGCCTACAGACTCAGCATATCCGGTGGCGTAACCACCGCAAATGTCCTTCCTGGATCTGCTAATGCCATTGGTGCGGTCAACTTGATTCCTTGGTGTGGTGCTATTAACACCTCCTACAGGTGGCCAGGCTTTCGTTATTAAGCTTCGTCCCACTGCAGAACGCTCTCCCTCATCTATGCTCCTGGAACCACCCTATACTCTCAATGGCACGCATGTTGATCCGACCTTGCCTCCAAGATGGAGACAAATGAAGTGCATATCCTTTTCTTTTTTGAAGCACATGTACTGATCTATTTTAATCACAGACACGCGTGCGGCGAGAATCCCAGTAAGCTTTCATTCTTCCTTATCTCGCATATCCTTGTCAAACACGAATTCGAGGTCGTGTATACGGTAACACGCGTATGGACACTTTCTGGGCTTTCCGACAGGCGTGCGTTCTACAGGCTCTCCTTGGCTTCCTTCTCATGACAACACCTATACCCACAGATATGATACTGCTAGGCAGATTAAAGAACAACAGGACGCGTATTGCACTCGTGCGCTAGCAGGTGAATGGGAAAACCTCGGCGAGTTCCCTGACAACCTACAGTGGGAAGCGCTTGTCGATGTATTGCGCGGGCGTGTCAAGGTATGTTTCAGTATTTCCTATTATGTAAGAGGACATCCTAATATCTTTTTCCTTGAAATCAGGTTCACACGCATTGTTATGAGGCGGTTGATCTGGATGACTTTGTCCGTGTGCGTAACGTCGAAGTGGTTGTGCTATGGGTTGCTGATGAGGTTTGAACAATAGCTTACCAACGAATTCCAATTTCCGATCGCTGCGTTCCACCACGCTCATGAGACATACCTCGTCCCAGGAACTCTTAAGCAGGCGTATGGTATAGTGATCTCGCTTTACTGACCTCTTATTGTGTTGATCCGTTCTGCAGGCCACACCCCTGCAGCAGCCTTGTTCGCCACGAATGCCCGGTACAAGCGTGAGGCATACCGCGGGTCGGAATTCGCTCCGCGTATTCTAGCCGAGAACGGGATCGACGTCGTGATGAAGGTCTGCACATTTGTGTTCCCCCTGACTCCTATGCTGATTTGATGTATCGCACAGAGTGATCATCCTGTCCTCAACTCTCGCTTCTTGTTATACGAGGCGCAGCAAGCGTACATATACGGCCTTCCGGCACATCTTGCTCTTGCAGCTGTTACGTCGACATCCGCGCGCATCATGGGGCAGGACCATCGGATTGGATTCATCCGCGAAGGTTTGCTACTATCTTTTCAAAATCGAACACATGCTGACATATTTCCAATACCAGGATATGACGCTGGTCAGTCCACTTGCTGCATCTCTGTCGCGAACCGTGACTAATTCTAACTACCACCCAGATCTTGTTGTATGGGATAGCCACCCTCTCGCGCTAGGTACAACGCCACAACAAGTCTGGATTGACGGCATTCCCCAACTTTCTGAGCCCGCCGTCGCCTCAAAACCTGCGTCCTTCCAACAGGCCCCGCGCACACCAAATTTTGATCTCGAAGCTGCCGCGGCTATCAAGTATGACGGTCTCCCGCCCCTGACGCCGAAAAAGGCAAAAGATTTGGTGGTGCTTGCGAATATAAGTAGCATGTTTGTGCCGGATGGAATGGGTGGTGTAATGAGTGTGGCCGAAGTAGGAGAGGGCAGTGTGGTAGCACTCAGGAAGGGTGTGGTGCGATGCTGGGGTGCTGCAGCTGCTTGTGCGGATGAATTTGCCTCAGAAGATGCCGAGTGGATCGACCTCGAGGGCGGGTCTATCGCGTGCGTTGTCACTGACTTTCAGCCCTATTCTCTCATGTTAACGCGACTTACGTAGTCCTGGCCTTATCTCTTACGGCTCCCCACTTGGTTTGGAAGAGATTCAAGGCGAGAGCTCAACGCACGACGGCACTGTTTTCGACCCTCTCACCGGCTCTATCCCAAGCATTCTCGCAGGGAGCGAGCTCATCAAGGCTTCGGATGGTCTCCAGTTTGCTGGGCGCGACACGCTGTAAGTTGTCTATCGAATTACCGCTATGTCTGCTCTAACTCACAATCACGCTAAAGCATTGCCTACCGCGCGGGTGTCACTACAGGTGTCACCGCGCCAAGCTCAAATGGGCTCATTGTTGGGCTGAGTACGGCGTTCAGCACTGGCGCAGCGCACAGACTTGAGGACGGGGCTATCATCCAAGATGTTGCGGCACTGCATGTGCAAATTGGTCACTCAAACCGAGGACCGAGTGTCAGCACGCAAATCGCAGCACTAAGGAACATACTGCTGGATGATAAGAGTAGTACCACGTTTACTGAGGTTGCAAAGGTATGTTTCCATCTGTCTTTCTGTGTCATGATGTATCTTAATGTATATCCCATAGGGCGCTATACCCCTGGTTGTGCAAGTCCAGAACGCGGATATCATTGCCTCGCTTATCGAGCTGAAGAAAGAGATCCGCGCGCGCACCGGGACTGATATTCAACTCACTGTTTCAGGTGCTGCTGAGGCCCATCTTCTTGCCAAGGAACTTGGTGAGGCGGGCGTCGGTGTTATTCTCACACCGTCACGTCCCTTCCCTGATTACTGGGAGTCAAAGAGGATGTCAGTGATTATGCATTAGACTGTGTCAACAAACTCATTATCTACCAGATTGCCTGGCCCGCCATTGACCCATGAGAGTGCTATTACCACCCTCCTAGCTCATGGTGTTACTGTTGGTATCGGTAATGTGGAGCAGTGGAGTGCTCGCAACACGCGCTTCGACGTAGCATGGGTGTGTAGATTCTCTTTCATCAAGTTTCCGGCTTATCGTATGGCTACCAGGCTGCTCTTGAGAGCTTTGATAGGATCTCAAAGGAACAAGCTCTCGCACTTGCGTCAGTCAATCTTGAGAAGCTGTTGGGAGTCAAGCCCTCTGGAGGGCTCGGCGATATGGTCGCAACTCGTGGCGGTACAGTCCTCGACTCTGAAGCGAAAGTCGTCGGCATTATCTCAGCTCGCAGAGGCGTCGTAGACCTAATCTAGATATAGGATAGCAGCAGGACAGCATTCGAGATAGCGATACACGGGAAGGAGGATACCACGGAGTGCAGCGTGGCACGACTTTGATACTTATGAAAAGTGCTTATTGCGGCTTTCCTATGAGGGACTGTCTGATATGGTCCTGAATCAAAGGGAGCCCTTTCATAATGAGCTTAATGGGTTTGGTCTCGTCTATGTTGATCGAATCAGATCTAAACGTAGTCACTTCTAAAAGACACGAACCGATCTGAAGGACTCTACCATGTCTCTTGAGAATCCTCGCTTCAGGAGCAAACGCTGGGTGCTCTGGATGGACAATTACGACCGAGTTCTTTGTGGCATATGATTAGATATGCTAGCTGCAACAAAACACGATACAAACCTTGGAATACCATGCTCGGAGCTCATCAGCGTCCTTGGGTATCAACGGGATGCTTATGCTTCCCACAACCTGTATCACCGTATTGACATAGCGAATCATGCCGACCGCTTAGTAGAAGTGAGCTACCTTCAAGTATGTTTAGAGTACGAGATACGTACGACGACTCTCCATAAGCTCCATAAGTGCATGACAGCCGGGGCCATGTCCAATGAAGACAATGTTTTTCGCTCCCGAAAGCCTGAAGAAAACTTAGCTTTTAGAGCTAGGAAATTCGTGGAGACGGCCAACTGTATATAGTTATCCCATAGGTATGTAAGAACGTCTCGTGTCCACGACTCTACGTGTTTGTGGCCGCGCTGACAGGCCAAAGGGGTCAATACTAAATACCACAACATGAACACTAGTATACGTACCGGCAGAGGCGAGGTAAATGGTCTCGGGAAGACATTGACATCGAGCAGGGCATATTTTTCCTTCATAATCCATGAAATGAGTTCCTTCGAAAAGTCGATCTGGGACATGTTAGCATGAGTTGTATAAATGTGCCGTCAAAGATGGGCAGCTGACTAGATAAGAGTTCTCCATCTGCACATCGCACGTGGGCTTTCCGTCCAGTTCTATGCGCAGATTTCCGCTGTAATAAAGTCAGCAATGAACAACGAGATCACTCGAGGAATGTTCACAATTCATGGACAAATACAATAATTGTAGGATTTTCTAAAAAGTCGTTCCTGCGTTTTGCTCAGTCTAACAAAGTAGTAACAAATCAGACTACGCACGTGCACATAACTTGAGAGCCGAAACGCTCTTCAAACATCTTGGTCATTAATGGAACCTGGAGCATTTGGTATTGCGTGTAGAGAAAGTGTTGTCTGTGGCCCTTGAGAATTTCTGCAAGGAAGTCATGAAACGCGAAATACACGACATAGAAGGAAATGCTTACCTGGGATTGAGAATGATATTTCATCGACCTCTGTAAGGAAGTTTGTATGAGCACTCGACTGTTTCCCGCTGGATATGAGGAGACAAACCTTCGCGTGGTTCACAGGCCTTGGGGTTCACGCTCTTCCAGTATTTGCTCTGTTCCATAGCAACTTGCCAAACTGTTTCTGTCCCTGCCTCAGACGCAACCATAGGGGGGAGCTCAGGAGGAGCCTCGCCAAGAAGTACGCGAGCGACTGCAAGAGAAGAGTTAGATATCGAATCAAGGTTATAGCCACCCTGTGGAAATTGGAATCGGAAACTCAGAATGTCATGGATTAAGCTATCATCAATAAACCTACCTCTAAGGCGACGACTAACTTTCCACCAGCAAGCCCCGATAACATGTGTGTCATGTGTGCGTATCCCGCTGGAGAAACAAAACATTCGCCAAGATCATCCCCAACAGCAGCGTCAAAGCCAGCAGAGACTTCATAATGTTAGCCCGCGGGTGGCATGAAAATAAAAGAACACACTAATCACTAGGTCTGGAGCAAATTCCATTCCTATTGGCATCACGATTTGTTGGAAGGCGTGAATATAATCCGCATCTGTCATGCCCTTCTTCGGCCAGGGTATATTGACAGAGCTGCATTCATCAACCTCTGTGAAGCTGAACGAGGGGTGTTCACTCACTAGCCGAGGCCAGCCCCTTCACCACAGGATTCCATGCTGCCAAATGGTCCACACGGGTAAAATTGCCCTCGCTCGTAGCGATGCAATGAGATGTACAGAACGGAGGGATCATCATTGAAAGCACGCTGTGTTCCATTACCTATACAGGCATTTATATGATGAAATTCATTTAGTAATTGACGTACCATGATGTACGTCCCTTCACAGAAAGTAAGAATACGTATAAAAGAAAGATCGCGAAGACCTACCAGTCGAGTATCAAGATCTTTTTAACTGGAGTCAGAAACTGTGTGACCTTTGCAGCGACAGCGACATTGTTAAAAAAACAAAAACCCATGTGCTCCTCAGGCTCAGCATGGTGCCCGGGGGGTCGTACTATTGCAAAGGTCTTCTTCAGCTCACCACGAGCCACAGCGAGACAGGCCTCAATCACGCCTCCACAACTCAAGCGCGCAGCTCGGGTAGTACCGCTGGTAACGTACAGAGATAGGGACTCATAATATGCTTCTGATTCAAAAATTTCGGACGGTGTCATTGCTGAAGAAGCAGGTAAATTCTCGAAGTAAGCAATGTATCTTATGCATGAAACACTAGTGCGGATATGATTTACGAGCCGCCACTCACATTGAATCGCAAGGACCTTGTGCCAATGTTCTTGAGAATGGACAAGAAGGACTTCATCTCGCTTTACAGGTCGAATCGGGATTTGTTTCATTTTCTGCAATAAATTCGCATCGCGAATTGCCGTTCGGATTCTTGATATTCGTTCTGGCTGCTCCGGATGCTCCCCAGTTGCCGATGAATGGAGCATCATGTCCTGAGAATAGACATAACCGACCGTGAAATGCGGCAGACGGTGCGGCACGGAGGAGGCGCGTTGGACAGGACTCAATGAACGTTGAATGGATACTTGATCTTGGTGATGGTCTTCTCCATCTACGTCCATTGGATTTACTTGTCCTGTCATGGTGAGCTCAGTACCAGCCGCGCTCGATAGAGCTCGGAGACTTGTTTGAAAGAAGAATGAAGGAGATAAAATCACTATAGATCCAAAACTTTAGTTTACAGACAAGGAGGGCAAGTGAACAAAACAAGACCAAACACCGGTGAACCTGCCGGTAACCAAAAACATGATACTTATGACGGCATGCGACTACCAGTAACCACATGCCATGCGTGTGCACCGCTCCCTTCTCAAGATCCCAGGACTGAGCTCAGAGCGCTGAGAGCACAGGTGAGATTTTTTTAGCTTGGATGTCACCATAGCGATCACGAATGCTTAGGTTAAACTATGTATTCTTACCAGTTCCGACTCCGAGCCGTGCACAGACTCTGCGGAATCCGTTGAGTTCACTAATGAATTAAGTCCCGGGTTACCGTGACCGCCACGACTACTACTACGCCTCAAGGTCAGCACTATACTTTATTTTCACTCTTCCCCACACACCATCACCTATTAATATTTGCTTACAATGTGCTTTCTCAGATCCTGCTAGATCTGGCATCTAATTTTCTTTTTTCTTGGCGACCCGATTTTCATTACCCACCGCGTTATTAGGTTCCATTAGCGCCATGGCCTTCAGCCTCAAAAACTACCTGCTGTATTCCCCGTATTTTTGTTTCTGCATACCAGTGCGATTCGGATTCGTGCTATTGACTTGTCTGTCCTTCCTGTTTTCGGGTGTACTATCTGTTTTGGTGTGGTTTGAACTGTCTCGTGCGTGTGCTCAGGTCTGTCACATTATCATGATATAACACTGATCATGTTGTTAGATTCGTATTCACTAACTAACAAGGAGAAAATTTCCTTTTGGGCTGTGGGCATTATAGAAACCATATTGCTTGCTGTGTCTGTCATTGGGTGCGTGTCATACATACCTCATACTCTGAACCAATTCTTACTTACTGGTGACCTTCACATAGGTTCATTGGCGCGGTTGCCCGCAAGCAACGTTTTGTTGCGATTTACGCATACTTCGTCTATATCCATCTTCTCCTCAATGTCATTGTCGGCATCTACTTCCTCGTTACTATCCGCCAGAGCAACCGACAACAGCTAGTTGACGAATGCTATGCTGTACTCACCAACAATCCATCTGAATCCAACTGTCAAAGCCTCATGAATGTTTCAACATACGTTTTCATCGCTGTGGTATCACTTGTATTGCTTCTTGAATTATGTGCGTCCAATACATGTCCCTCTGCTCAATGCTGATGGGCATCCATCGTCATTTTAGACGGTGCTCTCATCGCCACTCGTTATCTAAACACACTCGCAAAGCAGAAGAAGGTCGAACACAGTCGCAGATTGGGATTATACCATTCAGTTGCCAACATCCGTCCCAGTCATTCTCGCGATCCAAGCGGCATGTCTGATGACATAGAATTGCTTCATCATCGAGACAGTTCCGGAACTACTTTTTCGTCACTTGGAGGTGCATATGATTATGGTGACGACGTTCTCGACATAACGCATCCACCTACAAGCAATGAGCTTGTTCCGACTCATCACCCCGATATGCTTTCCCATAACCAACGACCATCACAGTCATCAAGCACTCCCACCCATCGGCAGCAGCCATCTCATTCAAGCGCATACCCTTCATCCAGTACTTCTTCACCTCCGCGAAGCTTCCGTGCACTCCCCCCTCGTCCGTCGAGTAGTGTAGTTGCTGAAATCCCAGCGACAAGTATATCACCGCAAGTATCGGATCAAACGCCACGTACTACGACAATCTCTGACCCTCCGTCGAGCTTCTCGTACGAGAGCCGTGATCCATCAACACATCCGAATGATGACTTTGATCGACGATCAACATATTCTGTTTCTACAAACGCACATGCAGCATTGATGGAACATGCTTCGTTGATGTTGCCAAGGTTCTTTCCACCATCTAATGTTCCTCCAGTTCCGGAGTTGCCACCGTATAGTCAGTCTGGGGGATAGTATGGACTCGATGGAATAATTCCTCGATCTACTTTGACTTTTATTATTGATGATTTTTATTGCTACGACACACCGTAGTTTTGTTCTGTTGCATTTCGACAAACTCTTTAGGTCAACATATGTAAAATTTTCTATAATGGACAGTGATACCGGGATGTATTCACATTTTAAACATGAAAACGACTCTCCGCTTGCTGTTTTGAGGCTGTTGGACAACAGGTCCAAACACCGGCCTTGATGCCAACACTCTACAGAGACTTGACAGCAGAAGCAGTACTTGGCAGGGACGAACATAACGACTATATCTCCACGGCGAGACATACTAGATGACATGCACAAGCGTCATGACGCCCAACGCCAGCACATCATCGACTCCGTACGTTTCTGTCTTTCTGAACATTATGTATGAAACTCACGCCGGACCACACAGTTGCATGACCTATTGTTCCAATTGCATGCCGTCTCCTTCTTTCTCGCGCCCTCACTCGTACCACTGGTTACCAGAGCCATGTGTTGTCAATTCCTGTGCTACAAGCCGAGGGAGATCGACCCCAAAGTCTCTCTGCGATCGTGGTTCCTGCTCACTTTCTTCCTCAATTTCCCAAGCTTCTGGTTACATGCACGGGAAGGCACGGGTGAGGGGCGGACGGTCGTGCTGGATTTTGTCGGAATGGGTGCGTCCATTATTCTACTAGCTTTCATGAAAATGAAAACAATGACCTCACAGAGTATGGACCCTCTAAAATGCATCTCCTTCTGCTTGACGTCCTCATCTTGGTTTTCCTATTGCTGTTGGAAACGCTCGCATACGAGAAGTCGCTACAGCAGTCATCCTCTATCACCTCCGAGGTTCTCCTTCGACATCCCTTCGTCCCCACACTGCCACTCTCATACTCGGACGAGGATGAACAGCCGAAACCTTCCCGCAGTGAACGAACATACATAGTAGACCTGCGCCTTGCGCCCCTGATAAATCGCATACGACGGCCGGCCCCAGATGTAGTAGAGCAGCCTATGGAGGCACTTCCACTTCCTAATACCACCAACATCCCCGTGATACCCCTCCGTATTCAGGCATTCATGAGGACGAGAGGACGTCCGTCGCAGCCCGAACATGGTTTCACAGCTTCAGGTGGACAGGAACAAACTGAGACGGAGCAAAGGTTACCAGGGAGCATGGGAACTGAGGATGTCGACTAGTTAACGTCGTATGTATCTTAATGGCATGGCTTTCCAAAAGAACGCAAATCTACATCATCTCCTGGGCGTCTGCATCTTCGCATACATTTACATAACTAGGCATCACCATTTGCGTTTCATCTTGAGAAATATACAGGGTCAGAAGATGCGTCCTTTATCATCACAAAGAAGACATACAGCTTCACGCAAACACTGCCCGAACTTTTCAAATTCCTGTTTGCAAGAATCTTTGCGAACATCTGTATAAGCAGCAAGTATGCATTTTCCATATGCCGTTGCATGCGATGAGCATGTGGTAGTCGAATGCAGTGCTAACTGCCTGAGAGGCGTCGTGCTTGTCTTTGCTGTCTGCATGACCGACGACTGGGAGCAGCACTGCTCCCGGCAATTTAAACTGCTGATTAGTCAACGACGATGAATGCCGCAAATTGCTTAAACGGCGAATAGCGGCTTCGGAACTTCCACTGACCAAAGCCGAATACATGATGCAGCTCTAACGCACACACCACCACTACATAGCACGAAGGGCTTCAAGTCATCCGACGCGGAAAGCGCGGTATATAATAGTCTTTCAAGGTCCTAGTCGTACCGTTGTCGAACCTAAATCTGTGAGAGTCACTGCAACATGCTTCAAGTTTACCTCCTGGTTTCTTGCATCTGCGTGCTCATAGCCGCAGTCTTCTATACTTTCTACTGGAACCGCATTATTTCTGGATTTATTAGTCTTCTCCTGCGAATCAAGTATTGGCGACAAGGAGGCTCCAGTATATGGGTGCACATCGGTCGGTTTTCCATTACACTCGACTCATTGGCACCACTTAAGGTATAGTTCAGGATCCATACACCTCTCAATCCTCGCGGGACGCATACTACTCAAAGATGTCAAATATCATTCCAGCAATATGACCGTCAAAATTGTGACAGCTCAAATATCTTGGAGATATTGGTTGCGCGTCCCAGCCACTGAGGATGATCTGAATCACGCCCATGTTGGTGGAGAAGAGTGTAAGACTGACGCTTATTTGGCCTTTTTGTGCATTGAGTAACAAGTGCGCGTTCTGACAGTCAACCATACGTCGCCGTTCCCTTCTTGCCGAATCAAGGTCTCCGTCCAAGGATTCGAGTGGCTTCTATACAACAAGACTGCAGCATATGATCATATCATCTCCCAAATGCAGGCTAAGGCATCTCCATGTTCAGAGGTCTCGGAACCTCACAGAATGTTTTCTCCTACTTCAGGAGCTGATGGTATGTCATTCCATGTACTTGTTGTTCATCTAACTTACTTGTTTGATCATAGGGCTAGGTTTCTACCCCCCTCCTGCACTGGCAAACATCAAAGCGCTTCCCGTCATTCATGCTGCACTGGCGTGGATTAAACGTCAGATGCCCTATCTGGATCCGAATGACATTTTGCCCATTGCACTCGAGTTGTCCAAGGTTGCCATCACTTGCGGCAATCCTTCAACACCAAGTCTGTTGGTCGCAGAGTGCCATAGAGCGGAAGGCACGTTTGGGATAGTCCAGGTCGGCTTGTTCATCTTTGGTATGCATATTGATACCGACACCTTGGATAGGCGAGGTCGAAGTGCGACCTCTATAAACAGCTCTTGAATTTGAACTTTCAAAAAGTGCTCGTGCAACTTGTTGAGAACGACTACTACCAGGGTAGCATGCCAACAATAGGGCATCGCATTCGCGAGAATGCAGAAACATCGAGGTTCGTCGCGTTTGTGTTTAATGATTTCGATTGACGTCATTGCTGCGTATTCAAGTCGGTTCCTAGAACTAGTTCCTTTAGGTTATCTTCCATTCCGGGCATTCTCCAGGATTTGGAAAGGACTGAAGTTATATACGTCTGGCCATGGCTCGTCCGTTCACGACCGCCGCGCAGCTGAGAAGTGTTTTGGACCTATGCCAAGCAGAAAATCAGCCAAGAGCATTGACGAAGAAACACCTGTTGGCGCTGACTTTACTACTCTAGAGTATGCTATTGAACGGCGGATTATCGAAGCCCCCGTTCTGGAGCTATCATATTACACAGATATCGTCGGCGATGTGCCTGCTGCACAAGATGGTCCAAGGGGCATGGGGTTGGAATCCTATGACATCGGCAATGGTGACCTACCTCCTGAGTGGGGTGTAGATCTGGTAATAAGAAAAGGAACCATTCGTTATGGACCATGGGCTGATCGCCAACGGTAATGGTCATTTTCTTAGTCAGGAAGCGCGCTCATGATTCAAATTCTATTTCCAGAGTCCATCTGCAACGGACATTTTTCCCGCCAACATATCACGACTTGGAGGTGTCAAAACATCTTAAGCCAGGAGATAAACGTACTTGGACTGCAATGAAAGTATTTGTCGAACTTCGTGATAAAACAGTGCTGTATGTTCCTTTCCGAGAGCCTTCAAAGGTAAATACATGGCAAGAGGCTCGTATCTCTTTGTTCATCCTCTCTTAGAACTGGCAATGGGATGGTGTCAGCGACTATCCACGGCCAAGGAAGCGTGACCACGCAGCTCTTCATTGCACTGCAGGTGACAGCTCCTCAATTAGCTACCTTCTGCCTATGGTTACAGGACCCGACGGATATGAACCTCGTTTAGAGGTTCATCTCGATACAGTTTCTGTAACGTCGAGCCTCAACGATATCAAGCTCATCGAAGCCGAGTCATGTCGCGTTCGTACATATCCTACTATCCCATGGAAATTATGCTAAAAACCACTCAGGTTCATGCGTCATTTCCATCGCCCCTTGTATGGAACGCCGAGCGTCTTTGGTCATTCTCTATCTCTCTTCGTCAACCGGTTATATATCTCTTGCGAGACCACATCAATATGTTCACTGATTTGACGCGGGACTGGACCTTTGGGCCGCCTACCGAATGGAATCTTTTTGTGCCAACTATTTATGCGCTCGAGCTTGATCTGCATCAGTTTGAGCTCAATCTATATGCTAACGACCAGAACATAATTGATAAGCCTTTGGTCAAGGGAGAGAACAGTAAGTGGATTCTATTACCTGGTTGAAAACATCATTATTTATAAAAATTCAGCGTTGGTGACGATCCGTGCACCGCGTTTAAACATTCAAGTTACCTTACCGTCAAATAAATATCGACCCGAGGCGACGTCCATCCCATTCGTTGTTAATGTTCCAGATGTGAATGTTTTTCTCTCTTTGCCGCGGTGGAATACGCAGTACCTCTACAATTCAGGGAATGAACATCGTATAATCCATGCAGCAACCTTCCGCATCACGTCCTCGTATTACTTCTGGGCCGACGTTCAACCCGACAACATTGATCAGTTAAAGCTCACTGTCGAGGTATGTCTGGCATTTGCTGATCGCAGCCCTTGCTCATTGCCACTAAGACTAGTAATGTCGCATTCAAGGCCCTCGGTTGGTGTGTCAGATACTTAATGGTACTTCGGGACAATTATTTGGGATCTTTCACCCACTTTTCTACGCTCGTGGAGTATCTTGAAAAACGGAGCATTAATTTGATTGGAGATCCACTGGAGATGAAGCATCGGCCAGGCAAAGTCAGTGAACCAGCTGTGTATCTTGAAGTCACCTAACGGACGAGATATAGTCAAACTCCCTACAGGTTCAGGTATCAGTACAATTACAATCTGGGATAATGCTTTTACCTGCGGGCTTGCCTGGCTACGAAGTGCGCGTTGCAAGCGACAGATCATTCGATGGTATTGGCGCATCCACAGTCATGGCTTGTTCAGTGCTTCAACTAGACTTACGACTGCATGACTATTTCATGGGTCAGTCAGCGTCAGAAGATGAAACATAACTATTTAACTGTGCAACAGATGCGTCACTGAATCTGAACGCAATCAAGGGTTCTGTCCTGGACGCTTGTTCTGAGCATGCTTTCTTCGCCCAGGCACATCAACGCTACGAAGACTCGTTCTTAATCGATGGTACTGTCGATTCCGTTTGTCCTTAACAACCATAACTCATTCGATTCCAAGGCCTGAATATCACTGCTAACAGACTATTTGGGCCACAGCCGCGTACTCGCACATATATATGTGTTTGGGAAATTGCAATTGGACCAGTGAAGGCCCTATTGACATCTCATGATGCCCGAATCTTGCTGGCATCTATGAATGCAGTCCGTCTTAATTACACGGACCTCGCCAACGCTCCCGCGACTGAGTTTGGAGTACCTGTAGATCCAGATGGTAAAGGAACTATCCTTGCACGAGAGCATTCCCTGACACAATTATTTAGTCACTTTCATCAGATTCTCAACTAGCCATGTCGACGCCACTTGGTCTGCTGGTGCAACAGCCGTAAACCTGTCAATTCCTTCGGGTTTCAGTGTTCATACCAATGATCTAGAAGGCCAATTTTGCGGCAAGCTCACGAGTGTCAGACTTCCCCTTGTGTCACTGAAGATTCTGTTATCATCAAGGGATTCGAAGACGAGCTGGTGTGAGGCGGCCGATCTGTCTACAGACATCAACCTGGATGTGTACAGATCCCCGAAGGTCCGCAATCTATCACAGATGGATTTCATGAAGGAGCAAGATGAGTTGACACATCGAGCACAACATCTACTTGATGAAGTAGAGAGGGCACGAAAAGCCTCTCTTTCTGATAACCGACAGTCGCTGCAACGCACGCGTTCTAGTCACCATCGCAATGGACTTTATCTTCCTCCTCCGCGTCTCCCACATTTCTGCAGAGTAAAACCACACCCTCCAGCACCACTCACGAGCGTTGCACCCTCCAAGAGCACGGCTGCTTGGTGGCCTCAACTTTCCCATCTCTCAGAATCCGACGGAGAGGAGAATATATCCGAAGCGGATCGTGATGCACGTCTGGCGTACGTTGTCCATTTTATCGTCTATTCTACTAGATATAACAGTTTTTGCAGGAGGAGTCGACTTGCGCCACCGGCCGCCGTCGACGACGACATCTCTGTGTCAGGGGAGGAGTCGGATGATGAAGACTTAACAGATACTGAATCCTCGATAAGCGGCTGGTCCTCGACTAGATGTAAGTGGTTTTTAAATGCAGAGCGTTACAACTGCTGAGTTTAGACAGCCGCGACTCAAAGGCACTCACTGATCAAGCGCTACCGTCGTGTAACGAGGTGGTACCAAAGTCTCGACCTGGACGACATCAACAGCTGGGAGGACTCGCCCTTCGTTATAATCAAGGTAAAGTGGGCAGGCCCATTTTTCCGGAACGTCCCTCAATTAGAAACCAGGAACCTAGAATTACAGCCCCAAAGAACAAACATTCATCCAGAATACGTCCGATCGTACAAGCCAATGAAACAACGAGTTCTGTCCACTCCACAACTTTCCGTATACAGTGCAAAAGGGAGATTATGGTTCGATTAACCCCCTTGGCTCTCATGGGAGTCAGAGATATAATTGAAGATCTGCAATCGCGAGTTCGTATTATCTTTTGAATGTGTTGCTTTACCTTAATGGTTTCCTGCAGCGGCTCAGTCCAGAATTGATATTGGACTCAGTGATGGCAAGCCACATGGCAAAGTTCGGTGACTCGTCAGATTCCCCCTCTCTCGACGGCCTTCGACATTACCATAGGGTCCGCTCGTCTTCAGGTATTGGAACACATATCTTGCCCACGTTCCTCCTTCAAGGAAGCATCAGCTCAAAGAGACTTCATGGTTACAATCAACTGCTTGGCTTCCTGGATGCCACCTTGCCATGTCCCACGAGGCTCAGAAATTAGCTTGCCATCTAGAAATATCTGAAATATCTGTAGGAGTGACGGATAACTCGGGAGTTGCTCTGGGTTCCAAATGTCCGCCTGGAAATAGCCCAATATTATCTCTTCGTCGCCTCCAACTGGATGCCACAGGAGAATCATGCTAGTATCTCTGTTGGCCGTGCTGCATTGGAACTTCAACCCGTTAGCCTTGAGTACGCTGTCGCCACGTTTCAGGCGTTGGAACAGGATTCGCGAGACCTCCTACTCGACCCCTCTGTGCAATTTGGCTCAACTACCCGTTTTGCTGAGATTGTCTACTACTACTCTGGATCTCACTCAGAATAGGGCAGCCGTCGATCCACTTTCGACTATTCAACCTTCTTTCCTCGTCCAACGGGGTCACCCCCAAGCTCTCCGGACACATGCTACCTACAAGTTTCTATTCCATTTACGAACTGCACTCCAGTTCGCCCGCCTTCAAGGAGATATTGGCACAAATAGCACGGGCCAATTCATTGCAGCACATGATGTGAAGGCTTTGGTGGATTCGTGTCTCGCAGAGCTCATGCTGGACCTAGACTCCTCCAAGGAAGGTATTACCTAGTCCGTTGGAAATGATTCACCCTCGTACCTCTCCCAAGTCCACGATTAGCGCGCAGCTTATCATTGGCTCCGTCAACTTCACTGCCGACCTTGTTAGCATTATCATTGCAGATGAGTTGCCGGCTTCCACCAGTCGCCTGGACATTAGCTCTTGTACTCTACGGCTTCGCTCTTCAAAGCTGGTCCCTTTGGAAGGAGTCCAATTACAGTCACAGAGCCCTTCCCTGGCAAACCATGATACTACTACCATTCCACAGACTGTATGTACTCTTGCCATCAGTGACGTCAATGTCACCGTCTCCCCTCACTTGATGGTCTTCGCACAATCTGTACTTCGCCTACGGAGGGTATCAAGTAAATGGAAGCCGGTCTCCAACCAAGCACTTCCAAACTCTGGGCCGTCTCACCTCATTTTGACGGTCGCCCTCCGCCGCGTTAGCATCCGCGCCGCAGCTGAAAAACTTGCATTCGAGATTGGGGCCACGAATACGGACATTTTTTTCACATCACTCAAACGAGTCGATCCGTTGATACACAATGAGGTCCACTCTGTCAGTTACACCGCTAGCTTCAGCGACGCCTTCATACGTGCGAGGGCCACCGGTATTGCCCCAGGAATTTGGGCCCGGCATCAGGATGTTCTTGCTTCCTTAACCTTTTCTTCTGGCAAGCTCAACTTGCTTTGGCGCCAGGAATCATCCGCGAGTACTATCCGTCTCGCGTTCCTCTTATCCAGTATTGCTATTTCCGTACCTCGCAGCGCCCTTCGTCTTTACCGTTTCGTGGAAGAGTGGAAAGCGGACTTCCTTCCAGGCGTTGAAGCCGCCACACGAGCCTTTCTAGCAGAGTTGAAGGAAGGGACGGGAGGTGATGCACAGACAACACTGACTCGCCCTCGTGCTGCCAAGAGGAACGCACTAGTGGCCCATGTTACGGGACGCATATTAGAATTTGGCGTGTCTCTTCAGGTCATGCGAGGGACGTGGTTGTCATGGAACATACATGATCTGATTATATTCCTTTCCTCGCCAAGTGGACCAGGACCTAAGTCGTCCACGTCCTTTGGCATCCAATTTGGCTCGCAAACGTTGGGCGTTTCATACAAACTACAGTCCACTGATGATCATACAGATACGCCACGCATCAAAGTCAAGCTCCCTTCACTTTCATTGACAGGACGTCATGGCCGCTCTTTTGTCAAAATGATTGTTTCTGTGGACTTCTTTGATGTTTTAATCAAGCCTTCACATTGGGATACACTTCTCGTCGTCCAACAGAAGTTCGGTCAAGATTTTACTGACTTGATGGACCTGATACACCAAACTCGCCAACGAAGGTCTAATCCGTCTGGATCGACATCGAATACATCGCGATCCTCTCTATCATTCAGTGGACATGTCAACGTGAAGGGATTTAGACTTGGACTTGAAGGTCGCTCCTCCACCTCCTATCTGGAATGTGAAGATGTTGGTGGAGATATATCCAGCAGTGATCTGGGTATTGCATGGCGAATCAGGCTTTGTGACCTGGCTTTGTCACTTGCACCTAGAGCGGGCGTTGTGTCACGAGAAACTACTTTCAATCGGAACCATCGATCTGCGTTTCTTATCGTGGATCTTCGCGCCAGGGGAAATGTCCACAGATTGGAATTCCGCATCCCAAAAATCCATGCTGTGATGCAACCCAGTTCTATAGGAGAAATTGGCGACTTCTTAGACCATCAACAAGTACGATATCATCTTCGGCATTGGCCTTGTTACTCAAACGTTTTTCAGGCTGAATTGCTTATTCGAAGAGATCAGCGAGCTGCAGAGTTAGCAGCATTCAAGGAAAAGACTCGCAGTGTTTTGAAAACGTTTGATGTGAGAACGAGCGAGACTACTCGTGACCAAAAACCCTTCTTGGTTTAGCAAACATACCATAGATGTAGTCATTCAGAAGATTGGAGTGGCCTTCCCCCTCAGTCTTGAACAAACGCTGGAACTTCCCCGGACGAGTTCCCGTGACGGCCCTTCAGTCAGGGCTTTCCTGTTTGCTGTTCGACGCATCAAGTTTAGCGCACAGAGAGGAGAAGCGGGCGAGATGTCAACAAAAGACTTATCCTTCCTATTTGTGCCCAGGTAAGACTTAGCGGCGCTCCAGCGAGCTCATCACACTTATTCTTCATCATGGCACCTTAGTTTCAGGCAATCTTCGTCTGAAGACTTTGCGGCAGACAAGCATAGAAGCCGAAACCGACTGGTGTACCCCTACATGACCGCGCGGCTACGATCCGAGACTTCTTTGCTCAGTCGTCGTATCTGGCTCTTTGGAAACGTCAGTGGGTTCATCCTGGACTTGGACTCAAATATCCCTGATTACATATTCTCGCTCATTGATGCGTACCGTCAAGGAAGAGAACGAATGATTCGCATCGCCGCAAGCCTCCCCCGTACTACTATATCGCACGCTGACCTTGCGAGGGACGATGTCTCACCGCAAGGCGGACACCAAGATGTTCCGGCATCGAGTGTTTTTGCAAATATGGTCTTCCAGAGCGGAGAAGTGCACGTTCATAGCGATGCAAAAAGTGCACAGGCCTCGCTTCTGGGTACTCACCAATCGTTGGACGGCCAGCTGTATCCAGAGCAGGAGACACTGAGGCTTCCTGTAGTCTCTGCTTTGGTTGAATATCGTGCTTCAGGTATACGAGCCGGTCCTGCAGCCCTGATATTCAAAAGCACCATTCATTCCAGCCAAAACACTTTGAGACCGAGTCTTCTGCCTTTCATAACCGAAATCGTCGACTACGTGCAGTTGCGCTTGCGCAAAACTAGTCGAGGAAACACGCTGCTCATTGCGACATCTCCCATAGAAGATGAACCATCCCTGCTGCTGACCTCGAGCCGCCTAGAGAATTTATCTGAGGCATCATCGAGTTTGCAAATCACCTTCAGTCTCCGCATAGACAAGTCAACGCTCGAATTGACTTGTCAGCCGGATGTCAATGTGGCAGCAGCTTTACGCTGGGAAAGTGGCGGTTTCCTCATAAGCATCTCACCGGGTGCTCATAACCTGACATTGACGGGCACTGTGGACGGTCTCACGATTGGCCTCAAGCACGGGTTTTTGAGCGACGACTGTGTCAATATCGCAGCTCGCAATCTCGCATTCTTCCTTGCTTTTGCCAAGAATGAGGACCGAGCTGGCAATATCGACAGCACGATTTCCCTGGTGGTGGATACAGATATTTCTGGTGGTGTGCGTTTCTCCCGCTTGCAAGATGTTTTATGTTTCAAGGCGGTTTGGCTCGATCGTATCCCTTTGTTTGTCGCAGAGCATGCAAGCTCTGACAGATCACGCCCGCCAACAGCCTCTTCCTCCTCGATTACCACTCCTGTGGTGAAACAAGAGGTTACTACCGCGCTCATGATTCGCATTCGCCAAATCCACTTGGAGGTAGATTTGGGACAGTCCATCAGCAATGTGACTCTGGACCTCCAGAGCGCAGTTACGCGAATGCGTTTCTCTGAAATGTCAACTGAGGTGTCGCTCTCAGTGGCAAATGTCTCCATCCTCGCCAGGGGAAACGTCGCGGGTAGCATGAATGTACCGGACTGTGTCTTTCAGACGGTCCGCAGGAATGAAGGCGCCCTGTCCGATGATTCACGGACAGCTAGGATGCTCGAACTCAGCATGACTAGTGGTCCTTTAAGTGCCGAGCTCGAGTCAGACCACCAACGGCTGTTGATTTACAGGTAATTGTTATCATTATGTCCCGCCTTATCTTTGTCTGATCCTTGAGTATCTTCAGGGCTGATCCCGTGCAAGTGGAAATCCACGATGATTGGTCACTCGTTTCCTCCGCAGACAGAGGACAAGACCGGTTTTTGCTGCTTACATTCACAGTCAATGGCGAGGAGATCATTGCTCTTGCTACCATCGCAACCATACCGAAGTTGTTGATGTATACCAACAAGTTCCAGGCCAATATTACCGCTCAGCGTGAGGGCGCAAGTCATGAATCGGCCGCTTTCCGTGCTACCCAATTGCCCAAGCCTGACAATCCACTCACCGAAGTCGCTTCGGCATTCTTCCACTCAGCCCGTAACCGGTTCAAGGAAGCAGACGCGGAGCTGTCCCACAGAATTCGCCAGCAGCTGAGCTTCCGCTTGGAGACCCTTCGGCTTGTCCTTTTCCCTCGCACCATGGGTGACACCGAGCTTGCGCAGTTCATCGGACGTGATGTTCATGCGAGCCTGCAGCGTACGGTGATAGACGAAAGCCCACCTCATAGGGAGATCCGTTTATCATTCACGACCTTGACTATTTCCAAGTTCAGCCAGCCTCAGCCACTTCTCCCGTCGACTATAGCAGTGTCTGACAACAAAGCTTGGGTGGATCAATTGTTCAAGCATCCAACAGAGGCAAACATCGTGGGTCTGCCTGCGATGAATATGCTAATGTTCACCGACGAGGTGGTCAAAGAACTCATCAAGTACATCGACTACAACTTCTATAGCTCATTCGTGCGAGGCAAGGGCACCAAGGAGCACGAGGACATCTACATCTCGCTCAACGTAGCGCTATATTCATGGCTCACAGGTCTTCGCAAGAATTTGACCAGGGAATTGGAACAGGTTCAGGGATCCCAGGACTTGCGCAATGCGACAGCAGGTCCATCATCGCGCAAAAGAGCAGGGGCTCCAGAACCACCTCCGTCCATGGACGTTGCTCAGATAGATGCATCAAGTCCAACCAGCTCCACATCTAGTCCATCATTTCCCGAAAAAGCCCCGTCACTGGGTCTCAAACCAATTGTCGCGGTTTCTCCTCAGCTGCCCTCAGAACTCTTCGCACACCCACCGCTGCCAACTTCCCAAGCCCGTTCCTTACCAGATGTGCTGGATCCTTCTGTACTGCTTCCACCCCCTGCCGCCACGAAAATTGTAGCCGTTGTGTACACGGCTCATGAACGCGTGATAGAGCGACTGACCATGCGACAACTTGGCGAAGCGACTCCGGATATTAGGCACCCATTCTTCATGAAGACAGCTGGTTTCAACCTCGAGGATTCTCTTCCGCAATACGTTCATGAATACGCCACGATTCCTCTGGAGGAAATCATGGAGGCCCTGCTGAAATTGTACTCGAAACAGCTAAGAACCGATAAGAGGATAGGTCAAAATTAAATCAGGTTATGACCGTAACGACTACACATAATGTAGATAAACTACTTACTTCAAGCACTTAATTCTCTCATTTACTTCATTGTGTAGCAGGCATCTGGGTTTCCCAAGAGTATCATAATTATGGGAGGGAAAACAAATGTAATGCAAGTGTCTATCTGGCTGTACTTCCTGCGCCAACATTAAATACACTCAGTAAGCCAAAGCACCCGTAGAGAAGTGCAACTGGATATGCGACAAGAAGACGTTGGTCCGACATCCTCAACACAGCTACAAATATCCCAGAAGCAGCGAAAGTGCACCATATGATGGATAACAAGGAGAGGACATAGCCAAGGATACCGCTACAATGAAATAAGTACTTGTGAGACAATGGGAGATTTGGAGCAAAGCAATGGATCACGCACTCTAATGTAACAACCACGCTGATTGCACCAACGCCTACCATTGGCAATAAGCAATAGCCTAGTACAGATACCACGCGATATGCATCGATGCCGTTTTCCGACATGAGATTTAGTAAGGTGTAAATGGAGATGGAGCCAAGCAATCCGAAGCCATATATGTACCCAAACTGAGGCTTCCCTGACTATCAACACCAAATGAGATGCGTTACCACCGTGTCAAAGAATAAAACTCACCAGCAGTAAAAGGACTCCAAAACAGAAGAAAAACAACAGTGGACCGGCAAGGTCTGCGTCATCCATTATCCGCTCATCAACACGTCTTAAGGGATTGAGAACTGTCATAGACTTGGCACGTATGTGAGAGAAGTTAATCCCCAATTCTGTCGCGCGCATGGTTCCGTCATTCAACAACATGTCTTTATGGAAATTGCTTACCCTCCAACAACGGTGGCTCTCCTTCAAAACCACCAGTTCCGAACGCGGTCCACCATCCTCCCGGTTGTTGCTGGATATTCCCTCCAAATGCTGGAGCAGGGCCCCCTTGTCCTATTGGCACATGTGCACCCATATTCCCCTCCAGGCTGGAACGAGACCCTGGATAGAACTGCCCTTGGTCTGGTCCAGGCGCGTAGAATTGAAGGGGTACGCCTTGTTGGGGAGTCTGACCATAGTATTGGCTATGTGACGACGACGCGCCGTACTGACTCGCGGTGTCCTGCCACATGAATATTTAAGTCGTAAAAGAAAGATGGAAGATCAAAAAGAGCTGGAAGCAAATGACGTGCCACGTTTCGCGGCAGCGTTGCACTCGTCACTCGTGCGTCTCACCTGCGGACGCCAACTTTCACAGCGCTCCGACGGCAATTGCCGGCGTGTCCCAAAGTTCCTTTCGTCTGTCACAGTCATGGCAAGTTTCTTCAATCTCTCATTCTAGACTATGCTAACATCCTCCCGCTCTGCCACCAGCCGCAGGTAAACCATATTTTATAAACCAAATCTAGCTTTCATATGCTCATGTCCAATTTTAGAATGAGTATATCGAGGAACACATTAAACGACATGGTAGACGATTAGATTACTACGAACGCAAGTGCGTGATTAGTTTTTATCGTGGCCTTACCTTTCAGTGCTAACGTTCTCGTTTTAAGACGTAAAAAAGAGGCTCGTGCTGCTCATAAATCATCAGCAGTAGCCCAAAAAGCCTTCGGTCTCAAGGCTAAGATCCTACATGCGAAACGTCACGCAGAAAAGGTTCAACTCAAAAAGACCCTCAAAGCTCACGATGAGCGCAATGTCAAGCAGGCCGACACATCCGCCGTTCCAGATGGTGCATTACCTACATATTTGCTCGACCGTGAAGGCCAGAAGGATGCCAAAGCCCTATCATCCGCAATCAAGCAGAAGAGAAAGGACAAGGCGGCTAAATTTGCGGTTCCATTACCCAAAGTCCGGGGGATTGCAGAAGATGAAATGTTTAAGGTGATGAAGACAGGGAAGAGCAAAAGCAAATCATGGAAGCGGATGGTTACAAAAGCGACGTTCGTTGGGGAAGGATTCACCAGAAAACCTGTCAAGATGGAGAGATTTGTTCGGCCCATGGCACTTCGATATAAGAAGGCCAACGTTACCCATCGTAAGTCTCGTTATCTTATCCTATACGAAAGTGGGGACCTGACCGTCTTGCAGCGGACTTGAAGGCCACTTTCCAGCTTCAAATTCTTGGGGTCAAGAAGAATCCACAGTCGCCGATGTATACTCAACTCGGAGTTTTGACGAAAGGCACCGTCATCGAGGTCAACGTTTCAGAACTTGGGATGGTCACGACAGGCGGCAAGGTAGTATTCGGCAAGTATGCTCAGATTACCAATAATCCTGAGAACGATGGTTGCATAAATTCTGTTCTTCGTAAGTTCTTCGACTTGGTTGCGAGTCCGTTGGCCTAATTTGAATTTTGTAGTGGTATGACCAGTGACAACTGCACTATGTTGTATTCGAATCTATCGAGAGGTCTCTCCAATGTTTCAAAAGTAGAATCTCAATCCACTATCACATGTATCACAAGAGGTAGGTACATACGTTTGTTCAGGCCTCAGGTCACCCTCTATACGCGTTAAAATGCAACGCCACGAGAGAAAACAATCATACGGACTTCGTGATACAATAGGTACTAGTCTGTCTCAGTGTCTACCTATGTCGATAAAGTTTCCAGTTAGTGTAGCTCAAATAGTCGTGCTGCAACACAAGAGGGCGTTGTTGTGGTCTGTTTACCAAAGCTCTTGCGTAGTCGTCCATGTCAACTTCAAACACTCCCGCTCCGGCTTCACATTCCGCCTCGCCCGCTCCCGATCAGGCTAAGAGACGACATGTACTCACCGCTGTCGAACGACAGCGGTCACAGCTTGATCGACTCCTCAAGGATCCCTCGAAGCCTGCCTATGTACCTCCTGCACCAAAGGAGAAGACTATTCGCCCGGCTCGCGAGATGATGAAGAATGTCCAGGGATCAAGTGCTGGTGCCGGAAGCGGCGAGTTTCACGTATACAAAGCCAGTAGGCGCAGAGAATACGAGCGACTGAAGATAATGGAAGATGAAGCGAGAATAGTATGTGGTCCAGCTCCATAAAAATAACATGTCCTGAAAGTTTGGCAGGAATCTGAAACAGCAGAGTTTGAGAGAAGGCGGAAAGAAGCGGAGGATACAGCTGAAGTCAAGACAGCCAAAAACAGAGCCAAGCGACAAAAGAAGAAGGAAAGAGCAAAAGTTAAGCCATCAGAGAAAGGTGTTGGGAAGGATGGCACGCAAGAAGCTCCATTGAAGAAAAGACGATTGGTAAATGGAAAGGAACTCGTGTTTAGGAAACCTGGGGAGGAGAGCGACGAAGAAGAGGTGGATGACGCTGAGGAACACGATAAAGTCGGTTTACAGGATGACTTGGAGGCAGAACAGGTTCCATCCGAGGAAACACCCCAAATTGCACAGGAGCAACGAATAACTTTTCACGAGGATGACTAGGCTTGTTTTTCACTCACCATGCATGTCTTCCAACGCCAGTACTAAAGCTCCGTGACAGAACCTGACCTTCAGAGCAAGCAACGCGCACATATTTTAATCAATTGATGTCCTACCGTTCTTTTGGCGGAACCCGTTACTAGGGGTCGGCTGTACAAAAATGTTTGCATTCAAGTAGCTGATCGTGCCCCGCATAGTAAATCACAAAATTGTTCCATGCCGACAGACTGCTGGCAACATCATTGCAGATATCAACTGTTCGAAAGGGGATTTCAGGTCGATAGGTTCCTTCGCCAATAGTCAGCATATAAAGCAAGGTGTTTTCCTACCGTCCCCCCAGATTGATTTGATCCTCTTTTACATCCACACAAACGATGCGTTTCTCCTTTGTCCTCGCTGTTGTTGCTGCTTTGACAGTATCAATATCCGCTATGCCTTCCACATCAACATCTGCCAGTGAGGCTAACACTGAGAATTGTCCTGTCTTTTGCCTAAAAGATATCGACTGCTTTGGCTGCTACCAGACCAACTGCGTGAGTAGTTTGCGTCCTGGATTTAACCAATGATTACAATGATGACTCACCGGCGTGATAGTACGTCTTTTTTTGCACCGGTTAGGTCGCGTATGGTCGATGGCGAGACACGTGAAGCCCTAATCGGGTGCTCAAGCGCTCAACCATTGGGGGCGGGATAAGGGCTTTGGTGGCGGCGGAGGCGAAATTTGAGTGATCGAGCAGTGGTATCAGAGCCCTTGCAAGCTTATCCAGTTAGCTATTAAGGAACCAGCGTCTATCATTCACCCTCAAGTCCAATTTGAAAATTCTTATCCTCTTTCTGGGGCTAGTTGCCCACTCAGCCCTTGATACTATACGATATTAACGAGTTAGGCCTAAGCCGCAGCTCTCCACAGCCCTCAGACAGACAAGAGGTCGACCAGCAGACAATCAGCCCAGGAGGTTGTGATTAATAGTGTCCACTGTCACAGTGGATGTCACAAGGAGGCGTCGTGCGATGGCAGGTAGAAGTGGTTAGACTTTGCGCGAGATTATAATTCTACTTTATAATCTCGCGCAATGTTAACCAGATACCAGCCAAGTGTTTGATTGGGAGAAATTCTAAGCTTGGCTAAGTCACCAAGTACAAAAACACGACTCTATAATGTCGAGGCACATGAAGTCTGTGATAATGGACTGAGTCAGTTCGGATGTAAACGGAAAAATAACATCAGACCCCGGGGACGACGCAGACGAGTTACTGGGCCTCTCGATCTCCTAAGACCTTTGTGCTGGCAAGATACGAGCGACACATTGAATGCAGAATCTGGAAACTTCAAGTTATCAATGTATAGTAGTGACCAGACTAGTTACCCGCTGCTGTTTAAGCCAGCACGATCGTTCCTCAGGCCGGAGGATATGCCAACCTGTTGCTGGCATTAACCGTATTCGCAAGGTGATGTTGTTCCGCGCCAAGCTGCCGTCAGACTGTGCTTCACAGCCTGCAGGCAATCTGCTGGCATTGCAGATATCAGCTGTTCGAATGAGGGGATTCCAGGTGGATAGGTTCCTCCTTCGCCAATATTCAGTATATAGAGCAAGGCGTCTTCCTACCTTCCCCTTCAGATTGATTTGATCGCCTATTACATCCTCACAAATGATGTGGTTCTCGCTTGTCCTCGCCGTTGTTGCTGCTATGACAGTATCAATATCTGCTATGCCTACTGTCGCTGACACATCGATATCTGCCAGTAAGGCTAACACTAAGGATAATTGACCTGCCTTTTGCACAAAAAGCAGCGACTGTTGTGGCTTCTGCGTGAGTAGTTTGCGTCCTGGATTTAACCGCGTGACTCACCGGCGTGATAGTTCGTCCTTTTTTGCCACGAGTAGTGAGTGTATGGCTGACGATGAGACCCGTAGAGCCTCGATCGGATGCTCGACCATTGGAGGTGGGATTTGAAGAACTTTGGTGGCGGCGAAGTCTGGGTGATCAGGCAGTGGGATGTTATCTACTTTCTTTGGGGATGCTCGGTAACTGTAACCTAGTACTTACTTCAAGTTGAAGCACTGGGATGCTATGCGAACTGGGCGGGCCCATGTGCGAATACCACATAACGTCGCACTAGTGAAAATCCATATACCGGAAGGGCGGGATCAAGGTGGAATGCTGGGTACGAAGCAGCATGTGGGAATGGAAACAACTTGAAGAACTGCGGAAATATTCGAGCTGAGGCCAGGATTGCGCCAGTGCCATCTTGATGAAGCGCCATTAACAGCCGAAGCACAAATCTCATTGATGTCTAAGACTATTAAGTGACTACGGTCTATCCAGAAAGTCTTGACTCACGTGTTTGGGAGGGTCAAGAAATGGTGAAATCATAGTTGGTGTGTACGGAGCGAGTTACTTAGATATGGTTGGCGTGAAGCCTCGATCGGGTGCTCGACCATTCAGGACGAATAAGGACTCTAGTGACAGTGGAGGCAAAGTTTGGGTGGTCAGGCAGTGACATGTTTTGCTTTCTTTGGAGAACAACTGGAAGTTGAGAAGTCCTGTGGTATCAGAGCCCTTGCAAGCTGGCAGGTTGTTCTATCCTTTATGGGCTTAATTAGCGGGATGTTTACCAGAGATCTAAATGTGCTGTGGACAAATTGTCGGGCAGTATACAATTTTATCAGGTGGTCTCGGTTCGACTAAGCGATCCACTGGCATGCCCTGTAACCAAGTATTTACTTCAAGTCGAAGCAGGGAGGTGCTGTGCGAACGGACGAGCCCAGGTGCGAATAACATACAACGTCGCACTAGTGGGAATCCATATAAGTACATGAAGAGTGGGATGATATCAAGGTGGAATGCTAGTGTACGAAGCAGTAGGCGGGCATGGGAATGAGAAAGGCGGGAATTCTCCAGCTGAGGCCAGGTTTGAGTGAAGCGTCATCGACAGCCGAAGCACAAATCCCGTTGAGGTCTAAGTCTATTAAGTGACCAAACGATAGCAGTAAGGCAACCACGTTAGAGGCAGAGGCAGAGCTCCGGAGACTTATCGACCATTTGACGAGTACGAGTAAGGTAACCAGCCCTTCTCAGATCCTAGATCGTGACCTGAGACTGGAGAAAATACGTGCATACAGTCACTGCAGCTGTCACTGCCTCATTTACTTGAGAGCTTTTCTATGTCTTCTTTGTATCAGATCTGTTCCAAAGAGTTAGCCACTTCAAAAATCAAGATCTCATCTTGATTCTTGATCGACAATGTAGTTGCAATTGCATTTCCATCTACATCTGTACATATACAGAACAAAAGTTTTGCGTTAGCGTGGACTAAATGTAGACATTGAGGAGACTGTGACAGATGTATAATTTCGCAGTACGTACCTGTAGGTATCTAAATCAATGCGCACTGTGTCCAGGGTCCGTCAGGTCTACAACATGGGCTAGTGGCGCTTGACCCGTGTTCCTTTTCATTTTTGCGTTTGTAAAAAGCACTTTGAGGAAATCATTCACCCTCCTCCATCCATCTTCAAAATGTTCAAACGGCGGCGGCACGAGGAACTCAGCATCATAAGCAAGAAGCCCCACGGAGGTCAACTTGGGCAGCAATGTATGCAGTTGACAGGCCACAGAGATGGGATCGACAATTGGAGAAACCCCCACAAAAAGTGTCGTGATCCTCTCATTGGGAATGGTTTCAGAAAAAGGCTTGCTGTTGGCGTCTACCGGACATGCGCAAAAGGGAAATGCAATGCTACGCAAGCGCCGGCAATGATGTATGAGGTGGACAAGTCCTACAAATGTGAGAGATGGCGGAATGAGCCAACGAGCCAAACTTCCAAAGAAGAAATTCTCGAGGTGTGGCCATGATTGCGCCATTATCTTGAGTGAAGCATCATCGATGGCCGAAGCGCAAATCCAATCGAGGTCTAAGTTTATTAAGTGACTAAATGACAGCAATGGGGCAATCGCATCAAAGCGAAGTGCAAAGGTGGGATCGTCATCAAGGATGTCCTCTTCGACAATGTCGCCGATCGGATAATCGAATTCGAAATAGATGTTCTCAAGAGTAGGAGAGAAGCACCTCGAGAAGGAGCTTATGAGCTCTGTAGCATCCACTGGATCGTACGGAGCATCATCGTGATCCACGTGCACCGTCACCGATCGACAGGAGAAAAAACGGACGTTGTTAAGACGTTGACTGAGAACGAAAGGTGTCGGTATAGTGAAGCGCACTTGGTCGAAATGAGAGGAAAATGTTGAGATGCAATTAGGTTGCGGCTCGCCAGCGTCGTATGCCGACAGGATGAGATGTAGATACTCCAACGACGGTAAAAAAGCCAAGTGATAAAGTGCCCGTGTGTTAAGAATATCTGTTTCAAGACGGAGGAGCACCTTCAAGCCACATAAGGCTTCGCATATTGCATCTGTAGTTTCTTCAGAATCCACACCGTCATAAAAGCACTTGAGATCCCGAATGCATGGACATTGAGCTCCGAGGGAAGCTAACAAGGAGGGGTAGTTTGAAGAACCACTGTTCATCTTCAAGCACGTAATAGTTGGACTAAGGAGTGTGCGCAACAATGGAACGAAGCATTCTCGGTCATCATGCCAAGACAAACGACGAAGGTTCGGCAACAGCAGTGATGGCGCAGAAATTAACGCTTGCACGACCCGATCGTCTATGGTGTCTAGCTGGGTGGTGAAGACCCTCAAGGATTGAATACGTTGTGTATATCGATTGATAAGCCTCCACTCTCCATTTAAGAGAGGTCTTTTGATCGTCTATTGAATAATTTTGAGAGTTTAATATTGCGTAGGTCTTTAGATGTTTCACTCACCAACATTCCTCGGGTATTTTTTTCACTGACCCCTTCGGGGAGGCATGCAACGAGGCATGAAATGAGTGGCTCCAATCCACCTATGTCTTTCCAAAGAATGTCGAGCGCAGGCTCCTTGAAGATCTTACAGGTCCTTGCCACAGATGCAAGTGTAGCGCGAGAATTCAGTCGTCCATAGTCTTCCTGATGGATGGCGAAAATGTGAAGTAAAATTTCTGGGGGTAAGAGACAGATATGCATGATGGAAGGTTCGGGTCTAATAGTGAGATGACTATACTGCTTGGCCAAGTTTACTAGGCATTATATGTATTTGCTTTTGATTGTCCTGATCAATCTTATCTCATCCCTAAATTATATTTGATCGTCCTATGGAGCATTTGCATTAATACTGGCCCGACTGCCTTGCTACCCCATCGTCTTGCAAGCGGTTTGACTTCATTAGCTTCTCTGAGTCTTACAACGAAGAGTCTGGAAGCGTACATCATTTCGATGAGTGAGACGTTCGAGGACGACTTTGAGATCATTGACGATGCCGACGACCCCGAGATCATCGCGCTGACTGAGTTGGGGACAACACTCATTCAGGCTATCCTGGAGAAAGAACCTATCTCAAACGTGCAAGATTTAATAGACGCAGGAGCACCGCTGTGGTATCAAGACGATGAAGGTACTTCAGCTCTGCATGCTGCTGCCTACGTCGAAAACGAGCAGCTCGTGAAGTTACTCATCGAGGAAGGCGCCGTCTGGAACGCAGGTGCGGCAGATGCCACTCGAGAAATGGCTCCATTGACTAAGTAGAGGGTGTAGTCGACAACTTGCAGAATACTGCTGGTGATATTGCATTGTCGCTCAACAATGTAGAGTGTTACAACCTAATCCGCGACGCAGGCATCCGATCAGGTACTAAGTATTTTGGGCTTCACTTTGGACGAGTGCTCATAGGTGTCCTCAGAGTTACTTTTGACCTTACTTTCGTCCCAGACATACTTGAATCCCACTCCGTCATCATTTGTGTTTCGGGACGTGGACAACTCTGCAGTTGCATCCACAGATGCCTTTTTGTCGTCTAAGTTGCGCTACACTCAAGATGTCCATGGCCAGGATATTTGCCTGCTTGACCTCGATGATGGCCAAGAAGTGGGCGTTATGATGGGATGGGAACGGGAGATCAGTAAGTGCAGTCCTTTGAGTGATGTAAAACGTTAAATGAGATGGTTTCCGAAACAGTGCAGAAAACCGTTGAGAAATTATGCATCGATCACGAAAAGAAAAATCTAGGGTTGAAAGTCCTTAATGTCGGGTTTGGTCTTGGTATAGTGAGGACCGCGTTGAGCCGAACAGCGCATTCTTCTAACGATGACGCAGATCGACAATTTCTTCCAAAATCTCAGCACACCCCCTGCATTGCATGTGATTGTAGAGCCCCATCGTGACGTTCTCGCTCATATGAAAGAACAAGGGTGGTACGACAAAAAGGGAGTGAGCATATTGGAGGGCAAGTGGCAAGACTGCATTGCTAGCGAGGCCCTTCAAGGATTTGGAAAATTTGACATCATCTATACGGACACCTTCTCAGAAAACTATAGCGGTGAGTTATTGCCTAAATCACTAGAAAACGGGACATTAGTGTTCATGATTTCTCGTTAAGAACTCCATAATTTTTTCAAACATCTACGAGAACTTCTAGCGAGTCCTGAATCGAGGTTCAGCTTTTTCAATGGCCTGGGCGCAACCAGTGCGTTTGTGCTCAAATTCTATATTCTACGAACTCAACATATCTACAGACGCGCTATTTTATGATGTGTATACTCGGTTGTCGGAACTGCACCTTGCCAATGCTGGATACGATGTTGTCTGGAATGATGTGGATGTGAGCGCTCAAAAAGAAGAAGAAAGATGGGGTGAAACGCGAAAGTACTTCTCTTTGCCAATTTACCGTTTACCCATAGCGAAGCCCAAGCAAATCTAAAACATGAGATCATTTTGGACTATCATTTTGACAGTGTAGTAAAAGGTAGTCAATGCGAGCTAATGACTCTTACCGCTCATGAGCTCAAAAAGACCCGCCACAGCAATGAGTATCTTATCTCTTCGCAGGGGCCTGTTACTGGATGATCATTGTGACAGCCAAGAATCGCCTTTTGTGGAATACGGATTGTTCAACGTTGCTATGCCAGCTTATGTCAGTATGATAGTCCACTGACTTGTAACAAGGCCCTACTCCGTTGCGGGACTGCTCCATCGCGACATACACCGCCTTATAAGTTATATTTACATTGGCCAGCCACAGCGCAGCTCTTCAAAACTCACTCTGACCCCCAGAGCTGGATCTGACTCCTTTATCTCCCTTTTCCGCTCACAAGCAGGCCTTGTAACAGGATTGACAGGCTCAGTCTTGCTATTATTTCTCCGTCTCATTGATCGCGAGCTAGTCTTGATCCAAGTTGTTGCGAGACCATCTGTTGCAGTTACCTGAACGTTGCTTATTCGTCCTGACTTCTGTTAAAATGGCATTGAGTCCTCCCAAGTATGATGGTATAATGCGACCTGCATTACCCCTTTGGTCCAGCCCCAAGACCAGGAAGAATGAGGTGGTGGTGGTGTGTAGTTCGATCTCTGCTCTCCAATGTAATTAAGGCGTCTCTTCTAGGAACTATCGCATACTCAGCCTCCTCCCCTATTTCCTATGGGGTTGCAAAACTATGTGGGTCCTTTCACATGTAGAAACTTCGTGGGTGCTCACCACTTGCACTTAGGTTTCTCCCCATATGTGGGAGACTCGTGTACGTGCTGTCACGCGCATGGCCTCCCAGTATTCCAAACCAGTGCTGGAAAGATCCTGGATGTTCGTAGCTATGATGTAAACTCGTCTCTTTTTTGTCCATATTCTTCTCTGATCTCCTACTATAGCTTGACATTTATCGCTCCAATCGTGGCTTACTACGACTACATTCATCAATTTGATAATGAGCAAATCGACGAGGATCGTCAAAATCAGGTCATCTGGCAGGCTAGGCTCATAGCCCTCCTTGTTACAGTTGGTCTTTGGATCGTCATGTTTTTGCCAATTGTCATCTGGAAATACGTGGTGATTCTGATCTTGTTTCTTTATTACTTCGGTGTACTGAAACGAGTTCTGGAAAGGGTCGTGTGCGAGTAAACAAGATGGTTGATCGCTGGGCTAAGGATGATATCCGATCTGCTTCATCCTATGCGGCTATTCCCACCTGGAAAGTCACCATGCCCGGCATGTTTAGGGACGGGATTGTAGGTCTCACCTCTCAACTATAGGCTCATTGCTCAATGTCAATTTCATACTCCCGGGCTCCTTTAGGTCCTGGCTGTCTCCTTCCCTGCGTCACCTAGCAGCTTTGAACTTGAGAATTTGCCTCCGGTAAGAATGCGCGTCAATCGTTCATGTTATATGTCTGACGATGTACTGCTAGTATATCGCCCCTCCCTCTGATGCTGCGCCGTCCTACGAGGCTGCCAAACGGTTCTCGGGTCTCCAGGGGGATGGTAAATTTGGCGAGATCCCGCTTTACAGTGATGCCAAGGAGATTGCGGCGTAGATAGCCACACTAGATACCGTAGCTAGGCTGAGACTTGAGCTTGAACAATAGAATGCAGGTCATTCTCAATGAAATGGATCGTGGGAAATACGAACTGTGTATTCCGGGAGTTGTTGCATTACATAATGCGCATTCTTCATCGATGCATCCAGAGCTGGATGTAAGCTCGTTGCTTACCTGAGTTCCCATAATCAACATACAAGCTTGAGCGCTTGAGCTTTGATTATCACTGCCTTTTGGCCTAACGGTCTGGGCGTAACTGTTAGGGGACGACAGTCTTAACTACTTACACTGGACTGGCTTTCAATACTGTGCTCCTTCGAGAATTCACGGCGACAATCGCAAGATCTCCTCAGGGCCGAAGTCTTGGTTTCATACCACAAGATATACTCTTGCTATGCAAATGAACTAGTCATCAATCTCTTAAATCCCACTGCTAGTGACTTGCAGCAACACACGAGGCTCGAGCTTTTGTACCTAATTTAGTGGTGTCGTTGTGATGTATAGTCCAGTTGACAATCAATCCCTGCGACAGATACACGGCATCCCTAAGATTCATGGCCGTGACATATGGACACCTTGCTGACGGACATGAAGGTCCATGGGCCATTTCTTACCCGCGTGCACGAACTCCTTGATATTGGCAAACATATTGCTTCTCCCGAGAGGGCTTCCATTTTCACTGCCTTTTCTTTCAGTGAGTACCCCTGTTGGCGACATAATGAACATCCAGCATAAGGTTGCAGTCGTGCCCTGATGCTCAGTCTGCCGTTTGTATTTCCGATTCGGAGGTGTGTTTCTAGTGAAATACCCGTAGGGTAGTGACTCATTCTTCAACAGAATCATATTCTTTGCTGCAGCATTGTCTATTGTGATTTCCCGCACTTTTAACGTTATGATCGCGTATCCGGTTTGGGCTATGGCACACACTGGTTGCGCACCTTGAATAATTGGACGATATTTCATGTCATACATCTGGTCTTGCATAACCCAACGTCCTTGAATGACTACTGATCTCAATCTACGTAAGTTGTAGTACGAGTGCATGGATTATTGTCGACCGATATTCAGGTAGGCCAACGTTGCAACGGGGATGGGCCCATGTGAACCAACCAACGGTGTGTAGCTTGGTTGCACCGGGTCACTGGAATTTGGAAAAGGATCTGGTTTCTGAAGAGCCAATGGGTTCGAAAGCAGTTCTCTTGTTCGTCAGAAACAGAGGCCGCAAAACCTTGCCATCCAGCGCACTCTGCGCCGTTGTATAATCGTGTGCTATTATATGACAGACCACTACAAAGCCTACTTTGAATTCATCATCGCTCGAAGATGTCCTTCTCTCGCTGTGTTCACGCTTTCAAACGAGCAGTGAAATGGTTCAGGGTGACTTCGACAGAGTCAGCCGCAGGTTCTTGGGTACATACTAGGTCACTGTCACTTACATCACCAAGCCGGTGCTGAACTCTGGCATCACCTCGATCCTGTCTCCATTTGAGTCTTTGGCATGATCGATGCGCAAGACGGCGAGTATGGCAGCAGCTGCAGTCCACAGACTGTTCTCTGCAAACCAACGACCTGTCGAATGCATTGGTCGGTTTCAACACTGCCAGATAAACCATAGATCAGCCTACCAGGACAAATACGCCTGCAAGGGTCAGTGAATAATTGAAAACGATAGCAAGTGTGGAATATTCACCTGCCATGACCAAAGGCGAAATGGTTGACGAAAGGGTCCTTCAGTTTCCCGTCAATTGTTAGATAGCGGCTAGGATCGAAGCGCGATGCATCAGGAAATATGTCTTCATCCCGAGACAGTGCCCTAAGCCATACTCAGCTCAAGCCGCCGTTACATGCATTCCACCGTAACATACCACTGATTAACCATCACTATCGCACCTGATCGAACTCCAGATGAATCAACGGTAACCTCGACGCATATGACTTCGAACCTTTGGGTATAAAGTATCCGCCGTAAACATCATCATTTGATGTCGCATGTGGAGCTCCTGTGCAAGGGGTCAACCATGCAAACACAAAGTTATATTACTGCCGACCAACCTAAGGGACTGACAGGATGCCATCTCAGGACCTCGCGTAGAATGGCATCAAGGTAGGGCAGTGACGCCCTATCATCAAGACACGGCATTTCATCATGCCTCACAGCTTGATTGATTTCTGCACGAGCTCGGGCTTGGACGTCAGGATAGAGCACCATAGCCAGAAGGAATATCTGCAATGCGGATGCAGTCTGCGGGACGTCAAAGTAAGAATCAGCACTGCTTAAGTAGCGGCTCACAGTGTCTATGCCACCTAAGATGCCGATTCGCGTCAATGGATGAATTCTGTCCTGGTAAAAAAACTCCTACCCATGTATCCCATCAACGCAACAGCCTTCATCGTGTCTTCGTCAGCGTCGTCGTGGGCTTGACTGAGAAAGTCAGCGACTAATGAGTGTGAAGCAGTACCATTTGCCTTCACGCAAACAGATCAGGCAAAATTTCCATCCACAACTCTACGTGAACGTACTATCTGGGCCTTCACTTCGTCAAAGGGCTCATTCAAAAGCTGTTGACATAATTCTCTACTGCGTTCCATCAGGGCAAGTGTTCCACCGAAGCACCAAAACGGCAACTTTTCGACTGCAACCTCATGCTAAATGTTCATTATGTCGTCAACAAAGGCACTCACTGAAAGGAAAGGCTGTGAAAATTACAGCCCTCTCGGGAGAAGCAATGTGTTTGCCAATATCAAGGAGTTCGTGCGCGCGGGTAAGAAATGAGCCTTCATGTCCGTCAGCAAGGTGTCCATATGTCACGGCCATGATTAGGGATGCTGCGTATCTGTCGCAAAGATTGATTTTCAACTGGACCATATATCACAGCGACACCACTAAATTAGACACGAACGCTCGAGTATGTTGATGCCAGTCACTAGTGGGATTTAAGAGATTGATGACTAGTTCATTTGCATGGCGAGAATACATCTTGTCGTATGAGACCGAAACTTCGGCCCTGAGGACTTGATGAAAGATCTTGCGATGCCGCCGTAAAGTCTCGCCATATGGAAGGAGCACAGTATTAAAAGCCAGTCCAGCTCTGCATCGTCAGTGGATGAGGAACAAATCGAATGTAAACCGGCAACGCATACAATTCATTGGAGCGAATAACAGGGCGAGTAGAGTAATTCGCAGAGCGCCTGTCCAGCAACTCTCGCGCGATGGTTTCGGAGTTTATAATGATCAAGTCGATGCCAAGTATACGGGAGTGAATGATTTTTCCTATGATTAGGTATGAAATTGAATCTAAGAGCTTGGAAAAGAGGCCATTGGTTTGCTACCAACCATATTTCTTTCCCCACTCAATATATGTGAGCCAAGGTCGTTTAGTATCCGACTGCAGCGCGTTGCCCAAGAATGGTAACGGACGAGGGCCAGGCGGCAGAGGTATAGGGTAGACACGTCTGCGAGTCAGACCCGAAGCGACAACCAGGGCAATAATGCACGATATCCCTAGAGCGAGAATATGAATGAAGAGCATGGGGAAGGATTATAACCGAGCCCGATATGTTCAAGTTAGTTTACTTATAAAGTGGGTCTTTAACACAGGGAAAAAGCATGGGTAACTATTATTACCTCAGATACCCCCATAGTATATACATACCTACCGGTACCAGAGATCTTTAGAGGCTGTATTGATCGAGTACCAATGAACGTCGAGTCCATTGCTACAAGTAGCTTGAAGCTCCCAGTGAAAATCGACCAGAAACAGGCCGATACGTAGTGAAATAGGTCAAGTAGAGAAAGGTGTAGATAGAAAAGTTCGAGACGGCAAAACTCAAATTTTACGTTAAAAGTACAAAGCCCCCAATTTGGAAAGAACGTATGGAAAGCCAGACCAGGCCAGACCACGGAGCCGTCAAGGTGCCGTGCTCAACTTCTTCTTCTCAGAACCTGCCTATTGAGGTAAGTGCTTCCATTGACCTCCGAACACCCTGTACGACCATTAGAAAAATTATTAACCGTTAATTGTGATACGTCCGCGTCATGATCTTCTATTCTGACTCGGACATCTGGCAGCCTGTATGCTGAGCATAAGCGCCACGCAAGTACTGGTATGCGCTACAGCAGTTTGTGAGTATATTCGATCGATGTATGCTTCACTACCAGAATGTATTGCAATACTGATTACTTAGGCTACATCCGAGTCGAGGCATGGACATTGGTGACTGCTCACGCAAGTGGAGCCATGTTCGCACCCAAGTGTTCTCCACTCTCAGGTCCTTCGACAATTGCAGTAGATCATCCGTTTGTGATAAGCGGTACGCTCTTTACTACCAGGACATCATACGAGAGCTTGATTACGCATTTCAGATTGCATGACTTCGGAGGTGTTGGCGGTCTGTGCTTTCAGCATTGATGTCCTCAAGAACACTCTGGACCTCGTCAAATATGTGGATGGTAGGTCACACCAACTCCCGAGATCGCAAAACTTATTGTACGTCAAGTGGAGAACGATTGGATTCAGTCGGTACATGTCAAATATTCCATTGGTAAGTAGTCGTATTTCGCGTGCAATAAATGACATCATAACCATTAACGAGTCCAATCTCCTGCACCAGGGCACTGTCAATACCTCAATTATCACGGGCAGCAAGGCGCATGACTCTCCCGAGACCAAACTGTACATGGTGACTCCTACGAGGAACAGTTCATGATCACCCTTACTCTTCAATGTCTCTTATGAGCACGTCCGTTCTCTTCACAAACTCTACGTCGACTCTATAGTTAATCAGTTCGACTGGCACACCTTCGTTCAGAAGCTGAACGGTGAAATGCAGGATTTCAATCTGCTTGTAGGCTCATTCCCTGTTAATTTTGCGATATGCGGATCATGCTGACACGTCGATGATCAGGCGACAGTGCTACAGACATGGTTGATATTGCAGTGCGTCTTCTTACAGCTCGCTCATTGGTCATCTCCAACGAACGTATCCGATTAGCAAGCATGCCTGGAGAGCTTAGTGCACCCCAAGCACGGCCTCGAGTCGCTTGCAATTATATACAGCCTTCTGTATGCTCTACTCACGAAAAGGTACGTTCGACCACAGCCTCCCCTATCGATTTCAAATTATCCACTACAGCTGATAGGATGGTGTTCTTCGTGCTTGCATTCTTTATTGAATGTCCTCTGGACCTCATCACTCGAGTGCGGTCCCCTCGGTCCCTGTGAGTGTGGCGGCAATATTGACGGACCCGTATATATATTCTTAAGCTCTTTCCGGAGGCTCCGGCTGCCACTGATGCACTACTATCATGATGGTCAGCTCCGTTAGCGGAGGGCAGGATATTTTTGGTGGCGGCAACATAGAGGTCGCAGTGACAACGTTCGAGGTGCATCATATCTGTAACAAGTACTGTGAATGGGCTGGCTTGCAGAAGTATCTGAGTCAAGATGAAACAGTCGAAACTCGGGCCTCTTAGTAGTGAGCGTGATGTTTGGATTTCGCCGATGAAGACGCTCCGGACTCTCAGTAGCGAGCGTATTCACGTAAATTTACTCCTTGACACGAACTTGAAAATGATGTACAATATGACTTCCTTCTCCGTATCTGCCATGGCATGTCACAACTGATGGATCACAGTTTTATATATTTTTCCGATGGGGGTGTTCGGAGGTCAATGGAAGCACTTGCCTCGATAGGTGGCAGGTTCTGAGAAGAAGAAGTTGTAAAAGTAGAGCACGGTGGTCTGGCTTTCCATAAGAACGTGTTGCAAACTAGACTCGTGACCAGTCTGGACTACTGTCAATGCATTGCAAAATGTTCAATCACTGGGCAGAATATATATGTACGCACGAGGAACGTTCGGGAAGCCGATCCGGGCGTCATATGTGCAGGTGAACTTCTAGACATTAGTCAGCGTTGAATAATATCCCCTAACGGGTCTCTAATGATCACAAGATCAAGAGCTCAATGCTCAATTGGCAATAATAAAACTGATCCACTCAATTCTGCATCACCACGCGGTCAAGAGTTACTACTAGGCCACGAAATAAGAATTGAGCGACGCTATTAGTTTGAGGCAGAGATGTAAAGCAGTAACTGGCACTTACCCGGTTTGCCTGACATGGTGTCAACAGCTCATGCAAATGCTGAGAAAGAGCCAGCGGCTAACGAGAGAGACGGCGGGCAGATCATGCTTCCAATTGGCAGCTGATGCGCACTGACCGGAAACTCCCGAAAGAGACCTGCATGCGGAGTCTGCGTCAAGCTTGTACAGACGGTCAGACCTCACACAGACTGACTACCCACTTCCCGGACTTTCTGAGCGACAGTAGCCCGCACAATGACGATCTATAGCTTATATATCTACGATAGGTGAGTAAATTGGCTGATCGGTCACTAGATCATGATGCCCAACCGTCGAGCCAGACATTGCGCATGTGTTTACTATCAGGACTGGCACCGGACCAAGCAGCCAAGGCGAGCTGGAGAAGGAGGAGGCATCTTAAACGCCGTCTCCCAAGCTGTCTCTCCGCTTGCAACAGACAGTACCGCTCCTACCCCATCAGCATTTAGCAGTCCCCGAAATACGTTGTCATCGACATCAGGGTTGGTTGTCGCTGTGGGCGAGGATCCTGTAACACCTCTACCAAATCAAGCTGAGCATGCAAGGTCGAATACCCTTCCTTTTGATGAAGAGGCGAAGCTAGTATATGGCGTCGTCCTGTCACTCAGGAACATGGTCAAAAAGATCTCGGGAAGGTGTGCATTACTTGCTTGTCCCATTCAATCCTCAGCTGATCGTATAAAGAGATGAACAATTTACCAGCTACCGCACATCATCATACAGGCTTCACTTGTATGAAACCGTATCTGGCTACAAATTCGTTATGTTAAGCGATGCGGCTACTGACGGCCTTCGCTTCATACTTCGTCAAATCTATAATGGTCCTTTCCTCGAATATGTTGTCCGCAACCCTCTTGTTCCCATGGACTCTCGTTCTCAGGGCATCGACAACGATTATTTCCGCGCTAGTATCGACCGTCTCGTTCGTGGACTGTCAGTTTTCTTTTAATTACTTGAAAACTCTACCAATATCTACATACCATACTATAATCAAGATGGTAAACAATAAGCAAAAACACTAACGAATGCAAAGGCAACAAAGCATATTGATAATCATTAAGAGGACGGTGCGGGTATTTGTCCAGGTCCGGTGGGAGCTCCATCTTGCCTTTCCAATTGCCTCCTCAACTGCCCCATGAGTGACTTTTTAACCTCTTTCTCCTGTCTGCTGGCCCCCTTGTCGCCGTCAGCTTCCTCACTTTCTCCTGCCACTGCTTCGTCGAGGGCCAGTTTAGTTTCCCCAAGTCTGAGCATATCTTCTTCAATCGTCCCGCGACTGATGAGCTTCACGACATCTACATCTCGCTTCTGGCCGATGCGATAAGCACGGTCTTGTGCCTGCCGATCATTATGAGGATTAAAGTCCTGGTCGAACCTTTGGAGGATGAGAAACTGGCCGCGTGTACACTGATAATGTAGATCACTTACATGACAACGACGCTTGCAGCTGTCAAGTTGATACCCATACCACCTGCCTTCGTTGACAGGAGGAACACAGGTATCGACGCATCTTCGGTGAACTCATCCACAAGCGTTTGCCGCACATCTACGGCAGTGGAGCCAGTTAGAATTAGATATTTAATGTCCTTCAGCTTCAAAATCGCTTGAAGAATGTCTAGTATCTGTGTGAACTGTACAGGGGTTGTAAGGTTGGAAATTCTTTATTCAAGCAATAGGGACAAACCTGAGAGAATATTAAAATCTTTCGTTCCGCCTTCATATAGTCCTCAAGCAACCGCAACAAAACCGATATCTTTCCAGCGTTAAGATAGCAGTTTTGATCCTGGAGAAATTTTCGCGTCGACTGCGCAGCGTGAGTACGGCGCATCCACATGAACAAAGTAGGTTAGCCCTAACCTTATATCCCTGACAGAAAAATTGAAGCTCTGCATCAGTCATGACTTCCATATCCTCCTTGATATACTCAAAGACTGCGCCTCGCTTCTTGAATTCCGGCTCCTTGAGCAGTTGTTTTGCTACTGAAGTCAACGCCTGATCATCGAACAGCTTGCGGAACAACATAGGATGTGAGGCTGCTTTGCGCAGATCCATGAGCACGTTGGAGCTGTTTTCCAGGTATTTGTCCTTGGCACGAGGATTGGCTTTCGTCTTCTTTTTGACGGCTTTACCATTCGTGACTGGCGTTGTTGTACCTGATTCGTCGGGAGTAGCACATTCTGCATCCAATATCGTTTTTCGCGACCGTTGCAGAGCATCGTGGTATATCGATCGCTGTATGTCGGTCATATCACACCATTCTATCCGCTCGGTTTTTAGCGGAAGGTCCTTTAGAACCTGTAATAAAAGAAGGTTACACGTCAAGCATAACAATAGCATCATAGACTTGCCTGATCCTTGCGCCGTCGAAGGACAAACGGCGTCATCATCTTCTTAGCTCTTGAAATACGCTCCTGAGAGAGCAATGTGACCTTGGCATCGCCCTTCGTTTTGAAGATCGCTCGCAAGGTCTCCAGCTTTTCCGAGAGCATACCCGGAAGGATGAAGTTCATCAATGACTAGACGGCATTTTTTTTTTGATGTGAAGTCGAACTGAGCAGGTCGAAAGATTGGGCTCACCACTAGCTCTTGAAGGTTGTTCTGCAAAGGAGTACCTGTTAAAAGGAGTCGCCATTTTGCTTCGAATTTGAGTAATGCCTGGTAACGCTGAGACTGGAAGTTCTTCAAGACGTGTCCCTCGTCGAAAACAATAGTCTAGGTCACATGTAAAAAAACCTAAATGATATAGAGCGAATATGTTGACTTACGTCCCACTCCATTTTTCTGAAAAACTTGCGGTCTTTGTCGTCACCTTGAGCAAGGTTGTAGGTGGTGATTAGCACCTCCCACCCCGTCCCATTCTTGCTTGATCCCCGCCGTGTGTCTATTAGCATCTGTCGCAAGTTTGCTCGTTCCTCTTTGCCAGCATAGAAAGTCTGCACTGATATTGAGGGCGCGAACCGAGCAAACTCTCGACACCAGTTTTCCAGCGTTGACGATCTGCAAGAAAACGGATTCAAAGCGAATACACTATCAAAGCACGATCAAGCATACGGCACAATGACGAGATGCGGGCCAAAGTTTCCACGTTCCTTGAGCAGAGCGAAGAAACTGATGACTTGTATGGTCTTCCCGAGGCCTGGATACTCTCGTGAGCGTCCTGACTGTTCAAACCGAGGGAGCACAAACCCATTTCGTCGGCTAGAATACAACTGTGTCTTTTCCGATAGAGCAAAAACAGCCAATTGATGCCAAGAAGCTGATAGTCCTTGAGCATTATGCCTTCCGCAATCATTGAGGGTTGAGATGAGATGAAGCCCTTGGATGCAGCATCGTTTGAAATTTTCAATGCACGTAGACTCAACGAGCCTTCCTCAGTTTGATCCGGGGCTAGTGACGCTTCCTTGCCTTTGCCTTTGCTTGACGAATCTTCCGTAGTCCAAGTCGCAATAGCAGTGCGCAAGGTTGAACCAATTTGCTCGCACTCTTCAAGGATGCCATCGACAGTGTCGTAGCCTTGAAGGATTTCCTGGCAGTCTTCGAACATACGGGGGCTGATTCCGGATGGTCCTGCCTTCTTCTTGCCTTGGTTAAGTTTGGTATTGAGGTCCGCTATTGAAGAGTAAGGCCGAAGCTCGATGATCTTCTGCGCTTGTTCTGGGGTACAGCCTATTGTGATCTTAGAAGCTGCGCTTGATGGAGATAGCAGTAGGAAAGATATACCAGTTAATTCCTGAATAGCATCTACATTGGCCTGGCTGAAATACTCAAACGCTGCCCTCTCCCGAGAAATTTCTCCGTTCTGACGTGTTCGTGGAAGCTCCTCCTCGCTTTCACTGGCTTCGGCCTCGTCGTCGGAGAGGATCAACTTCTTTGGTCGCTTGCGGCGTGGGGCCATGATGGCAGGTGTGGATGGGGATGCAGGCGACATAGCTCTGGGTATTGGGATATTGGGAACCGCAGGGGACCGTGTGGTATCTAATGTAGATCTGTTAGCATAGATGGATGATTTCTTGGCCTTCTCCCTGAGAGCAGCGCGCTGGGTTTTGGTGGCTTCATCGACCTCTTCCACTCTCCCAGTAGTCTCGACAGTAGGTGGTTCTGGCGCTGACATAGACGGTGCTTTAATGACGGTGGTAGAATTAGATGGAGTCGATGTGGATTGGGGCTTCCATGACGAATCAGAGAGGAGTAAAGATGCCTTGTTGTCATTCCCATTAGCTTCATTCCAAGCAGCCCTGAGGGTGGCTAGGTCATAACCAGGGTGCGAAAGCTGGAACACAGTGAACACATATGAGTCAGTGTGGTCTGGGCGCTGGCCACGAACGATCCGCTTCGAAGGTCCTTCCAGCGACGACCTGACATCCAGCATCGATTCATCCGACGAATGCGACTGCCTTTCTGCGTTCACATTCTGTTTACGCCTTTGCCCTGGATGCTGGATATCTGGAGAGCCAGGGGTTACCATCCCGAGAGGTAGAGTGTCGGAGGGTGTTCCGCGATTCATACGCTTTCTCGGTGGACCTTCATCCCCAAAACTGTCAACTTCCGATAACGGTCTCACATCTCCAGCCCATGGACGCGACTGACGCGTGAATGACGCGTGAGCAGGGCCACTACCGTGGACAAACCCACTTGATGAGGACAGGACGTCGGGCACGGCTGAGGGACCGGACTGACTCCACAGATTGAGGTGATTAGGGCCAGTCGTTGAGGAGCTACCTTGAGCGTACTGGAGATGATGTGGTTGATAAGGCTGATGATAGCCTGCATCTTGAAGTAGGGGGCTGGAATTGGGGACGAGGACTATGCCTCGTGACGGAGTCGCTGGGGGATGGTATCGCGCTGGTGCCGTAGCATCCCGGGACTGAGGAGGAGGGACAAAGGAAGGATAAGCGACGTTACTAGTGGCTGCTGAAGAGTTAGTAGCTTCAGATCCATCTTTGTTGGGCTTCTTCTGGAACCTTAGTCCGCCAACTGCAGTCGTTTTCTGTAGAGACGACGGGCGCTTTGTGAGAAAACGATACAAAAAGCTGAGTTCTCAACTAACTCTACTGCTTGCGACGTCGTCGACAGACATCGACGACGACATACCAAGTTAAATTTTGGAGAGGATGAGAAGAACCCAAGGGATTTGTAAGTTGTTGCCTACAAGTTGGTGGGAGGCAAAGTGGATGTACGCCATTTACCCGTAACGTCGGAGAGTCAATGAATGTGGCACAAGAAAACTATATTTCCACTAGATAATAGACATGAAAAGCCAAAGGCTGTACAATAGATAGGTGCATGGTATGTAAGGACACTGAAGCCGTCGCGTGTGGATGGAGAGTAAAGACTTGCATGGTCACGGAACATATGCTGCGTCGGTAGAAGGTGAATGCATATGGAGCAAACGTGTCCACTGTCGATCCTATTAAAAGGAGTGAAGCAAGATGTTGTGATACCATGTGCACGACGGCCTCTTGACAGATGCGGCGGGGAGGCAAATAGCACACTCGTCTCTGGTAATCGGATACCAGAAGTCGACGACGAAAAACAGGTTTGAAAGATTTATTGTCAGATATGGACTACACATAAAGATGTAAGAGCCTGCACGTAGATGTGACGACGCACGTAGAGAAGAGTCTAGCACATTGCTAGTGATGTGCCGCACAAATACTCAGAATCGACCAACGGATCAGGAGTATATCAAGATCGCACAGTTCCATGTCCCGAATACTAAGTGCCAATTCAACTTTGGACTTGATCATACCAAGTTCCTTGCAATGAAAAGCTAATGAATATTTCCTAAAGAAAATGTAAGTTTAATTGAAACAAACAAACGATCTACTCACTTCAATCGAGGTATAGTAACACGCATCGGTATTGAATGACCACATCCAAATGATCATTTATAAAAAAAATGGGATCTAGCGAGACCCAACTGAAATTCTATATACAAATGAAGCTGGTAAAACTCACGAGAAGCCCCAGAAATTTATGATTGATCATGCATCATAAAAAGCTCACGAGAGAAGAGACATACAGTCCTGCTGTAGGCTTCATATCATGAAAGTAGGCCCATGTAGAGGTTGCAGCAACGGCAACAAAACCTGGGAACTTCCGGGGGAAAAATCAAACAACATAGAAAACGGGTTTAACCTAGAAACTCGCTGAAGCTGCCTGAAAAATTGCGAAAGATCAGCGATACAAGTTCACATGAGCCACTCAAAGACGTTTCAAAGAAGGGAAAAAAAAAGTATAAAATTAAGAAGAGAAAATGAACTGCGGATGCCTTTATTGAAGACAAAGAGACTGTAAGAGATGGTGGTGGTTCGAGTTCAAGATGGTTATCACCCGAATTACCACTTTGGCAGTGTCAAGGCACTTGCCGAACTCCCAGAGGACTGCGCACGCCTCAGCAGCCCAAGCGTTTCTCTATTTCCCTCCTTACTGCAGCCATCATGCTTGGACTCTTCGATATGATGATGTTGTTAGGGTCATTGGCCTTGTCACTGGCCATCTTGGTGCCATTAGCTGGCGCATTAGTGCGCTTCAGAGCGCACTACAACCCAAAGGGTCTGCAACTTGATGCAGAGGGCGGTGTGCAGCCTCATACTGGCCCAGTCATCTCATCCTTCTTTTCAATGTTGAGAAGGGTACATAGAATCGAGGTAGGTATTCTCGCACATTCAGATGACCAGCGCTTTGACATTAATATTGTGTAGGGTTGGCCAGGACTATACAAGGGATTGAGTACGAGCTCAACATAATATTATTATGCCACATCTGACGCATATTGCCTAGTGCCTACGTTGTTGTCAACTCTCGTCATCACCTTCTTCTTGATGATATTTTTGAGTGACAGCAACCTTCGCCATGGAACATACAGCGCCCCTGATACAGGCGTTGTCGGCATACTCGTCTATAGCATTTTCGCCATGCTTGTTTCTCTTCCTCAAGTAATCATCACGAACCGGTTAGATCGTTCTATTCGGTTCATTTGACAGCGTTTTGAACTAATCTACAATGATCCGGTTTTTTAGCGCAATTACAACACCTCACAAGTTGCCGTACTTGAACCCGATTTACTCACTCCGTGTTCTCCTGACACCCACCGAACGTCGGAGACCTTGGATTCTCTATCTCACTCCCGGTCTCCTTACCGCCCAAGTCGCCCACATCGCCTACATTGTTCTTGGTTTGCGATCGATCCGGCAGCTTCTTCTCCCGGAACTCGCGAACCCAGGCATGCCTCGCAGAGAAGAAATTTCCCCTGTCAAACTCGTCATATTCTTTGTCATCACGCTTCTGAGCACAATTATCCTAACCCCTTTGGAAGTTATTGCCATCAGACTGTCTATCCAACGGAACCACGCGGCCCCTGAGTTCAATTCGATCTCACAAGAGGAAGAAGGCGATGCTGAAGAAGCAACCGAGTATGCCGGTATGGAAGAGGATGTCATTGGGTATGTAAAATCACCTTTCTCGTTTTTGCTCCCTGAGATAACAATTCATAATTGTAGCCTGAGAACCGAGAGGGAGCCATATGTCGGCTTGGTTGATTGCGGGAAGAGGATTATCGAAGAGGAAGGATGGGGTGCTTTATATCGTGCATGGTGGTTGACGACATTGGGCAGCCTGAGCGGTGCATTCTCATAAAGATTTTCAATTTTCTGGTCCATACCGAATTCTTCTCCCTTCGCCCTTCCCTCCTTCCCCCCACTGGTGCATATCCCGATTCGCGAAGGCGCCTTTCAAACCGGAAACATACTATGCACATTGTATTACCGTTGTACTTGGCTGCCCCTGTTAATTTCATCTGTCAATTGCCCACATCTTACTTCATGTATTCGATGGGTGTGGCATGGTCCGATTGATCTGTTGCGTACAACAATGTTGACTGACAGCGAACGAGGAAAGCTATCGATTACAACGCAACCTACAAACAAACGTCACTAGGTGCTCGAAGCTTGAGGCTCCAGATGTAAACAAGTACTACCCAACACTCTTCACAGCTGTCTACATTCCTCTCGTGCACCTCGAGCTTGGCACGATGCTGGTTCACATCGAATTATGTAGGCCAGAGACTTCGGCAACACAGCGTATGACGAGCTATTACTATAATTCGCATTACCCCAAATACGGCAGGATCAAGTGTCCTACTATCGACCCCCCATTATGTTAACCCATCTCCCCGCTCGATTATTCTCCAGGCGAGCCATCCGTATGTGATGAAGCCGCAGTGTCGGACGTAGCTACAGACGACGGCTGCCCCCCTGTCGTCGAACTGGCGTTCCCTTGCCCAGAAGTTGCACCCCTCGACATCATAGAATTCAATAAATATGCCAGTCCGCTCACTTGCGGTGACTGTAGTAGCGACACATTTATCTCTAGACTCAAAATTGTTCCATTGGAAGTAGACCCTCGTAGCACAGCCGCCGGCTGCGGCTGATCTGGAGGCGGGAGCGAAGTAGCGGGAATCGGCACTATTCCGAGAGCGTGTAGGGCAGGCAACGAACTGACCGGAAGCTGTATTGGAATTGCAGTAGAAGCCGATGTTGCAGTGGAAGCAGCCGGAGGAGCTGATGTAGGTGTCGAGTAAAAATTCGAATTTGTAGTCCCTTGAGAGGTATTGGTATATGGTTGAGTGAATGCGTATGGGTACGTGCGATAGTACTGGGCTTGCGAGGCTTGAGGATAATAGGTTGGACGAAAGGAACTGACGGCGACATTGGCTGCGATGCGTTTTTCACGCTGTGACGCGTCTAGTTCGTTCCGTGCGTTGCGTAACTCGGTGCTGACAGATGATGTTTCTGCCCGTTCGTACTCCGCCATAGCTTGAGTCAGCACATATCCTTGATCATCTGGAGAAGGCCGCTAAGGAATACGTAGTAAAGAGTCAGCAAAAGAAAGCCCGTTAAACGGAAAGAACAAACCATGCCGGACTTCATTTTGGCGCGTCGAAATCGCGACTCAAGTTTCCTCAGTCGACGGTGACATTCCAGGGCAAATTTAGTGTCTATGACGAGCAGATTAAGGAACTCCACCGCCGTGAAGTATGAGACAGCGTTTTCCTACCTTCAATCTCATCCCGGATCACATCGTGGGCCTTCCCCTTTCCCTTCGCACGTCTCCTTTCTGCGACGGTCCTCAAGTCTTCTTGAGGTTGTTGGAAGACGTGGTAAGGAAGAAGCCGATGGACAACATCCACTGCATCAACAAAAGGAGAATCCACGTCAGGATTGAGCACTGCTGCGTGATCAGCAGCAAGGCACGACGCAAAACTGTCCAGAGCATGAGTAAAGGCCATTTTATGAATCTCCAAGACATACCCCTCCGCAGTTTCCCTGGTTATACGCAAGTCCTCGGCCATTCCATTGTTCAAATAACTCACTAGACCAGATGCCGCATTACTGGTGGATCCGTTTACAATGGGAGTGTGTAAAGATGATAGACTTGCGACCGGGTCCTGCAATGAAGAGGAAGAAAAACTTTGAGGTGATGGATCATTTGATAGCCAAGTAGCCGTGTTAGATGACTCCTCGACTGGTTTCAGAGAGAAGCTATGCGCAGAAAAAGAGCTCTGCGCATTCAACATTTTCTTGACTTTGTTGTGTTTGTGATGCTTTGCCTTGTGACAATCCTCGTGACCGCGCGAACGGCAGAATTTAGGGCAAGCCTCTTCGAGGGGCAGTCCATTTTTTGTATAATAGAGTAGGTATACTACTTAATCGTTGATGGTTCAACGGTCAGAAGTCTCTTCGGTAATCGGGATGGCTGGTCGTGTGATGAGGACAGATTTGAGCTTCTTCAGCCAATCAGACGCTTGAGCAACCTCCTCAGCATTGCTATTTGCAACACGTTCTAGGTAATCCTTGGCAAGCAACAGATCCCCTCCTACAATCACCATGTTATGGCGTGCGACGAATATACTTGACTTGGCATAGTCTTGGACAGGCCGCTCTACAGAACTAAGTGTGACTTGGCGGAAGCTTGGCCAGGGAAGAAAATCAAACCTTCGATACGACAGATTTCCACAACTCGTCGGTGGTATGCCGCGGCCTCCGCTTGGTCCTCCAGCTCCTCGTGTAATTTGGCAAGTTTCATATGGATGGTAGTCTCACGGTGATCGGCACCAAGTAAAGCACGCTTCAGACATTCGATGGCCTCCTTCAGCCTGTGGGTATGGTAGCTCTATCAGCGGCCCCTTTCCCAAGGAACGGGAACAAAAACGGACCTTCCAATTTCTTCGTAACAAGCGCCTTGGGCTTGCCACAGGCGGACATCATATGGCCTTGGTAAAATGTCAGTTTCTTACAAAATAAATAGGGCAGTGTCAAAAACTGACCTGAGAGCAGTGGCATGTTGATAGTAATACAGTGCATATCGGTGCATACTTAGCAATTCATAAGCCTGGCCAAGACCATACCACGCCCTGTAATCCTTCCGATTCACATCTCAGAGACGACGTGTAATTAGCATGCAACCGGTTCAAGAATCGGTGGATTACATACCAACTGCTCGACGATATGCTTCGATGGCGGCATGTGAGTTTTTCATCTCGACGTACTCATGGCCCATCAACGTCCACGCAGACAAATAGGTTCGGTCCAGCTCGGTCGCCCGTCTGAAGTATTTAACTGCTTTCTCGTGCTCTGCGCGGAGAGAGTAATGATTCCCTGCATTCCAAAGGTTAGCACACACGAATAATATCGGCTTCATATCATGACTGACCAACCAAACAGCAAACTTCCGGTCGATCTTTGTCGAGTTCAAGAAATTCATGCGCTAGCCTAGAAAGCTTCAGCCGATTGTCGGTGACATAGAGTATGTTGGAGTAGACGTCAATATCATCGATACGGTGCGGAGCAATCACCAGGATTTTTTCAAATTGTTTTTCTGCCTGTCCAAAGTCTTTTTTATCATAATCACATAGAGCACTGGTTCATAAGCAAAGGACCGACCATGCAAATGATACAAGGCACATGCCCGTAGACTCATGACCCACGCATTGTCACGGAAACAGTCATCCCCAAGAAGACGATCGCACATGGCCAGCTCGTTTTCTGATGGACTGTGAAGCTCGTTCATCGTTCGAATTTGAAACAATAGAATGAGGGGATGAGTTGCAGGAAGGGGCAACAGCGGAAGAAGTGCTGTCAACTAACAGTCATCAAAAAAGGCAAGCTTTGATATGCTCTCAACCAACCTCGTCACCATCACCCACACAATTGCACAAAAGGGTCCATACCGACCAGTTCCAGTGATAGCCACTGATGGACTGTATGATGCTTTCAATGGCTTCTTCTCGACGGTTGAGACGTGATAAGAAAACGGCTTTCCTAGAAAATGAAAACAAAGATTATATGGAGATGGTACGAGGAGAGTGCAGCGATAAACTTACAGGAAAAGAAGCCAAGGATCTGTAGCGTTCTTGACCATGTCCAGAAGAGTTGTAAGCAGACGATTTATTGGGACGGGGGGTTGTCCTCGAGTATCTACCAATGATAGGTTTCGAAAGGCAACAGAGAGCGCCATGAATATAGACCCACTATTTTGTCTGTACCAGTCTCGCTGCGCTTTTCGTTCTGCAGCCTTCAATGAACACGTCAGCTGCTGTTGGAGGTCATGGCTTGGTGACAAACCAAGAAACAACTATACACGTAAATAAATTGTGCTTTGGCACTCTTGCAGTTCTTCACAGTGAATTCAGCTCTTGTGAACTCTTTCGCTGTCATAAAAGCTCGAGCAGCACATAAGGCGGCTTCATCCTGTGTTTCTAACTCGGTTTCTTGGGCACGGACTCCAGGGAAGTGTGACGGAAGATGAGCCTGGTTTCCAGGAGTAACAGGGATGCATAGTGCAGCACTGGAAGCAGGCGATGGCTCCGCAAAAGGTAACGATAGCCTAGGAGACCGAGAGCGCGCAGGAGTAGATGTTGAAAATGTGGCAAATGCTTCAGAAATTAAAGCGTCACGTTTGTTTGAAGGGATGGCATAATACAATTCAGAAGACCTAAGAAATAGAAAGTCCTGAAGTCAGCCACATCCAACCAGATCCAACCATCAGCTCGAAAAAAAAACCATTTGGATGCAACTGATAGCCCTCTTTCTGTGCAATCTTGGATTGATTGCCGCAAGTCGGCAACAAGTCTGGCATCCATCAGAGGTACCGGAGATGACATGATGCCGCCGGCCAAGGTCGACTAGGTTAGAGGACCTGACGAGATACCTGAGCCGAACCGACCGTCAGGAAGAAGGTCGCGGAAGAGTAAGTTTGTAGCACCTTACGGAACAGATATCGAGAAGAGGTAAGGTTCGAGAAAATCTGAAAGAAAGCCAAGAACAAACTCAAAATGCAAGTTGGAGATAATCGGAGCGCCGCACAGAGGTGAATTCTGGAATGCGAAGGGAAGAACTTTGAAAATTTGACGGATCAGATACTGATGAAATACGACCTTCCACTGGCAGCTGCTGCCACTTGTGGCATAGTCAGTGACTTGTTGAGTCATGCAGTCCTGCTCCCACCAGGCTCCCACGCTTTAAATGGTAAGTAATCGTTTGGCCTTGTGTAGTAATTTACGTGCTGAACGCTGAGCGCTGAGTGACAACGCCTCCGATCCTTCCTATTGCTTCAGGCTCGACAATCTTGCCAACCCTGCTCCTTAGCCTGACGGCAATCTATTCGAACTTTCCTTCAGTTCGAAGTTAACGTGCAGTATTCAACTTGGAGCCGCTTTTAATAGAATTAGAAGTGCACCATGTCCAGCTGCGCAATAATCCTCTTGCCATTCCTCTTGTTCTTCTGTGTCAGGTTATATTTTGTCATATTTTCTTCCAGACGCATCAGGCTCGCCCCGGCAAACCCCAGGCCTCAACGGACCTGCAGCATTGCTATTTTTCTTGGTTCAGGTAAGCATTTATTTACTGGTCCTCCAGGACAGCTTGACCCTGTCGATTGTAGGGGGACATACCAGCGAAGCATTGAAGTTGGCTTCTGCGCTAGATTTCGGTCGTTACTCTCCACGGACTTACATAGTCAGCGAAGGCGATGCGTTTAGTGCACAAAAAGCTCTTGCTTTGGAGCACCTTAAGGCCACTGACGATACTTTATCCGACGTACGGAATATGTCGAAATCCCCGGGATTTGACTCATTTAAAATAGGATCAACCGCAGTATAGGCTCTTGACTATACCCCGTGCGCGTCGCGTCCATCAGTCACTGCTTAGTACACCGCCAGATGCGGTCAAATCACTACTAGCTTGCATGTATCTTGTCTCAGTTCGCCCGTTGTTCAATAAGGGAGCGTTTCGGGAACCATTTGTGGACCTTCTGATCCTTAATGGCCCGGGAACGTGTGTCATTTTATGCGCAGCAATTCTTCTGAATAGGGTAAGTTCTATATTTTTTTTCAAGGCATGCTTGCATAATTTTGATTCGTGATTTGGCAACATTGATCCAAATCAGATTATCGGACTACCTAGTCCACGGGTGATGTACGTTGAATCTTTCGCCCGTGTCAAGTCCCTCTCACTTTCTGGAAAGCTGCTCTATTATTTTACCGACCGGTGAGATTGCAGTGTTATCTACAGCGAAAATAACTCATGCGCCTTCTAGCTTCGTGGTCCAATGGCCAGATCTGGTGCAGTCCGGCGGTCGGGAAATTTACCGCGGATGCCTTGTATGATTTTTACACGGAACCCGATAATTGTTATTTAATTAACAAGACTCATTGTATTCAACTGTTGTCACATGCACTCGTCATTAACTGGTACTGACTGCTTGGCTCCAGGCTAAGCCCAGTTTGTGAAATTTCCTCCATTACGACTTGCTCAAACACCGGTTTTTTTACGTTGTGTGCAACATTCAATTCTTGGACGATACCGCCGGAGAGCATTACCGCTTCCGTACTTGCTTGGCAGCGTCGATACGTGTCATATCTATTGCTCATAAGAGATTTCATTCATCAGTCCACGAGACCAAATTGACCTTCGAGGCGTTTCTGTGAGAAGTCTTTGGGGCCACAATGGTACAACTAGATTCACATCGTGTACACAATATGAACAATTAAGCTACGCCTAGCTAAGCCACGTTAAAGCGTGAGGATAAGCACAGGTTTGTGGAGTAGAAACTTCTACTTTACTTTCTTGTCCAACGATCTTCCCCGTTACTTCCGCCTCTTCTGGATGGACTGGCGCTCCTCCCGCGGCCGCCTTCCCTTCTGCCCGGTTCCCACCCACCGCCTCCACCTTCCGTTTTTGCAGGGTGAAGTCTTCTCTCCAGTCTTTGTCCTGCGCGGAGAGACGAAACTAGTTCTTTTGAAGCGAGGCGAAGATGCATGAAATTACAAAAACCACCACGGTTACATTCTCCGTTCTCATTTTGGCGACAACACGCTTCCCGGAAGTCCGTAACAGGAGAGAGTTCCGCGTATAACGGCCGTCCTAACAGGCGAAAGTAAGGTGGATATCCGGGTCAAAAAGAATCTCACGACCGACCTGCATACCACCGATCGTTTAAGTTGTCTACAGCTGCCTGTGCTTCGGTTTCCCACTCGTACCGAGCGTAAACGTTGCCAATTAAATGGTCACCGACATTGTCGCAAACCTAATGGAGTTGAATCATGATGCAAGTCTTGGATCAAGACAGTTACTCACATGCAATTCCAACAAATGTCCGAACTTTGCTAATTCGCAATACAAATCTTCATACACCGCATCAAATCCTTCTTGTAGCTCGGCCTCGGTGAGCTTACAAACAGGATCATGGGCGGGATTATGATACACATTCGGAAGTAAGATTGTTTGCGAAAACGGTGGCCTTATATGTTTTCTTGAGCATCTGTCGCCGTGTCTGCAAGCACCAATCTAACCATTGGTTGTATTCAGCATGACTTGTGAGCGACGCTCGATTATAACGTACCTTGTAGTAGAAAGAGCAATTTACACGATCTTGCTCTGTTCCGAAGATGTTTGCCTAGACGGTGTTCAAAGATATAACTAGCAACAATAAATTATTGACGCTCACCAAGTGAGATGCCATGTTCGATTGTACGATTCTACTTGGTTCGTTGGAAAGAACGACGAGTGCAACTCGAGCGCTCTGAGCTCGAACAGTGACAAAGGAAGATCGCGGAGTCCCAAAACTTCTTGATGACCAAGCATTATAATTATGGTATTCAAAGTACTCAGTAAGTGAGCGAATTAACTTTTAAGCAAGTAGGTATGTTCTCGAGGTCCAGATTATTGAGAAGAGCAATACAGCACAGACACATTGATTCTGCACAGCTGCTCATATTTTTGCTCAACCCGTGCAATATGTGGCCATCTGTTCCAGCCCACTGCGGCTCCGAGTCTCATGGCCCGCCGCCTCATTATTCTTGGCTTTGTTCCTCCAGACTTTTCGGGGCGGCTCAAGACGGTGTAGCCTTTTCCGCTTCGGTTGTTTGTGTTATTACACGCATCCGAAGATATCCACAAATAGTCTAAGTCTGCTAGCCTGCGCCAGACTCAAACAGCCAATCGAACTCAATTGCCGATATCTGATACCTTTTCTAATTCTAGCACAGGCGTTTCATCCTTTCTGATTGGAACCTATGCTCTCCGAGTCCAAAGGACTTACCGAGTTTTGAAATAAAAGTAGGGTTCCTGCCAAGTGGCCTGTTTCCTTGGCATATGCTTGACTGATGGAAGTTCCATGTTGAATGGAGCTCCAAGTGCCTCTGGCCTAATGAAGGTAATCTGATATAAGAAGATCCGCCAGAAGTTCAAACCTCTGTCCCTCTTCTCGCATGAACCTGACGGCCGCTTTTAAGATCATTCCCACCTCCAGAAGAGGTGCAGGTTTGGTAACTTCCTTGCGGCCCGCGACATGATTAATTGGTATGTGAGAGTGACGGTAAACTTGACCAGTCAGCAAGCAAATCAAAGCTCTAATCGTTACTTGAATAAAATTTAACTGACGGCTGCCCCTTTCGAATAACGTCAGAAGTTGGAATTACAAAGCGTTCCACACGACTAGATTGCTTATCAGGAGGCTCTGAAAATCCTGCATTCGGTTTGAGAAATATTGCTTTATTGGTAGGGAGGGGTCTCACGGGACGAATGTGGAATGTGTGTAGCCTATGTGGAACATGGATGCATCGGAGTGTGACGGCCTTGATATGGAGTACATCTAATACAAGAGATAATATTGCTGTTCAGTATATTGTACAATGCCCACTACTCTGGCAGCATCTGTCACAATACGTAAGGAGCGGCTCCCAATTCTACACGCAAGCAGGAATAATTGAAAAGATCAAATAATTGTGAATACAATCTAAATGTTGGTCGTAGTCAGCCACGTCGTGAAGGCTCCCATGACATAAAGGAGTCTTCGCGAATAGGTGATGAATCCGACACGGATGACATAGGAATATCCCAGGAGGTAATTCCTTGCAGAGTCTGTGGAGAGACTGTCGAAGCAGGCATGGTGCGCCCCGATGCTAAACCAAAAGTGGTCAATGGGGGAATGAATTTATGAGAGAGCGGATGTTGTATTTGATTGATATCGTTAGGTGGTGTAGTGATATTGCCTAGTGTCGTCCTGTTGAATGACGGTAAGTTGATGCAGAAAATAACCATGGGTAAACTCACGTAGCAAGACCGTCAAGTTCCATAATTCGCTGGTTAAGGGCGCAATTATTGGATCCATGGTGGTGATATGCCGACCGGCTTAGGATGTCCGCTGCTTTACGCAAGCGCAGAGAAAGCTCGAGCACTACATTGTAGCTCGATTCTTCGGTCAGGCAGTCACAATGACCGTGTGCAGAAGTATCGTGGCAGTGATTAGACCGGCAAGTATCGTCGAGATAACCGGTGATAACATTATGTCCCAGGTTATCTTCACCTCCAATCAAACCCGGAAACGACATGAAAATAGAAGCAAGATCGAATTCTCCGGTAAGTGGTTGCTCTCCCACAACAAGAGGTTGAGTTTGCGCATATTCATCGGTCGGCGTCATTATAGGAGGAGAGGGTGTGCTCAAGGGGGATGATATATTACTGAAGTAAGGAAAGTATGACGCAGATGTGTTTGGTAAGTCGGCAGGTGGTTGAGGAAAAGTCAAGGCAGGACGTGGGTGTGAGGGTGATGGAAGCTGAGGAGACGGATGTGACTCATCCCTAGGGCTTGATATCGAACAAGTAGTGCGAGATGGAGAGGCGCTCGACGAAGATGTGCTTTTTGTCTTGGTTTGCTGTTTGGTCTGTTGCTGCTCAACGGCCGAACCAGACTGAGAGCGGGTGTGCCACCTCTCAAATTCTACTTCTGGGGTCGAACCCACTTGAACCCAGCGAGGATGGGGTTTGTTCTTCAACTGTTATGAATATTGAGCTTAATATTTTTTTCCTGTGGTATGACCATACAAACCTCGCGTATCACTCCCTCGAGCTCGGCAACTCGTTGACGAAGGCGCGAACCCTCGTCTTGAACTTCGTTTCGTTGAGAAGGATCATCCACTTCGTAGACACAAAGGCCGGTCTATAGGACACTCGCTATCAGACATTAGTAGCACATGTTTTATATAAAGACCCTCACCAGACCTAATTGCGTGCAGCGGCCACAAGGACGCTTCCGGTCGCACTGTTGTACAATATATCTTCAGAATGACGACGTACTACTAGGTTTTGTACGTACCATTCTCTTGGATGTGTGGCAATTAAGACATGATTGAGTTGTACGATTGCGTCGACGCTTGCGATGGTCTCCGTCGGAAGTAGGGTTAGCCTCTGTGGTCCGCTTTTTGCGAACAGTCCTTGAGCTCTGTGGACATGCTAAAATTTGGGGGGTGGTTCTAGCTCCATGAGGATGATGAGATGTGAGATATTTGTAGTTGCTCATCGATCACAGCCTTGGCTTCGTAACCCGAAAAACTTAACCGTTGACGCAACATGGGATCGTAATAGAAACCCGGCACAAAATACCACACAACCCCGATGAACTAGACCCAGAAGACAACTTTAAAAAGGCGGAGACAAAACGAGGCGCATCAAGATTACTCAGAATAATCATTTCCGAATCTGCTTACCTAATATGGGTATTAAGATGCGAGCGCGTGATACAAGGAATACTCCAAGACGAAGAAAAAACAAAAAGAAGATGGATGAACGCAATAGATAAACGTCTACAACTAGATAGAGTAATAGCAAGCAAAATAAAAAGAAACAAAAAGACATACAACCTAGTCCACTCCAAATAAACCCAAAAACTGGATAACATCCTTCGAGGTTTTAGTGGGTATTACACTCCCCAGGTCCCCGCAGGTAGTTCACAGAGCCCCACAGACCCCCCTAGTAACTAGGGAGTGCGTAAGTACATTTTTCCTCGGACCGCTATCCCCGATACCGCTATAAGCGTTTATATAGGACTAGACAGTGTCAGTAGCTATATAATAGACTCGCTTGTCCAAAAGAAAAAAAAAAGGAACCCGGCACAGTGATACGGTGCAGGACTCAAGATGCTAAATTTGATCAGGAGACGAGGAGAAGTTTCAAGTTGGAATTGGCGCCGCGCTAATCTTCCCACCAAGATGGAAAGATCAGAACACGAATGGCCATAAAAGGACTCGGACGCAACTCGGATGTGAGTGCATTAACAGTCACGGAACGGTTGTTCGTCATGTGACGTTAACTTTTTAATCACTGTTAGTGTTCAAGCGAATTAGTACAAGAAAAGGCCAGCTAAGTCCACTCCGAAGACCAACTCTTTCGGAACAGAGTACCGACATTTCATATGCCAAGCAAATATTAGTGATACCCAAGACGCTTTATCCCGGATCCTAGTACGTATAATGTACGTGACTTAGATTGATCTTCTGTAAGATCAATATCGATACCAAGGCATGCGGTATTGCCGATCCCATCAGAACCACGAAACTAACCGTGTAATATGCTGCCAGCTTACGTCGAACTCAACTATTATTATTATTTTATCAGTGTTAATGATAGTCCTGCCCTATGGTAGACAAGTTCAACTATCAATTCACGCGACTGATGCTAATGTTTTTTCCCGATCATTGGACGTTTGACTCTAGCCTTGCAGCCCGTTTGTATGATATTGTCACGGTTGCAGCGTTGAACGTTGAATATTGATTAGTCGAATGGTCTCGACTGTCGAAACAATTATATCAAGAATCTTATCTTTCCATTCACGACCTAATTATGCGCCGGCCAACACCACAGAGTACCTAAATTTGTGTTGTGGTATCTAAACGGCGCGTACCATTTTTCAAGTTGGGTGCGGCAGACAAGTTCTATGATCCTATCGAGTTGCACTGAGATCCGACGTGAGAATTGTTTTATAGCAGACAAAGAACCTTCCACTTTACTCACCGCATTCTATCAGAGCTGTGTGGGCTTGCTCATCATGTATGACGCCCGGAACTCCACAGTGAGTTGAATGTGAAAGGTCGACACATCCCATGTCGACAAGTTGCAAATTACGCCAAGACACTGTTGACGTTCATTTTATCTTATAGGATATGAATGCTCCCTCGGAGCGGAGACTATTTTGCTGTGCCTACCTACGACAACCCATTTTCAGTCAACATGAGTCAAATATATGAATCGATCAATAAGGCGGCCCAGGCCCCAGGTTGTGATAGCGCTGGATCCCGCAGACTCGTCGGTGTCGCAACATTACTTTGATTGACAATGATCCCCATTGTCACGTGCTCGTCCAGACTTCCAGACTCCTGAGGCATACTTAATTTACGAGTTCGTTTGCATCGTAGCCGCTTTAAAATGACTTTGAGTGTGTCCGCGGAGATGTTTGAAAGTTGCGCTTGCTTTGAAGGCACCACATGCGTCCGAATAAATCAAGACGATCTTAGTTGGGGAAACCCCCGACATTCGGACACATGATTGGACTTACCGGGTGCTGAATTTAGAGAAGCAATTTGATCAATGTTGCTGCGCAATTCCTTCCGCCGGCGCGAGACATCGCGAGACGGGGATGTCTCAGGGTCGCTGTTTGTAACGTAAGAACTGAACGAACAGTCTACTCACATGTACCTAAGCTGGTTTTAATTGCAAACCACTTCACCACACGACTATCGCAGCTTGTCGCGGTGTCTTTGTTGTCGTCGATGGCGCCTGCGTCGGCAGAAACAATAAAGTAAGAGATGCTCTGCATCTAAATTTTTAAACCGCACCACTAAAAAGTATTGTGCACAGCACTATAGCACTTGGGCATCAGCTATTAGTTGGGTCTCAGGCTGGAGAGTCGTGATTGGTAATCCCAGGTCACATGGGGGGGGGGGGGGGGGTTGCCGCCTCGAATTATGCCAGGGGACTCCCAGAAACAGCCCAGAAACTTTGTCAACTTCAAGGTAATGTATGCGCAGCGCCCAGCGCGCCCCTCGACATTTGAAAAGGTAGACAGCACGCTCGACCGGTACTAGACTGCAGACCAGAATGCAAATATTGTCATCGTGACCCCTTTGAAGGCTAGCGAATTTATTTGAATAGGATGCTTTTACTTACCAGCCTGAGGTTCCGACGCGCTATACCATATGCTCACCTATTCTCAAATGAAGAGTTACAATATAATGACACAAACTTGAAGTGCCATATCACGGGTGATTAATCGATTTCCTCTCTGCTATCCTGTGTTGCCAGCAAATTGAAAGGATTGGTGTCATTCCATTTCAGGGAAACGGCGTCAGCTATTCGAGAAGACTACGAATAGATGTGAAGCTCCACACGGCATCACGTTCGTTTATACTATGACCACCGGTTCCGCACATACAAGTTCTCGCTCTCGGCATCATGATCCATACCGTGAGTACTGTCTTGGCATGTCGATGTCAGGTACAAGTCTAATACTAATGATACACTATCTGCATGTTTCGTGAGCCTATGGGGTACCTTTTTGCATCTCTCCACCTGCGTATGTACATCAACTCGACAATCATCTAATTTGGCACAATGCTATCACTGACAGTATGTACCAACTCATCTAACTCAGCGCTCTTAACTTGATATTTTCGATAGACCAGGTAAATATTATCACCGAACCAGCCGAACCCCAAGGCTAATTCGGAGCAGATCTTATCACACATCGACTTGGTATCCAGGATCAACCCCTTGGACTGCGTCAATCACCGTTTTAACCAAGCAATCATCGTCACCGGACCTGTGGCACTTTCATTTACAGAATTTAGATTAGCCAATCGTAATTTTCACCAGTTGAACAGACTTACATGTAGTCATTTCCAACCGATTCCCAACGGATGTCTTGCGCCATCATACCAACATCGTGGTACCTTGAGTGCGCAGGTGCCCGCGATCGTTATCTTTGACTCTCCTATCTGAGAATTACTAGAAGGTGTGATGATTACAGTACTCACCGAAAGCGCTACTGACTCCGCACGCGGTGAGATTCTTTACTTTACATTCGGACTATATTGCCAGTCTCCTGAGTATCACTTGATACAACTTAGAATATTCTAGCGACCTAACGAACCCCGAATTTCAACCCATGTTTCATCTTACCCAGACTGATATACTGATCTGCGATTTACATCGTGGCAGGCATCTTAAGCGGGTTTACTACTCGACGATCCCGTTGACCACGGCATGTCTCCTTCTCCAGTGTTCACAGTCCATAGCCTCGGGTTTATTTCCTCACGTATTTGACTACTAACACATTTCCAGCGATATCGTCTGCATTCGACGTGATTCCTGCAATCACGCGAATCAAAGCATTTGGGGTGCGTGTACCAATGGATGTTCCAGAAAGAACGTGTACCCAAGTGCCGGGGCACCCACGGGCATGTCCGTAATAAGAATGTACGTTTTACGAACCCGCCCTGTAGGTGAGACGAGGAGATCTGGTCCAAGCTGATTGGCCCAGCGAGTCACTTGGAGTTGCGAGATGTTGATCACTATCTCCACGCCGTCCCGGAGTGGGACTGACATTACCGAAGTGAAATTGACGAGGCGGGGACCGGCAGGGTGTGAGGGAGCGTAATGAGAGAAGGTGGGTAGAAGTGTTGAAACAGGTTTCAAACGTGCGATGAACGATAAACGATTTAAATTGGCTAACTACGCTACTCGGTGATGCAACTCGGGCACTACATATGTATAGTAAGTATGCTAGTACCTCGTCAGCTCATTGAACAGATAGAGTGCATGCCCACAAATATAAGGAGTGGGGAGGTTAGAGCTAGGAGATCTTGGCAAAAGGAGCAGTTAACGGCATTATCCGGGAACTATATCTGTAGTAAAGAACTGACGAAGAAAGTCCCAATCGATTAATGAATCTTAATGAGCCCTCACTCACCCCCTTCTCAGCTAGAAGTTTATCCTGAGCTCATGGTTAGCTGAACGAAGGAAGATGGCCGTTCTCAAGAAATTTTCGAAATTGATTCGGCGTCTCGCGGGAGATTTCTAGATTATAGAGAACAGAAGTAGCGAAGGTCCCGAAACAAGAGAATAATCGCTGCCAAGCAAGTCGCGGCGGCCAAAGTGAACCTGCCTTCTTGCATGACTTCCTTAGACATCCTATTGTGGAAACTTCCTCCAGTCATTAAATGAGATACACTCTCAGGTGCTGTCACTGAATAGAGGCGTATTAATTCAGAGTGATCATTAAATAGGCCAATCTCCAAAGACATGATCGTGGATAAGGAAGAGATTGAAACCTGTCTTCGATGAGCCGGGATGCGGTCCCGACCATTTGCCCAGGCCAAGTCCGATTCCGGCGAACTCAGAGCAGTAGACTGATAGAAATTACTGATCGGCGAATGAGCAGACGCCAAGACACGCACCTGTAGCCTGTGGGGTACTTGTTTGCGCAGTTCGAATGACGGGCAAATATGGCTATTAACGTGGTCTTGGGGCCATCCACAGATATCAATCAAATGGGTGCGATTGATAGAGAAAAGTATATGTAAAGTAAATATCCATCATAGGTTCCATCCACTGGCTTGTTGAGTAGGACTGCTCCAGCCCTGTTGAGTAGATGTCCCCCAACCGCTCCCGGATGCTGCATTCGGACTTGAAGCTCCCCACGTCTGAGCTGGACTCGTCCCCCAAGCCGCAATCGGAGCTCCTCCTGCGTTTTGCGCAGGACTTGTTGCCCATGCACTGGTATTTCCCCCAGTGTTTTGTGCTGGACTAGTGCTCCAACCACCACCGCTACCGCCACTAGTGGTCCAGCCGCCACCAGCGGGACTTGCATATCCAGCACCTGAGACGGCACTCTGACCCCAACCGCCACCACCTGGTTGGGGCGCCCAACCACCAGAAGTGGATACATGACCATTCACCCCAGCCTCTGCCGTATCTCCGCCAGTTGGTAACTCCGCTCCTTCCTTCAAACCAAGTATCAAATTTGCAAGTTTTGTCTGCAACTCTGCAAGACCCTGTACCGTGGGAGTGGGGAAAAAGTAAGGGCGAGTGAGTTTGTTGACTGTACTGAAGGACGGATAATGGGTCCCGCACCTTCATAATCACTTCCTGGGGCCCAAGGCTCCCGTCCGTCTCAACATCGAAATAGAATCTTCTTGGCTTGGCATTGAAGTCAAAAACTTCGTCATCTCTTGGCGCTTCTTCTTCCTTCGCGTTTTCACCAACGGGCCACTCCGCCCGTGGATCTGCCTCATGCCAATATGTCGTATGCCGCAATTTATTGTAGGGATCATATTCGAACGCAACTGCTGAGCACGGTGACCACTTCGCGTGCTCCTTTGCTATACCCTGTTATAACTGTGAGATGACGAGAACTACCTAAAGGTGGCCGCGCACCTTTTTGGCAACACATCGTAATTTGAGCTCTTGACCCTTCCGTATCTTGCAAATGAGGACTGGTGGTACATCAGCCTTGTCTGAGTGGCCGCAAAAGTAAGCATGTGAATCTATCAGGAGAAGTAGGTCATACTTTTCCCAACCGGCTGCCCGAAATCGTCTCCCCTTTTCGTGAGCTCGTCGCCAGGATTTTCTCCATCAGTATAGCTGGGCGGTATGACCTCAAGATGATTGCTAGTGACGTCCATTGTGCGATTATCATTACACGAGACGTCCAGTCTTAGCTCTATTGAGCAATACTGACAACCAGACAGACACAGGCAGTCCTGTACAAGCATCGTGAGGTAGACTAGGGGTGAAAGCGCGTAACGTACTCGAGTGTATCTTATGCCTTCATCGCAATTTGCGCTCACCAACGGGACCATTCCAATGCGATGTGCTATGAATTCATCGGGTAGCACAGTTGTATTTGCTTCTATCTCGACCATGTCGACGGCTAGGGGAAATTAGTCAAGACACACAGTATCACGTATTTAAGGACACCGACCAATGGTTGGTATGTCCGCCTGTACTACACGTCGAAAAGAATTTGCGAATCTGCGCGTTTGTTCAGCAAGGTTCATCACATGCAGCTGCTACGCGTACGCGAGGTCGACATTCTCAAGCATAAAATTCACTCGGTCCTGCTTGTAATCGCGTATTCGAACAATGGGCTCATTGTCCTCATATGTCTGCATGATTGGTTGTAGAATGGAAGGACTTCAATCAAGTATTACAGTCGTGGTTTGGGGGTAAGCGGGATCTAAGCAAAACCCAGACTTTTGAGGAGAGGACCCCGTGCACCCGAAACCCAACGCAGTATTCCAAAAAGACAAGTAAATTACTAGATAGTACATAGCAGATGCTTAAGCTTAAAGGCTTTAAAGCTTCGCTACAATTCTCTGCTTTTCGTCCTTGATGTGAACAATGACCTTCCCCCATGTCTGTCGTCTCTCCAGTGCATCCAACCCTACTGTGACCTCATCCAGGGAGAAGATCTTGTCATATATTATCGGTTTAATGCGACCAGAAGCGAATAGCCTCAAGTCGATGGCATTAACAGGCGAGCAACCTCGAACAACACATATGTTAACTCACCCTAGCAGTTCCTCCCATACTACGGGAATGCGAGATGGTTCCTTGTCTGCATAGATATCAGGCTCTGTTAAACCTTGAGGCAATATAAAACCTACAGGTATACAAGCCCCAGTGAAGGCCCATGACAGTAATATTCTTCAGTAGTACTATGTTTAACGGAAGCTGCAGAAGTATTCGGTAAGCAGTAATAAATGCATAACAGACAACACATGCCTTCTCGATCTGGCCTGCGGCGAAGCCGATTACGAGGGCTCTCCCTTTGAAGGCGATGCATTTTAGTGAATCTGGCGGAAAGGAGAGTTATAGCTCCGAATCCTACCCGCGAAAATCACACTCACCAGCAATTCGCCCAACTGGATCATAGACAACATCTACGCCTTGACCACTCGTGATACGCAAGACTTCTTTCTGCCAGTCCTTTTCTGTGTAGTTTACCGTATAATCAGCTCCCCCATACGTCTTACAAATATCAAGTTTAGACTGTGATCCAGCTGCTGCAATGACTGTAGCGCCCAGTGCTAACGTATACGGTAAATTCAAAGACGGAAATCTAATTTCGAAGGGGACAAACCTTTGGCCAATTGAACAGCAACAATGCCAACACCGCCGGCGGCTGCATTGACGAGGACAGTTTCGCCTGGAATGGATCATCAACACATGAGAGAGACATGCTTGATGACTGGAGCCACCTGGCTTGAGCTCTGCACGACCAACCAGAGCCTCATAGCTAGTCGGCCACGTAATGTATAGTCCTAACACATGTGAAAACTCGGGTGAGTGACCGTAGTTCGTGGCTCAACACACCTGCACCCTGGTCGAAAGTCAGGTTATCCGGAAGCCGATTCGCAGCCTGCCATTTGACAGCCACTTTATCTGCAAAGCATCCTTGTGCATTACCAAAGACTCTGTCGCCAGGCTTGTAGGGACAACCTTTTGGAATTGGAGAGCCTTTGGCAACTTTGCCAGCGAACTCTGCACCAAGGGTGAAAGGGAATGGAGGCTTAATTTGATATTTTCCTTGAGCTTGCAATATCTGATAACGTATAAGAATTGCGTCAGGAAGCAACTAGCAAAAACGTTTTGGAGACGATGGATCTCACATCGAAGAAATTCAAAGCTGACGAGTATACATCCACGATTATCTCGTCCTCTGTAGCTTCCGGCTCTGGCGCGTCGTCGACAAGCTTGAGCTGAGACGGATGGACCCACTCGTTCACTACATATGCTCGCATGGTTGAGAAAGCTGTAACAGTTCAAGTCATTAAGCTTAAGAAGTAAGAACCTGAAATCGCGGTAAATTGGATAACCGATGTACCGGGAGCTCGACGTCCTCCCACGTGCCAGTGGGACTTGCCGGCTCCGAGGTCGCCAATTGCTCCACTAGTACTGGCAGTTCAACGTTCTCGCAAGATGGAAGCAAACCTTGAATTACATAATAAGCAAAGAGCCAACAGAACGAAAGTGCTGGGGTCCCGGGGAATATGTGAATGCTTATATATACAATGCGTATTTCTACATGTCGGTGATCAATATCAAATGGTCTATTTTCCATCAAGATACTCTGCATCATGCAAATCCAAATCCTTCCCCGCCCTCGTTAATGGCGAGTAGTAATTGCTGTCGCAACATCTCATACGAAGAATATTGGGGCAAGTCGATCTGATTGAAGCCTAGAAGACAAAGTTAGAAAGTGGAATATAATCGTGTACGGGGTCTTACAAGTATGGGCCTGTGGTAATCGATCTGGGTCTCCATATGCGCGATGAATGGAGAATCTCTGAACGCCCTGAACACCTTGCAGATCCACGAATCCACCAAGCGGTACCCGCGAGGTACCAGTAGCGAAACTAAGAACTTTGGCTCGCTCCTCTCGGTTGAAGGATTTCAAAGCTCTCCACCACCAAACTATCACGGGGTCAGAGCTTGTGTAGCCACTGTACTCAGTAGCTGCGCGCCATTCGTCTACGTCGATATCAGGAGTGCCGGAGATGAGTAGCTCGAGCTCTTGTTCATTGAACTGAGAGGATGCGTGAGAATGCATGCCATAGTTGGTCGTGAAACATACTTACGATTGTGATAAGCTCGTTCGGAATGATCTCCTGGAAGCCCGACACAAGATTCTCGATTTGTTTGCTGATTGACGAGTATAGTCGGAAATTCGCAGAGAGCTGTACGAACTCTCGCTTGTTCTCCTGCGTTACAGGTATTGACTCCCCGCCGTCCTTTAAATTAAAGATACGATTCACACCAAACTGTTGAGAAAATTTAGCCACGAGTAGAATGCAAGGAAGTTGATCAAACCTCATCCGCTTCCACGCTGAATGTCAAGTCCAGGGGTGTTGGATCATTTTCCAGAATCCAGCACAACGAGTTATAGTACGCGGGATCAACCCACTCGACGTCCCGATAGTCCACGGGTTTTCCCAAGAGCTGTCTGTATATGCTCTTCGCAAAGTAGGCGTCCAGGAGACGGCCATCATAAATCGCCTTGCCAATGATGCGTCCTACAAATTTAAAGAAAGACAAATGCTCGGGATTGACCCATGAGTTCTTGTTAGGCTGGTAAGTGAGACGGTCGGCCGCGCAAGGTTGGAAGAGAGCATTATTAGGATCGAACATCTGACGTGCCAAGATCTGGAACCATTCTCTAGTAACGCCGCCAGCATCCACACCCTCCTCGTCATAGAAGCGCACGCTGAGTTTGCCATGCTTGATCTGTTCTCCCGTCTTGCGCTGAAGGTACTGGAAACTATCCTCGAACACTCTGGCTCGGCGTACGTTTAGCTGGAGCGTGCCCTGGTGTTCACGGGGGTGCGGGCGACGGTGGAGTTGCTGAGTGAAATAATTTCGCTTGTTGTCGAAGTCAAGGACACGGGGGTTATGTACCAGCAAGGAGAATGAGCCGCTCATCAAAGACGGATTGTTGCGGACCATGAGATTTAGCACTTTGCGGTGCGCATCCGTAAAGGACACGAAAAGGTCTTCCATACTCTCCCGAGAAGTCGTTGGAGAGCGAGGAGATGCTGCCGCTCGAAGGGTACGAGCCGCGGCTGACTTTGATCCGACGTATTTGCACACTACCATCAGTGCCTCGATCAGAGGGAGCAGTACAATCGCCATGTGCTCCAGCTCCGGCTTCTCTTCAATCGTAGATAGACAATCTCCTAGGCGTCTCCAAAGAGGTGCAAAATGGAAGGATTCGTAGATAGTCTGCACCTTCTCAGCATCTTCACTTTTCCGAGTCTCGTCCGTCACGGGACCAACCATGCGAGGCGTATACATATAGTCAATGGTCTTGAGGACCCGTAGAAGCTTCGTCTGGTCTGATGATGGTGACGAGAATTTCGGTGCAACGGAGGATGCCAAGACATCATCGCGTGAACTCGTCAAGGCATTCACGAGATCGCCCAGGTCTGCAAGAATGGCGTGTCCACAATCCTGCGCCTTTGTTTTAAGCTCCTGCGCGATGACATCGCGCGCGTCAGGAATGTAAGAGAGATTTTGTATCAGGGCAAGAGACTGTTGGAAGGTGCGCGATGAACATTCTCCGACCGCAAGAATGTTCACGATCAAACGTAACACGGAATGGGGGATTTGCGGGGGGACAACAAGTAAGGGTTTCACATCTGTCTGCGCTTCTGCTGGGACATCAGGCTTAGGAGGTTCAGCTGACGCTGCTGTCAATGGGCATCAGACTTTGATGTGGAGCCATGAATAAAAACTGACCAGTTGATTCGTGGGCCCCAGCATCCTCAGAGGTAGTCGGTGCAGGTGCAGCAGGTGCCGCAGAAGTGGAAGTCTCTGGCGCAACGTCATTTGACTGCTCCTTCTTATCCGATTTAAGACTGGTCAGAGGTTTTGTGACCGTCGACAAGAGCGTCACGACGGAATCCATTGTTGAGGGTGTTTTGAGGAGTGATTGACGATCAAGAAGACCAAGGAGTAGTACAATTGGGAAATGTGTCTGGGGCATTGGTTTCTCTTTGCCTTTACCCTTCCTGGAAGGCATCTTCCTCAAACTGGCCGGGAGTTCATGTTCGGTCAAGAAGAATAGCGACGACTGTTCATTTGAACTGACGATGTAGGTCATGGCTTCTAAGCAACGCTGTACGACGAGATCTGGGACTGTTTCGATCTGAAAGCCGCCAATCGCCACTGGTGTGCTGAGGTCCGCTGCTGTTTTCACCTTGGCAGCGGCCTTAGGTGTCTGGAGCACCGCAGATTTTGGAGTACGAGTTGTCATTTGCGCGAAGCTCTTGTCCACAGCAGCAAGGTCCCCTGGGCCACTTTGAAGAATACTGAGAAGAAGATTGAACAGCTCAGAACGGGTTTTGCTGTTTTCGCAGATATTGACCAAGATCTTGAAAAGCATATTCTTCTTCAGAATGTGAGGGAAGAAGAGTAGGCGAACGAGCGTCGCTACCCCAGTCTTATCGAGAAGCTGAATAGCGTCGCGCGGGGGAGGGACTTTGCGAGGTGGGACAGGGCGTTGAACAGCAGCAGTTCTGAGAGCTCGAGCAGCAATACCGCCTCGAGATCCATTTGCCTCGTCGCGGTAAACGCCAGCTTCCGCAATCATGTAAGATGGTAGAGTTTGCAACAAACCATCGTCAGAATCCATCAGAACGACTTGTCGGAGCTGTGGATCCAAACTTGCAATAAAGCTTGCCGGATCAATATCCGCTGCAACTCCCGGAGGGCCTTGCGCGGCTGCAGGCGCTGGAGCATGTCTGGACTGCTCTATCCTTTCTTGTTGGATGAGTTCGGCTCTAATTTCCGGTGGCAAGGCATCAAGAAACTCTGGACTGATCTGGGAGTCGGCAGGGCGCTCGACCCTTGCTGCGCGTTGGTCTCGTACATGCTGGTTGATAACCTCTTCCCGTATATCGTCAGGTAAGGCGTCAAGGAAAGTCGGATCAATGCCCATGTCAGTGATATCCACCTCGTTACCATGGATCATCACAATAACACGCTCAGAGGGAGCAGGTTGAGAAGGCCCTGGCATTTCTCCCACAGCGGACACTTCTGAGGAAGAGGCTTCTGGAGCTGGAACGGCGACATGCTCGTCAGAACGCGAAGCGGGCACGCGTATATCATCCATCTCTACATCAGAATTCGAAGCAATGGTGGTCAGAGGTGGTGGATCAGATGCGAGAGGCTCGGGTTGTGCATTCGCAACATTTTCCGGAATTGCATGAGAGGCCACCACGCTAGAAGTTGCAGCCTCCTCTGTCCCAGTGTGATCGGCCTCCAATTGGCGCGCTTCCGCTTCTTCTTCTGCTTTGATCTGAGCTTGACGCTTCTGCTGTTCCCTCTGTTGTGAGGCCTCGATGGCGGCCGGGAGCAACGCTATAACGACATGGTTGCCCAGCCTATTTGCTCTTTCGGAAACGTGTTTACCATTCAACGTCTTGGCTTCTTCAGTCCACCTTTGCATTGTCAACAAGGGATCAAACGCGTGGGAATCGCCACGGGAATCGCTTGGCCGAGATACACGATCCACCCGCACACCGTCGACTCTGACCCCAGTAAATAGGGCAGCGCCCCTTCGGCCAAGGAATCCTCGGCCGTCCACCATGGCACCAGGAGCGACGTCCACTCTTATGGCTTCTGGGCCATGACGGTCTATGATTGTTTGAAAGATATGACCTGCATCGCCCCCAATAATGTCTTCGATAGAGTGTATGAGATCATGCTGAACGCCCCCAGCTGCGCCCCTGTGGGAGCGGCGAGCCACGCGAGTCAAGCCAACAGGACGGTTCGTCGCTGCGGAGGCGTCCAGAAGAAGGGGGTGAATAGTAGCTTCTGGTGGCGCAGCTGGCACATGCCGGGGGCGACCGAATACTTGCACGTCCTCGCCCGCTTTAAGTACAACTTAGCTTGTGAACGAAAAAAAGTGTTCTTTGACCTACTGTTACGGCGCCTGCGAACGAAGGGATCCCTGCCATCAGACTCTTCACCCTCGAGGTCAACAGCACCGGTGAATCTGAATCCCCCGTCTTGGATGATGCCTTGCACACCAATGACACCCATTTCATCATGGAAACTGAACGATGGGTGAGCAACAGCATCATAGCGATGCAAGGTGACTTGCTCTTCGTCATCTGATAATATATCAGGTTCCTCTCCTTGATCTGCATGAATGACGGCAACTGGTTCTAACAATGATGCTCAGCAAGAGGTTTGGAAAAGTATAGACGGATCACCTCCGTGTTCGTCCTCTTCCTCGTCCTCCTCTTCCTCCTCTTCATCAGCAACTTCGTCATCTTCGTCATCTCCTCCCCCGATATCCTATGAAATCCGTAAGGGAAGCGGAAACGTTTCAACTATTGTAAACATACCTGCCACATGATCTCTTCTTCATCTACCTCTTCACCGGCCGCGGGATCATCGTCATCCTCGCCGTCCTCATCGTCCATTCTCGACCAAGTCATCTTCCTCGTACTCTTCGTCTTCGTCATGCCATTCACCTCCGTTGCTGTCTTCGTCGTCGTCATCATTCCCGCCACCTTCCAATTCATCCTCGGAATCCGACGTCGCTGCACTATCAGTTTCATCGGCATACTCCATCTCAACGTCTTCGTCTTCGTCCTCGTCTCCTTCGGCCATTTCATCCTCTTGTGCATAATTGATATCTTCCATCTCCTGTAATTACCGTTATTTAATATCAAGAATGGCTTAGAACTCACTCACGCCTCCGAACCTATCGATGGAATAATCAAAGTCAGCGGAGGTTGAGCAAATAAGAGTTCGCACTTACATGCCTAAAGCAGAAGTTCTATACAGATCGGGAGTCTCTTCTCGATCGTCGTCATCCACGTCAATGTTCTCGTCTTCATCCTCGTCTTCGGATATTACGCTTTGGGAGACCTTTCCATCGCCACCGTCTTTGGCCTTTTCAGTTGCGCGACTCATCTTGATGGCAATCCGTGTGCTTTGTTTAAATGATAAGCGCCTGATCGTAACGTGCACGATTACACTCACAGATTTTCCATTGGCCTAAGGATCGATGCTACGAGACCACGGACATTGGGGTAGTTCAGGTCAACTTCAGCTAGTGCACTGGTCAAGATTGAGACAAAATTCTTTTCCAACATGATCTTCGCAATGTGCGTTGTACTCTCGTCCTGCGATTTGCGGCTACCGTTGTTGAAGCGTACAGTAAGAAGTCGGTTGCATAGATCCGCCAAAGCGAGAAGGTGCCCGTATCTCGCATCCACAGTGTCTTGCAACGTGAACTCTTTGATGGCGCGACTGATGGCCTCTAGGGTGAATTTGCGGACTGAGATCAAGTCCGTGGAAACATCCTTGGATTCCACCCCTGCAGAGCTGTCGACGCAGAGAGCCACAAGTACGGACATTGCGCAAGTACAAAGAGAGAAGGCCTGGTTCACCTTCGCATATGGCTGGGAAGCAATGGTTTTAAAGGTTATGAGGTCAGAAAGGAAGAACTGGAGGACAGCTGTGCGATGTTTGGTAGCGGGATCTTTGGCAGGAGTTGACATTTTCTTTTTCGGAGAATAGGATAAGAACGCGAGTTTGCAGGCATCGTAGGAAAAAAGCAATTCAGTGAGGCATTGCATAATGAAGCAACAGTACGAATGTCGGTCTTGATCGTTTAGATCGTCAACGCTCTCGGAGGCGCTCTGTGTTGCATCTTCGCGCTTCGTTATGACATCATTATCAGAGGGAGAACGCACGTTCTTCATCAACTCGCTTATGAGAAAATGTACCATTGTCTCCAAAGCCTCCGTGTCAGGCCCATGAACCTCCGGTGATGCTGGTTGGTCAATCTGCATGTCGTTACGCTCTGTGGCGCCAATGTTCGCGCTCGACTGCGGAGTCCCGGGCTTAAGGGTAATATGATGGACAACGGAGAAAGGTTGCTGAAGCTGGCAGAGGTCCTGAGTTACCTGGATGAATGCAGAGGGATCTCTGAGAGCCATTGCACTGCAATTGCGCATGTATCCTGAGACATCAATTATCCTTGTCCGTGGTTGAGAGAATATCCGCTTGATTTCTTGCTTCATGATGTGTTGAAGCACAGATAACCCCTCAGCGATGTGGCGAAGTATGATCACCGCATAAGATTGACCACCAGGAACAGCAGATCCTTTGAGATGTGAAAAGATATGCGGAAGTCCATCGCGCTTGATGAGTTCAGATGCTGTGCCGTGGTCCCTTGTGAGTAAGACCAGCAGACGCAGTGTGGACAGTAGCTCATCCCTGGGGAGGTCGGGACCAGCTAATAACCGGAGGCAGAAATCGAATATAATGGGTCGTGCATCGGTATATGCTGGGCCAGTAGAAATGCTAGGAGTGGTCACAGGTTCATTTTCTTTCGGCACAGCGACAGTAAAGGGCTGTTCGCCGATGGTGAACAAAGCCTCCGTTACAAGGAGGTGGGAAGCCAGCCACTTTGGATGAGATGAAGCTCCGCGGGCAGAATTCGACAGGAGCAGAGCTAAAAGGGTGTCCATCAAGCTTTGTGCAAGGGCTTGTGGGAGCGTTGGGGACTCCGAGAGAACTATTGCAAGTAACCGACATCTAGCAGCCAGTGGCTGTTCATGAAGATCGTAAGCCGCAGGTGAGGAATGATTGTATGTCGTCAATCAGTGTGCGAATCGACTGCCCCTGAAGCTCATCAGTTGGGTGCATAAATGCCCGATGAACCTCAAATATTAACGAAGGGTGTTCATCAACCAGTTGCAAGGCCTTTCGAGGCAGCTCTTTCTTCAAACTCTCTCTTGCTTCGTCGAGATCTTTCCGTAATTCTTCGAGGCCCTTCCCTTGCTCTTCACTAGTCGTTTGGGGGGGTGGGGTAGACTCGGCTGGAGGAGCGGGCGGGGCAGCATCCTCAACATCCATCTCCTCATCAGAGGGATCCTCGTCACCTCCATCCGCACCTGTTTCATCTTGTTCCGCGGTAGATCCGTTTGGCTGTGGGTCAGGGGGAAATGGGTAAGGCTGGCTCAAGAGTAGTTCGGTCGCGGCATTGACATTATTATGAGTGCGGGCAAGAGCGCGTTCGGCGGCAGAGCGAGGGAATCCCATATCAGTGAGCTGGCGGATGCGATTTTCATCTGGCCCAGCGGTTCTAATATGAAAGCCGCTGCCAACAGGAGGGCCAGTTCCGCTATTGAGACCTTCTTGGGAAGGATCCCCCTTGAGCTCTTCATTCTCACCTGCCACCACCTCGAGCATAATCTGAACAACCGACCTGACCAACGTCAAAGGGGATGAACGAAGCCAAGAAGCCTCCCAGATACTACGCAGTAGGGGTATGCTCTCGAGGCGAAGCCCGACAAGGAAATGGTGAGGCTCAAAATAATCGGATTCCGTATCTTTCTTCTCCCGAGTTGTGACTAGTGACGTTTGGCCGGACTCGATGAGCGGCTTTGAAGAAAGTAATGGGTGCAAGAGATTCAATGCAACCTTCAGCCCTCCCTGAGCATGAGCAAGTTCCTGCTGCATAGTCTCCGTTCGATCTTCGGGTTTCACTGCTGTTACGCCATCGACCAACTCAGTGAAGTACTTGCAGATCCTGAAAATGGCTTCCAAGCCCTTTGCACGCTGAAAAGCAAGAAGCAGCACGGTGTGAAGAGTGGGATTCATCGTCCGCTCTGTAGTGCATCAGTTTGAGTGCGGGAGGAGAAGCAATGATTACATACCGTCTACAACTAGGATCGTTACAAGTCCCAACATGACGCTGTGATAGTCTAGGCAACAGACTCGATCGCCTACGAAGGTTACAGTGAGCATACGATCAACTTTTGAGGGTACATCAATACCTTCAACCTCGTACTTTAGATGCTCCACCATGATCTCTGCAATAGTGGCTGATGCAGATAGAATCTGCTTCTTTTGGGTTGTATCAGGATTTCGTCTCGCATAGAACAACTTTACGATGGCTAAGAGAACACATCCAGTCATTTGCCTTGAAAGCTAGGTAGGACCGTAAAACGAACCTTGGAAAAAGGGGGCCAAAGCGCTTGGAAGACCATGTGTTAGATGCTTGAGAGCCTTGGCATTTTTCTCTCGCGGTGTGTCTATCTTCGGTGATGCAGGCGACGATGACTGCGCGGGTATAGGCGCCGATCCCGGCTGAACACCGTTGGCAATAACGCCAACATTGGGTTCGGGGAGAGGTATTGAACCATGGCTAGGTGACCTCCCCAGGGGAGATCCCTGACTGCTCGGACCCACCTCCATCCCCTTGGCCACTATGTCGGCTTTGAACAAGATGTTCTCCCACACCGATGCACGGTGGAGAGCACCTAGCTCTTTGACGACTTTCGGCGGATCGCTCATGAGAGTCTGAAGAAGTCCGATTGCAGACCTTCCGTGTGCATAGCCAGCAGTGGAGAAAACATCAGCCAAGACAGTGATGCGGATGTGAAGGGTCACCAGGCTCCGGAATTGTTGATTTGCTGCACTTTCCTGTTCCACTTTAAAACAAGTTTGAGCAAGATCTCGCTGTCACATCTCGGAGGAAAGATTACCTGAAAGATCAACGAACGGCGCCAACTTGGAATGGGACTGAGGAGTCGCCCAAAAACTCTGAGAGTCGGAGAGGGAATTCTCCACGAGTTTCGAAAGATGGTGAAGTGCCTCATTGGGTCCTACGTCCGCCATCGTCCGGATAACTTGTACTAGCGAGTCTGAAGCAACACTATTCGCATAATCATATGGAAGGCATGGCAACGCAGTGAGCCTGCCAATACGCTCGAGACCCTCAACATTCCTGATGAAATCTCTGCAATGTTGCGTATGTTGGAACAGACCCTCAAGAAACTGCGCACACAAAGTACCGTGAATGCTAGTCTCGGGAAGAAGTATGCACAACTCACTCTGCACAAGACATCAACATAAAGAACTACGTTGTTGTCATGACTCCTCAGCGAGTCGTCGTCAGACGTGTCCTCTTGAGCGTCAGAACGAGCGTCACTTTCCATAACATCCATCGGGATGACATCGCTCTTGTCGTCTTTATCGTCCTTGTCCGTAGTTTGCGAGGCGAGCATGAGACCATACCACTCTTTCTTGTCCGCAGGGATCACAAAAGTATTTCCAAGATCCTCGATTTTACTCAGAGCAGACTTGACGGCATCAAAAATAGGAGTTTTGAGCGTTGGATGGTGGCGGATCAACTCGTCAATGGCGGTGCCCATTAGTACGGCGTTTTCCTTTTCACGAAGGACCTTGATATGGCTCTCGGAAGTGAAGATTGAGATAATGCCAGGTATGACACTTGGGCGAGTTGCAAGCTGATCCTGACCGACCTGATTGAGACAGAGCGCCCCGATTGCATTTGGAATGGCTTGGATGAGCTGAAGGAAGGCGTAAGTCAGTGCAAATGGTAGAGAAACAGTACTCACTTCAATGACAGGTTCCAAACCTGCTTCGATCACCTTATAGAACACCTGAGGCAAGCCTGCTTCTTGAATCGTCGCAAGCGACGTCGGCTCATTATGAATAAACGTTGCCATTATGTTCATAGCTTTCATCGTCATCAATCAATCAATCAAACCTGCATAGCATACAAGGTGCTCACCAAGAGGCAGAAGATTGGGACCAAAGAGGCCACGGTACTCCATGATCTTCTTGATTGATTGTGGCAGGGTGGAATCAATCAGGCCGCGCAACCCTTCAGATGTACCCGTCGACTGCATCATGCGATGTATGGAGCGCAACGTGTGTTTAAGTACGGCGGCCCTTGGAACCGGAAGTTGTCCTGTGACTATTATCACACTTTGTTCTACTCCTGACTCACGACAGTCACTCACCGTACGAACCAAACAGGTCCCTGGAGCGCTCATTTCCGTACATCGTGATATCAAAGTCGACCTCGTGCTAGTCAGATTTTGATGAGTCAATGATTGACTGTAGGGCGATGCTATCCTATGCTTACCTGGATCCTAGCTACCAAGACTTCGACCCCACGGGAGTTTGAAAACACCTGGAACGCATTTGAGAAAGCGTAGAGGATGTTATCCACCAATTGCATAGCCTTCGAGACCATCTGGAGTCTCTGAGCCAGCCTATTCTCCATGATCTGAACCAGTAAGGGAACCAGGCCTGCGCTAACAAGCATATTTCCCCCATTGATATGTTGCGCAAGGTAGGTCACAAATGAAAGAAGAGACTCGACGAAGGTAGCTGAAATTCTGCTCTCCGGATTGTTAACCTCCAAGATAGTTTTTCGCAGAAGCGCCATGATGATTCCATGGTTGACACCGGCATTGACGGCGCCCAACACCTCCGTCACTTTTCCTCGGTACCTAGCGATCGAGTCCAGTGCTGAGATAGCCGCTGTCTGCACAGGTATCGATACCCCACGATCCAACTGGAGTAGTTCCGCGATGTGCGTAGTGAGATCTGGCTCATACAGGAAAAGTGTTGAAGATGCTTGACTCTCGCTGTGCGTATGGCCATATATGGCGATGCAAATTAGTCGTATGACAACAAGCTCCTCTCTCATGATCTCGTTGCCGCTGGCAAGTGCCTTGGCGGATCGAACGCGACAAAGGAGTTCGAACTTGTCATCGTTATTCAGTGGGTGCGTCTCCAATACATCTGCCATGATCTCCATGACTGCCTTGTTCTTCAGGGTCTCTTCGTCAATATGAATGGTAGACGCATATGAATGCGAAGTCGAGGGTGGAACGGAGAGTTTGCGAGGACTGGACAACGTGGCTTCACTGTGATCGGTTTCCTTCCCCTGTCCCTTCTCCTTCTGGTCAGTTCGGTAACAAACGAAACTTACATCACGAGCTTCGGCAGGCAGAGCATCGACCTGCAATAGACCGTTTGCACTGACAAGATCCAGCAAGCTTATGCCGTGTTCATGGATGTGAGGCCACCGCTTGGAGAGGGAGAGCAAACGGGGTGTGGATATGCTAAGGGCTGTTGATACCGCGGGCTGTGCGGAGTATTGTTGTGCGGGGCGAAGGAGAAGACTCAGTGCTAGCGTGAGCACGTCAAGATCTGATGTGAACAGTAGGGAATTAAGCCTCTGAGATCGCATGCATTAAAGCAATGATTAGACGCGGATCGATGATTGAATGAAAAGGACGCACATCATAGGAGTTGAAGGTTTTGCGATTGGTGGAGTTCTCCAAAAGAAGCCTCTCAAACCTGAGAATATAGCTTATAGTTTTCTTCGTCGCTGGAGTGAACACGTTTATCTGCAACTTGTCCACTTCGTAGTCCCGGATGGCTTCCTCTAGGATAACATCGAACTTATCAAGGACCTTAGTCCAAGCATTGAGATCGGATCGCGGCCATTTCCAGGAGTCAATATCAGCCAAAACGTCGGCAAGATCATCGTTTGGGGTGTTTACGAGCTTTGTGACAAGCTCTGCTACTTGAGGGTGCTGAAAACGCCACGACCCTGGTCAGATACCAATTGTTTCGCATGTAAATGAGATTTAGACTACTGACCGGAGAAACCGCCCTCCTTGATTTCTGAGATATCTTCATTGATCCGCAGTGAATGCGGGAAGATGAAGTTGAGGCTTCAGATCTGAATTAAAAGGCTCGACTACAGAAGATAGGAAACCAAATGGGAGGGGAGTTGACGACGTAACATGTCCAACAATATATTAGGAAGGTTTTTTCCACGAACGCGTCTTCAGCCACATCCAACTTGAAATTCAACGACGCGTTCTGGCAAGCTAAGCAGAATATTTCCGAACAATCTATCACTTGAACACCGTCTAACACGTTCATGCCCAAGCGCAAGATCCAAAGCGACGACGAACACGAAGACTATGAGCACTCGGAGGACGATCAGCCAAAAACCGAAACTAAGGCAAGCCAAGTACCGTGTTTGTGATGTCATGCTCATCAACTATTCCATCAAAGAAAAAACAGACCTCAAAGGCAACTGAGCAACCTTTGACTATCAAGAAGCCAAAAATTGGTTCTTCAGACAGCCAAGTGCGCGTTTTTTTACAGCCACTGTACTTAAACCCCTAATTCCGCCACTGGTAATCAGTCTCCAACAGGCTCGAAGAAAAAGTCAACCCATGACAACGATGTGGAGGTCTTCACCAGTTCCGAAGGTGAAAAATATGTTGAGTTGGGCCAAAAGAAACGCGTAACCGTCCGTGAGTTCAAAGGTGAACCTCAACATTTTGCGTCTACATACAACGATGTTGCTAACAAAAAGCAGGCAAGATTCTTGTTGATATTCGTGAATTTTATGGTAAAGACAAGGAGGATGAAAACCAGGAAAGAAAGGCATTTGCTTGAATCAGGAACAGGTTAGTCCAACCAATTGCATGTTTAAGGTTTCCCAAGTAACACCTCTCAGTGGGCTTGTCTGAAAAAGAGCATCGACACCATCGACTCTTTCTTTACTCACAGCAAGAAATAACATTACATCTAAAACTCTATCTGTCAGGACAGTAATGACCTTCTAATTGTATGTATCATAAAATGTAACTAGTAGAGACCAGCGGCCGCATCGTGCGCTCCCGCTAATCCTCTTGAATAAAACCCACGTAACCACGCGCTCGACATGACCAACGAAGCTTGCCAATCCATCATGAACTCGATGAATGTAATTTTGGAATATCCAGTTGCGAACGCCCTGCAGGTGAGTGTAATCAAGTGTGTGGTCAAAGCAGAGGATTCAACGCACCAAGCACTACCCAAGAAAGATCCAAACCCGAGTCCACCCTCACGGAAGCGGTTTTTCTCATCTTGCCATACTGCCTTCATGCAGTACTTTGACGTAATGAGAAATATCCTGACCTATTTATCTGCGCGTTGAGATTAAGCCATGGAGTAAAAAACAATACTGACGCTCGAATGAGTCGTTGCCAGTGAATGATCCAAATGCCTGCGAAAGTGGTTGATTAGCGGTAAATTTCGAGAATGTAGTAGAACCTACCTCGCCAGGTCATTGAGCTTCAAGATCATCACCACGCGCCTAGGTAGTCGGCGCAGGACATCGAGTACGGATACCAATATGTCCTCTTGGGGAGCAGTGCTACGATTGAGTCCTATTTTCTCCTCAGTCTGAGAAGCCATGTCGAGCATGCCTGTAGCTTGCGGGATGTTGCTCTTGGGTTCGTCATCTGCTTCAATTATACCATCGGGTGCCAGCCGGCCTAATGAAAACAGTTAAAAGAGGAATATCTACCAGCGCAGGGGCTTACCAGTCATTGCTGCCTCGAAAACAGGATACTGTTGATAAACACATCATGACATGCTTTGCTCCACCAAAAAAACCAAACCCTTACCAAATCAGATGTGATGTTCCCAACCAATTCTGCATACTTCCGACGGTCAGCGTCGACAATCGGCGACGAGCGAGCAATGAGCGACAGCCACAACCTGCTGTAGTTCACGCGAAGTTCCCGTTCAAGATCAAAGTACAATCCATGGTCCAAGAGTGCGATCTCAAAATTATAGGGCGACTTGGATAATTTAGAAGCAGGCCGTATCAACAAGTTACCTGTACTGCGTCAGTCAAGCTAAATGCATAGAAAGAAACTCATTTACCAGGGTGAGGGTCCTGTAGGAAACCCGAGTCAGACCTGGCTCAACTGTTTGTAAAACACCTCACCGCATGGAACCACCCGTTCATAAACACCATTCGATTGAAGATTCGCGTAAGCTCTAGTGCGACTTTATTCCTGTCAATGTTGTGCTTTGCAAGGTATGCAAGGTCGTCTACGCGGCCGCCTTGAATATATTCCATGATGAGAACTCGTTTGTTTGCAAATATGACCTCGGGTATGTATAATGACGTCTTGACATTTTCAAAATCGGCAATCGCATGAGCTGTATTGCGGGCTTCATGCACGAAATCCATTTCTTTCGGGAGGTTCTCCTGCATATCCTCACCTAACCAGGTAAATTCGAATTCCGGGAACCAGTACTTGATCCAGCCTATAGCAAACTGTGAGTGGCGCTGGGCTCTAGGGACCGGACACGCATACCCAAAGTAGACTGGACCATGTTCATGTCGATGTTGAAGAATTCAACCAGACGAGGATGTTGAACCTTCAACCAAGGTGAACGTCTCAAACCAGCACAACATTTCAGTGCGCACCTTCACTGCAACCTTTTTGCCCGATGCCTTATGATATCCCACATGAACCTGAGCCAAACTTGCAACACCAATAGGAACCGGGTCGAAATCGACAAAAAGCTCGCTTATAGGTTGTCCCATATCTGATAGGAACAATGCTGCAACATCCTCGTATGGAGTAGCATCGCACCTGTCTTGAAGCGGGGCCATGGTACTGGTCCATTCCCTTGGTAGTACAATTCTTTCCTCAAATGATTAGAATCTGCAAAGTATATCGACGTCAAACGAACATACAGCGATGCAACATGCTGTCCCAATTTGATATAGATGCCTGGTTGAAATTTATCATTTCAGCTATAAGGTCCACGGCGCAACCAGCGTACTGGAACAAACCTCCATTAACCAACAGAGCATCCCGCACCTTCGTAGCACTCCGAATATGACATTGTGAGACTGCTTCAAGCCTTTCTTCCTCAGAAGCATAGGCGCCCGCAAGAGTACGCTTGTAATCAATTGCTCCGGATATTGCAGCCCCTGCGCGTTACCATTGAGTGTTTTAAACATCAATTTGTCGCCATAAAACCTTACGCGCAAGTCGTGAGCACCGTAAAGTCGCTAATACAGCATGCTGGGAGGGTTGGTGATTCTCATATGCATAGTACCCTACACCAGTGAGCGCTAGAAGCGTTGCCGGATACCAAAGCCACGACTTTCCCCGAGGACGCTTTGGTAGAGCTTGGGGCGCGTCGGATGAGGCTAGGCGCTTAAATAGGTTAGTATTATTCTGACGAACGAACGACTTTTGAGAGGGAAGGAATGAACGTGAGCTATGCCAGCTAGCTGGCCCACGGAATTTCAGGATGGTGTGCATGTTAATGGTCTGGCAGCAACATGATCGGGCTCGGGCAATCAGGCTACATCATAAAACTTTTCGTAACTCGGCTCGGGCACATAGCCCTACTTATACTTATCGGCTACGAGCACTACTTACGTCAATAACGGCGCTCGGACGCGTCAGACTGTCAGGCCAGACACCTACTTACGACGATCAATTTATTAGTTTGATCAAAGTTTATGCACCAATAGCATCATGAGCTATACCTCTACATACCGTGTCTCGTAGTACTAGTACAGGTAAAAACAGAACGGACATAACATCATGTTCACTATGTTCGGCATCTTACGAGATCGTAGGCGCAGGGTGAGCATATCGGCTTGGCCTCGTTCCTCCGAGTCGGCCAGCCCGATATGCTCACCGGGACAAGAACTTCGCAACCACAGGCCAAGAGTCCAGTACTTTTGGCACACGAAAGTCGGATTTGGGTAGCTTACATCGTGCAGATGACAGACAACAGAAGCCACTAAAGTGAGTGTAGGGGAAGAAAATATGACAGCAGAGGATGAACAAAATCCTGACATGCTATATGTGTCCAAATCAATCTTCAAACAGAGGCTGAAATGCCTAAGGTAGACAATGTATTAGCACTCAGCCCTGATTAGGATGACAAAACATACCTTCTTCCTGCCTCCGACGTCGTCCTGTGTTGGCCCAAGCTCAGTGCCAATTCCTTCAACAAGTTCGAAGCTTTCAGGATCATCATCCGCAGAAAGCATAACCGAATCTCTATCTTCCATGTTGGTAAGATTCTGAGACGCTACGAACTCAAAGTCAACTTCTTCGCCCTCTCCTTCGAGCATTGCCTCTAGTTCATCCTGGTTCATGTCCTCAATACCCAAACCAGATGCGCGTATTACCTCCTTGTCTGCCTGAGAGAGTTGTGAAAGGGGATAAAATAATGGAGTTCGATCCCGTGCTTTAGCTCGACCAACTTCAGGGCTCCCGCTTGGCCCATCCGATAATAACTGAGAGGACTGAGGGTAGAAAAGAGGTTTGGGTTGCACCGTAACCCCATGGGATGGATCTGGCGGGAGATTCCAAGACGGCGAGGGATGAGGCGGCGTCTGATTTCGCGGAGAACCTGGCGTGTGTTGAGGAATATAAGACGGTGGTGGCATTGATCGTACATCGCTTTGGGCTTTTGAAGTAGAAGTCACGTCGGGTGTACACGCATCCATACGCTGCACGGCTTTCATTGGTTTCTTGATCCTCGGTGTTTCGCTTCGCTGTCTCGAACTGCCTTCGCCATCATCGTTCGAAGAAGGACGTTTGCGTGCGTTGAGTAGAGTAGAGTTTGAGGGTGGGGGTGCGGCTGAACCACCGTGTTGCGAGGTGGATATGACAAAAAGACATTCTAACTCGTCACTTTCGACGTCGATGAAGAGAGGGGCCGCAGGATCTGTGAAGCGTAGATCTATGCAGAGACCCATAGATTCCGCAAAAGTAATTGTGGCCTATCAGATAAAATAAGTCAGAGACCTGTAGCAGTGGACATTAGCTGTGGTGACACACATTAAACTCTCGCAAGTGGAAAGAAATGGTAGTCGGGGCTGCATAGACGTCATAGACATCGAACTCATCCGCGCTGATTGTCAGCTCTGTTGATAATTGAGCTTTACCTGGTTTGGGGACAGATATGAGCAATCCACCGTCTGGATGAGGCATTCCCACCTCTAGTGTCGATAGAAGACTCAAGGCTCTTAACCTCAACTTCCGTGTCTCCAAAGGTCCATACAAGTTGAGGATCACTTTTCGCTCCTCGAGCATTCGGGAAATGCTCCGTTATGTCTTTTATTGCGCGTGGACCTATTGTAAGACGGGATTCAGTCAAAGGGTCCGAGGGTACCCGGTGAAAGTGATGATGTAGGGCTCAAGAGAGGCAGTCGGTGAGTCTTTACGATCCCTGCGGAGACTTTTACATGTCTGTGCACGTGGAGTGGGTTCCGTGCATACCATGTTTACAGTGCAGTCGAATGATCAATCTGCTCTCTAATGTGTCCTGGTCTTCGTCTGGCTCGTTCTGGTCGTATAGGTCTGTTGCTTCAACGATTGTGAATTCGCAGCGTTCCATTGTCTTCTCGATAGTTCTATGTTTAATAATGGAAAGAAATGTCTATGTTTCCAAACAATCTGTCACGGAACGCAGTTAGGCAACAAAGCAGACATACCTTAGCGAGCAACTGTCCTTTCACGTCCTGGACGCCGTCTTCTGCCGCGCCATCTCTGAATTTATATCTAGAAAAGAACCTGCGCCCGAACTTGAAGCAACAGTATGCGGAGAGTGAGGAATTAGTTGCGCTTAAAAAGAGGTGTTCTGGATTGGCAGAAATGACAACATCGTCGCCATATCTTGACAGACATGTTAATGCCCTAATGAACGCTGGAACCGAGTGAGCTCTGTAAAATGCAATATTAAGGTTGGAGCAAACGTTTGAGAGCGGCAACGCTGAGTGTCGCTTGCATGAATCACAGCTGATGAGTCAAGAAGTCCAAGCACTGAGCTAATTTGAGGTGCCACTGGTACGCGCCGCGTCGGTCACGGCGGTCAGCAGCGGTCGGTGTCGTTCACACTCACGCTCATCAAACGCTCATCATCTTTTTTTCCAGGCTCGCGAGCTTGGCACTTGGTTAGTCCCTCCTGGTCTTTGCACCATGCCGCCTCCGGTGAAATTAGCTATAATCGGTGGAGGGCCATCTGCATTTTATGTAGCCTCGCGCCTGCTTTCTCTCCTCCCACTGAAGGATCCAATGTCCCCACCACTAAGGGTGCACATGTACGATCGACTGTGGGCACCTCATGGTCTCGTCCGCTATGGGGTTGCACCAGATCATCCAGAGGTCAAGGTGAGCTTTGGATTTCTTCATCTCTCACTAATCACTGAGGAGACTCTTAGAATTGCACGAACAAATTCGATGCGATTGCAACTGACCCGCGTTTTCGTTTCTTCGGAAACGTGAATGTCGGAAGCACGCCCCTCCATTCTATTCCTCACGCGCTTCATTTACCCCTGACCTCCATACTCAACAACTACTCTCACTTACTATTTGCGACGGGATGTACTATGCCCACCCAGCACCCAGCAATCCCTCCGTCTGCTTGGTGCATACCTGCTCTGTCACTGGTCCATTGGTATACACAACACCCATCCCAGCCGCCACCCCCCGCGCTTGACAAGATATCACACCTCACATTAATTGGACAGGGAAACGTGTCACTGGACATTGCACGTATTCTTCTGACCTCCCCATCTGTACTTCGTCAATATGATGTACCAGAGCATGTTCTCGAAGTTCTCTCCCGCTCTACCGTCAAGCATGTCTCCATAGTTGGAAGGCGGGGACCTCTGGAGGCTGCATTCACTACTAAAGAGCTTCGGGAGATGATCAATCTCCCAGAGGCATCGATGGTTCCCATCGAACCCGCTTTGCTTACACCCCCGTCAAATGTCACATTAACACGCCAGCAGCGGCGCACACTCGAGCTACTCCAGAAGGGATCCAAGAATCTACCAGGGTCGACGCCCAAATCCTGGTCGCTCCATTTTTACCGCTCTCCTGCTAGTCTTACTCCACCATCAAGTGCTTCAGCATTAGACATGGCGAATCTTACCCTTGCTCACACCCGTCTTGATCCCGCCACTTCTCGTGCAGTGCCTACTGGCGAGACATCGACCCTTCCTACTTCTCTCGTCGTCACCTCTCTCGGATTTTATGCAGATCCAGAGACGACTTTCTTTGATCCTGCTCTCCGTCACCTTCGTTCATCTGCAGGGCGTATTACTTCTTCTGAGGGTTCAGCCTTGAAAAATATATATGCTTCCGGATGGGCAGCCAACGGTGCTAAGGGTGTACTTGCGTCAACTATGATTGATGCATATGCGGTCGCAAGCACTATTCTCTCTGACGTAGTGCCGTCATCACAAGCGGTAACAACTGCTGCACCACCCCTGCCGGAAATGGGGATGGCACCAGATGAACTGCTCAATAGTCGACCAGATCTTGATGCATTACCATCAGAAATTGTCCATGGAATTAAAGACGGCATGGTCACCCAATATGATGACTGGAAAATCATTGACGCCGAGGAAATTCGCAGGGGCGAAGCCCTGGGAAAGGAGCGGGAGAGAATGGGCTGGGACGAGGCCTTGTCGATTATCGCTCTCTCGCGCGTGCGGCCGTGATCCGACAATCGTGTCGGCGGTGCCTAGGTGAGGGCTTAACATTACTAATTTATATTAGCATATCTATCAAACGCTCGCTTGTCTTTACCTAGATCACTGTACTACATAGATCGCTATTCTCCACTCCCATATCCATCATAATACCCCAGTCACTCAGCTCTGGTTCTAGTCCGAGGATCACGCCTCTGAAACTTAATATCATCAACACCGTGGTTTTCAGGGCTGGGTAACGGACGTCGTTGTGGTAATTCCGAGCCAGCTATATTCTGAACATTTTGATGACCTAAAGGCCTTGGAGGTACACGCCGATAGGGGGCCTGCAATTTCAAAAACAAAAAATTATGAAGCCAAAAGAAGATCGACGGGACACACCTCGGATTCCTGCTTTTGCTTGGAGTAGAAAGCGAATAGGTCCGCAATTTGCTGTTCGATCGCTTGCTTCTCTTTGTGCAGCCTCCCAACATCTTGTGTCATTACTGCAACCTCACGACCCAACTCAGCCTTGAAATGTTCAACGTGAGCTGCTCATCAGAACGCCGTTAATGAAGGACCGTGAGGACATAGGCCAAACGCGCCTTGCACATTAATTGCTGTGGCCTCTTTCATCGCTTCCACGAATCGCAGCCGTTCCCCTCGGATCTCCTCCGTCAGTTCTGGCATGTATCAGACAAGTTCTTCTGGGTAAAGGAAACCACTTACCGCTCGACAACGCTCGCAGCATTTGCTCCTGGTCTGCTCTTTGGCGATTGATAATTTCCATTACCGAGTCAGTCACTAAGATATACCGCCATTTAATCACTGACGCCACAAAGAAGACCCGACAAACAAACCAAGTGCTTTGCGTTGTTCGTCTCCATGAGTGAGATGTTCTTGAACGACCTGGATCAACTCATGGACTGTTGATCGTAAATCATCTTCATTGTACACCTGACTCCGCGCCGCTTCTAGCAGTTGTTGCACCTGTCCACTCAGGTTGGTGCTTCGAAGTTCTTCGGATGTGCTGATACCCAGTTGATTACAAATTTGTTCAACACCAGTTGCGACAGCCTGTATCTGCGTGGTGCCTTGATTGACAAACGCGTCCAGCCACTGATGAAAAGTTGTCAGTAGCAGTGCACACTTTACGCTCTGCAGCTAACCGAGTTTAGTTCGTTCAGGTAGCGGACACTGTCGGCCTGCTGTGCGAGCTGCACTTTTTTTTGTTCTTCATCCGCGTTCAGGTAATCCAGGACGGCTTTCAGCTTGTGAGGTTCAGCCAATGAAACCGCGTGATTGAGAAAAAACGGACCTTGTCATCTAACAGTTCATGTGCTAGCTTCTCTGGAGTTTCCGCATTTTCGCGGGGGCTTCCTACAGTGGGGCTCAACGGGGTGTTTCTAGTCTTGTAAAGTAAGGCTAGCTCATCCAGCTTCACATATATGTCCGAGAGGTCCACGTTCAGAGAGGGTGTTGAACCTTCCGCCGACGGAGTCGGTGTAGAGAAAGGAGGTCCCAGATTGTTCATGGTGATGCTCGCGCGTGACGTCGACATCTCTCGCTCTTGATTGTCATGGATCGCATCGAGTTTTTCGAGAACACGAGGAAGACTCAACTTTAACTGCGTTTGCATGACGTCCAGGATCTTCATAATGGAGTTTCCCTGTAATTGGACAGTACTGGAGGAGCCCTGTTGCTGAATCTCCTCTACCCTGGCAACCAAGGCTTGTATCGTAGAAATAATAGCCTCCTTAGCCTCAGTAGAAGACTGACGTGTGGCGTCGGCCAACAAGGGTGCCAGCTCATTGGGGAGGTGCTGAATATCGCGTTTTAACGTAGCTATTTGTTCGCTGATACCTGTCGTTTGATCTAAAGTCATTGCTGCGCCCTCTTTGATCAAGTCCGTAATGGGCACCACCTGCAGACTACCAGGCTTGTCTACTGTAGATTGTGAAGGAGATCGGACCGGTAAACCATCCCCGATAACTCGCGGGGTCTCAGGAAGAGTCGGAGCAAGTGTTAGAGACGTCCCACTACGAGCGAAAGCACTCCTTGACCGCGAAGAGTATGTTTCGATCGATGCCGGCGATCTCGGTTGCGGGCTGGGTCCACCACTGCTCAACGGCGAGTCGCTCGAAAAGCCTTCGTCTTTGATCTTATGGATTTCCGCAAACGCACGACGAGCACGCGTAGACCGGATCTGAGCACCCCGTAAGTGCGGCAAGATAGTGTCACTACTCGCTGATCCTGGCGAACTCGTTTGATCAATCTGCGCCAACCGTTGTGTGACGACGGAAAGGTTTCCGAGCTTGGCAATGGAGGGACTTTTAGGACCAGGGCTCCGTGGTGATATTTGTGACGGAGGTCGTGGAGGCAAGAGAGACATGGGAGAACGATTCTGTAGTGAGTCGTGTAGACTGAAACGAGCCGGAGACTGAGTAGACAGGGGTGAACGATTCTGTGACGAGTCGTGTAGACTGAAACGAGCCGGAGACTGAGTAGACAGTGGTGATTTACTGCTCGGCGTCGGAGGAAGAGACTGCTCCGTCGTCAGCGAGGTCTCGGATTCAACACCACTAGACGAAGTGTATTCGGAGGAAGTATACTCTGATGCTGACGGAGGCTGCAAATAGTCTTGACCTTTACGCTGCAAATTGGTCTGTATCGTTAACGCCTGTACCCGTGTTGTTCCCTGAGACTGTCTTTGAAGTAATGTATCCCTGTGAAAGTTGTCGTATTAATCTGTATCACTAATTGTGTGTCATCATCATACCATATGGCGCTGACCCATCGTGCCCGTTCTTGACTCGACGATGCCGCAAATTTCTCTCTTCGACGACCCTCGAACAGAAGCTCGAACACCTTCGGCTCCGACTGGTCTGTTTGGGTCGGAAGAAGAGCCTTCTCATCAAGATCCAGTCGGTTCAGAGAAATAGAACGGACATCAGTGCAACCGTCTAGTGAAAGGACATGAGTCGAAGGATTGCCGTAAATAGTATACCATGTTATGACTATATGCAGGGTATGCAAGGTGACATCGCAGGACGTCCAGACGGGCAGGATAGTCGAAGTAGTGGAAGATGATGGCATGGAAAGATATAACAGCGCACCAGAGTGGAGTGTAGAGACTTTACCAGCTGACAGGACCACGGTACCTGTATCATGAGGGAGGGGAGCGCTCTCGGTGTATATTGAAGGGATCTGAGCCATGCTCGGTGCATCGACCACAACTATAGGGATGTCTTCTTCCTGGTCATCTCCGTCCTTTCCTTTCCTCCCCTTCTGGAAGACGGACAGGAAATTACGCAGCGAGGCACTCAGAGACCTTCTCTTGCCCTTGCCAACGGAGCGAGACAATGATACACCATGAAAACGGGCTGCGCTTGGTGGCCTACGAGCAGTTGACGGTTCCACCCTCGAAATGGACTCGTATCTGTCGATGAGCTGCTTGGCTGACTGACGTCGCTGAACAGTTGGGTGGTCATGAGAAAGAGAGAAGTAATGTTGTGCTGCATCGGCGCGGTATGATTGATCATGACTGAGAACAGGCAGGCTACCTGCGTCCATTCTCCTTGGACCAGCGACAGTCGTACCGAAGCTGCGCCTCATCGGTGCCGGGTTTGTAGATTCCACAGTTGTGCTAGTCCAGGCCACTGTTGGTGTGTGCATTGAGGACTCGAGAGGGCGCCGACGCAACAGTGGGCATTGCAAACCGTGACTCAGACGCGGAACAAGTGACCAGGAGGGAGCCAGGCCGTTTCATAATAACACGCACACACAGGCTGCTCAACATGGCAAGCACTGTCATGGTCCCAGGTCTGATACATAATCAATTGACGTCGGGCCTCTGTGGATAACTCATGGCTCGCAGGCAAACCACTACCTTCTAGTGATGGCATCAATTATCATCAATAGTCAGATCTACCCACTGCTGCGCCTCAAGTTGCCCACCAATTGACAGCAGCTCCAAGTCACTAGTACCGAGCTGATCAACCTGCTCCTGGGCGAAAATGATGATAATAAATAAAAGACCAACAAGCTAACACAAGTACTCGTGGTGGCGGAAACAGTACTATCACAACGGTCTCAGTATTAGTCGAGAAGGTATTACAAATCACACTTAATACAAGCGTATCATCATGTAGTTCAACGCTAAAACATAACGCAGTTTGAGCTACAGACTCTAGAGGACAGACTCAGACATTCACTGTATCCGACACTCGGAATTCCGCGACTGCTCCCGTGATATGACGGCCAAACCCGCGGAGGATTTAAGAGAATCGAGATGTCCGTTAACCTCGTCCCACTTCTTCTAGAAGAGCATCATGACGTTCCAGGTGTGTCGCCCATTTGTAACTGAATCAATGCGAGGGAGGATGGAGAAAATGATGCTAGCGACAACTTCAGCATTCGGGCTGCTACACTACACCGGGTCAAGTCCAATTGTTGTAGGGTGGTATGCTGGAATGTCTCGGTTGTAGGATCGGTCCATTGTATAAAGGGGTTCTTCCGTTTCTGTGGAATTTTAGCCGTGCCTCCTGAAGTTGGTGGGGATGAAGGAGAGAAAAAAGCCTCGCCAGCAGGTTTTGAACCTGCACTGGTACAGTCCAAGAGACAGATTTCGATTCTGTGATAGTGACCACTTTGGCCAAGGCAAAGTTGAGATGAACCTCTGAGGAACTGTCCATCAGTGAATCTTCAAGGCGTGTTCGGATAGAAAAAAACTCGTCGGCAGGTTTTGAACCTGCACTGGTAATGTGAGTCCAAGAGACAGATTTCGATTCCGTTGTAGTAACCACTTTGGCCAGGGCGAAGTTGAGATGAGCCTCTGAGGAACTGTCCATCAGTGAATCTTTAAGGCTTGTTCGGATGGAAAAAAACTCATTGGCAGGTTTTGAACGTGCACCGGCACAGTCCAAGAGACAGATTTGGATTATGTTGCAGTAACCACTTGTGACTTCAGTCAGGGCGAAGTTGCTCCGAGGATTTGGGCGTGTTCCGGTAGAAAAACAACCCTGTTGTTCGGCAGGTTTCGAACCTGCGTAGTCCAAGAGAAGCGGATTTTGATTCCGTTGTGATAACCACTTTGGCGAGGACGAAGTTGAGATGCACCTCCGAGAAACTGTCCATGATTGAATCTTCAAGGCGTGTTCCGATAGAAAAAAACGAACCTGTGAAGTACAAGAGAAACAAATTTTGATTTTGTTGTGTTAACCACCTCAAGTTGGGCCAGGACACTTCCTCGCCAAGTTTATTAGACGAACCTCCGAAGAACTGTCCCCGTCGACAGGTTTCGAATCCGCACCACAAGAGAGCAGAAATCTAATCTGTTCTGGTGCCAAACGGTTAGCTATGACTACCCTTGAAAAATTCATCCATGAGTGAATGTTCAAGGCGTGGTAGAAGGAAAAGATTGTTTGTCCTGTCACGTTTGGCTTAGCTGCTTAGCGCTAAGACTGGTCAAGATTATCTGATAGATACGAGTCGAAAAACATCATGCATTGACATGGGATTTACCAAAAATGAAATAAAAAGACTGTTTTGCGTTTACATAATAACGCGCAAGGCCGCACGCGGCAGAGCCCGCTACGGTCGCTTTTTTGAGCCGTCGTAACGTGAAATCGATTGGAAGTGCTACTAGTACAAATACAAATATCAAACAGGTCAACCCAGACGAGTCGCGAGAACGGTGAAAAGCTACAAGTATCGTACAGATCAACCTAGAACGAGCTGCGAGATGGAGGTGTGTACTATAAATGCAAAGTGAACTTTGGTGAATGCCACAAATATCGATAGGGTGAAATCGAGCCGCGAGATGAAGGCGAGATAGCTGTCAAAAATGCTATCATTGCAGAAAGCACGGCATCTTCATCACCACAAGATATATCAAGTTCTTGACGCACGGATTCACACCCCTCGAGCATTCGCGATAAAGGAGATCCACAGAATCCAGGATCCTGTCCCAACGTGCTGAGATATAGCTTGCCGTAGATCTTCCATAGATGAGTTTGAGGGTACCCGAAGGCCGTGAGCAACTGCCAATTCACTTAAAACTGATCTAGATAATTTTTCATACCCATCAAAAAAATTATCCACAACATGTCCATTAAACGTGCATGACGGAGATGACGTAGATAAGCCCGCTTGGGTAGCTGAAACTTTTTCTCGGTCTGTAACAATAGAAGACGACGGAGAGCAAAGATACGTGCACCGGCCCAAGAGCCTGAGGGCCTTTGGAGCCGAGAACCGTCGTACTTCGCATTGACAGACGCGAGCCAATCACGACCGAGTTCGACATCGCATCCACTCAGATAGACGGGTCGAAAGGTCTGTCGGGAATTGTACCATCCGTCCACAGTAGGAATGCGAACCGGCCCAAGAGCAGACTCTACAGCCATTCCATGATGATCGGAGACAGTTCGCAATCGTGCAGAAAAGACAACGACACGGTCGAATCAAGACTCGCATCATCGACACGAATAACAGCAGGGATGTCGGCAAAGGATCCGAAGACTTTATAAGAAGACATAGACATAAGTAGTCAAATCAAAGACTAAGAAATCAGATCAATGTGCGCAGGCGGAGCAAGCGTTCAGAACGGTGCGAAACAAACACCTCAAACAGACATGAGTCACATGATAAACATGTTTAGGACCGGAGTTAACTCATTTTTACGCCAAAAGTGAAAAGATGAGGTTTTTTGGAGGATGACACCGGCAAAACCCACTACTGACGTAGCGGGAATTCGATTCGGACACAAAACATGCCGGGAATAAGCGAGTCGGGGGCTGGCGCCGGCGCCGTCACGATATGACACTGGAGCTGCAGGACAAAAAGCCGGACAGCCGCGCCATACTCATAGGCGGGCTGGTCACCAGTCTACGCTATACTATGGAACCTACAGGTTGTCGATCGCATTAAAATCTCTTTAGAGGTGTACGGAGTCCTCAACTTGTGACTACCATTTTGGCGGGTGGTAAAACAGAGCGCGGCTGTCCGGCTTTCCATAATTATAATAATATATATATTGATGCTTGCAGGCATCACAGTGGTTGCAATTCTGCTAAATCTGTTGGACTTGGCAGAAGTGGTAGGATCCCTCTTTATGAATCTACTTTCGACAAGTGAATAATCGAGAGGAAGGCCTTTAGACTTAGGCAAATATTGCAGAGAGCCTGTAGTATATCTTGAGTTCTGCCATTCACTACGGGCCGGGTGGCGGCGAGGCCAATGTTACTTTTCCGTTTATATCCGTTATCACAGGCTTCGACATTAGTTGTGTTTTTATACTTAGTCAAGCTTAAAATTGCTCCCAATCAAACAAACTAGGCTGGTATCTGGTTACATTGCGTTCTACTTTGTGCCGCCATGTGCAGTCTAACCACCATCATGCGAGGCCTCCTTGCAACATCCACTGTGACAGCGGACTCTTATATCAATCACAACCTCATGGGCTGATTGCTGACAGCAATTTGTATGTCGATCAACCTCATGTCTGTCTGAGGATTGTGGGGAGGAGAAGCTGCGGCCCTAGGAGGATAAGAATATTCAAATTGGACTAGAGGGTGAATGATAGATGTTGGTCCTTTAATAACATTACCACACTCGTTTCCAAAGTCAATTCACTCACCGAGTGGCATGATAAAATGGCCGGCGGGAATGGTGGACTGGCGGGGAAGATATTCCTTACATCAGGGCATTCGCAGACTTGAGCGCATCAGGGACTGGCATCCTTTAGATTAGCATGTATCGTTCTTCATATTACTGCACAGGACAAAGATGATCGGATATGACCAGAGAGATGATATAAAGAGGACAGCGTGAGGTGTGAGCCCACGGAAAGCGAAGTCAGACGTCGCGTACAGTTTGATGGCTTTCAGTCGTAGCGAACGGCTGCTGTTACAGGTGCCTGAACCCAAGGGAGCAGTTCCAGTGCTCGCGTTCGTAGCGTCTGGGAAAGTAGAATCTGGGTCGGTGTCACGGGGGATATGTCAACTCACATGAGCCTGGCCAAGAGCGCGATCCAGGTAGTAACCCGTCCTTCTCGTGTACGAGTTTCCTACACGAATTTGCAAGATTGATATAGCAGTCACAAGATTCAGAGTCTCGAAACTGGAAGAGTCTGATGGCAATAGATCATATCGAGTCTGACGATTAGTAGATTCAGTACTATGCATTGCATTGCAGTGCGAATATACAATGAAGAGGGTAAGTGGGCTGTAGGGCAGAGTGAGACGTCTATCGTAATATAGATTGTGAGGCAGGTATGGAGCTAGTGTCCTGAGGGTTGTGGCTGGATAGTGTCCGGTACTGTGGACGTGACATAAAAGGCGCATAGGAAGTGAGGAGAAAGTATGACAGGGAGGTGAAAAATGAGTGAAGTAAGTGAAATAGTCAGTCAACTCAACAAAATCAGATGACACGACGTACGTTGCGGAAGCTGTGGTCGTGTACCCTCGCTGAACACACGGGAGAGAAGGACACCGACGCCCTCGAATACACCCAAAAGGATACCACACGCAATTGCAGATCCTAAAGCCGATTTTGGACCACCTGACGTCCGACGCATTAGAGTCAGAAATAAAGAAAGGAGTAAAGACAAACTCACTTCGTGCAGCCAAACATCCACCCGTCATAAACCCCGAAATAATAGCGTTCCAAGCATCCTCTTTTTGCCGCCAACCTTTCACAGCACAATCGAAAGTGGAGAACATGCCTCCCCAAACGCCGAAGTTACCACCCGTGACTGGGGCACGTGCTTTTATAGTAGATATGGCACCGACCAAACGTTCGCCCTGTGAGCGTCCACGTCAGTGACGTTTGTTCCAGTCGGACCAGGAAGAGAACGAGATAAAATAGTAAGACGGAGAACTGACCCTAGGGGAGTTTCGTGCGCCCTTGATACCGTGCCATATACCGCCACCGACAGCGCCCATAGCAAATGCGCCTCCAAAGTCATTCAATATGACCCATGGGCTTTACAAATCATCACCTGGACTGGTCAAATAATTGGTTTATTACGCACCATGGATCTCTTGTGTGGTCAGCATGAGACATGGTGAAGGGTCAAAAGGGAGCGGAGGGGGAAGGGAGTAAATGGATTATGGAAGTAGTGAGCTAGCTGAGGGGACTGCGTGACAGCTCGTCAGGATAAATTTCATTCCCACGACATTCGTCACAGCCACCGACTCAGGTAGTGCTTTCCCGGTCTGAATCCCGGATCTAGATCATCTACTCTTTCATGCCCAGGATAGCTCATGTCCCCAGTTGCTGGTTGCTCTCACTCTGTCGAGAATCGAACAGTGACTCTCGGCAGAAAATAATAGCAATTGATGGAAGAAAACGGCGTCAAAGATGAAGGAAATCGTATGCGCAAACACATCCAAATTCTCCGTGATTCGTGAAGCATATTTTAAAGGGAAGGTTCAATTCATTCCTAGTGAATGAACACGTATAGATCATTACATGTGGGATGAAACTATTGGAGTAAAAATTCCCATGCGACCGGTGACCTATGCCAGCTGTGAATTTTAGAGGCTGCGCAGTGCAAATCAATTAATTGTGATATCGTACCACGACGTGGACGTAGACGACAGACGCGCTAGTTCAGCCGCAGTCCAATTGTCAACGTTTGACGTCGACTAAAACGACATGGATATCTCGTGAGTGTGTTCATTCTCAATGATCTCACATCTAGAACGCTGATTCCGCTCAGTTCAATCCTTCAGGGTGGATACCAGCACCCCCTGTCGCGCTCATGGCAGGGTCGCAGGCAGCTCACAAAGTCCATGTTTATGTATCCCATCTTCATCACCGATGATCCAGATGCCAGCGTCGTTATATCTTCACTGCCCGGTCAACGCCGCTGGGGTGTCAACCAGCTCGAATCCTTCCTCGGCCCGTTGGTGAAGAAAGGACTGAAAAGCGTCATCCTCTTTGGTGTGCCTTTGAATTGTGAAAAGGTGAGCTTTCGTCCGGTGAAACTGCGTGCGGTGGCCTTATAGATCTTGCAGGATGGCCGTGGCACCCCAGCAGACGATCCATCTGGACCCGTCATCCAAGCTATCAAAAAGATCAGACTCTTATTTCCATCATTGTACATCGCCTGTGATGTCTGTCTGTGCGAGTACACCTCACATGGGCACTGCGGTCTTCTCCATGCTGACGGCACCATCAACACCAAGCCATCCGTCCTACGTCTCGCAGGAGTGTCCGTCAGCTACGCCAAGGCCGGCGCCCATTGCGTAGCTCCCAGCGATATGATGGATGGACGCATCAAGGCCATCAAGCAGGCACTCATTGATGCTGACTTAGCCAGCAAATGCACCCTTATGAGCTATTCAGCCAAGTTCGCGAGCGCACTGTACGGCCCCTTTCGCGATGCTGCCGGAAGCGCGCCATCCTTCGGGGACCGCAAATGCTACCAACTCCCTCCTACTGCCAAGGGACTCGCACGGCGTGCAATAGTAAGTCCGGCCCTCCGTCTCTTACACAACGCGCTACTGATCGTCGTGTTTTTTTAGCAACGAGATATGGCGGAAGGCGCAGACATCATCATGGTAAAACCCGCGCTTCCGTATCTCGACATCATCTCGGATGCTGCACAGCTCGCACCGGACCATCCCCTTGCTTGCTATCAAGTCAGCGGCGAATTTGCGATGGTTCATGCTGGTGCTGCTGCGGGCGTCTACGATCTCAAAACCATGGCATTCGAGACCACGGAGAGTATGGTCCGGGCAGGTGAGAACATGGGTATTGGCTTTTCGGTGCTCTGACATAATTTCGTTAAGGTGCTACCCTGATCCTATCTTACTTCACGCCGGACTTCTTGGACTGGTTGGAGGTGTAAAAATGATGATCAATACTGCAAAACGCTTTAAGAGATCGAAGGAACTAAAATGCATTTTTTATTCGATTAACTGTAATGCTGACTCACTGTAGGTGGAATATATATCTTGTCAGCTGCTCATACTTTAAGCCTCGGTTCACTTCAGAATGATACACTAGGTAGTGCACTATCAACGCGTCTGAGCCTTTTGTCAACGTGCATTTGGAGATTCTCCCCTGCGCTTCTATGCTAGAGAAGCACAGGCCTGTGAACTGCCTTATAAAGGTGTAATTCCAAAGAGTCACCTCGCGTCTCTTTTCTCTTCCCCCTTCTCTATGTGACGCCCTTATATTTTGCTTGCCCTTCCCTTCCATCTGTTCGTATTCCGTCTCCCATCGATGTTGCTCTCGGACGTATACAGGCGGTAAGCCAGCTTATCCAGTGATGGTGACTTGGCAACATCATCGGATGCGCTGGTTTACCGCAGGCGCCAGCATCCACCATTGTCGATTCTCGATGACGGGTATGATGCTATGAACCAGTGCAGACTTGATAAGTCGCACGAGGGTCAAGTGGAGCTTCGCCACACTGGATTTGAACTCTAATCTTCGTTCAATTCAGATAGTCAAGAGCACAGGGTTACAATTACCGGGTAATCTTGACCCTAATTTAATTTGACCCTAAAACACGCACTGCTACCGACCCCCAGGCCTGGCTGGACCTTGTATCTAATAGTATTTGAGATTACACAACACAGTCGCCATAACTAAGTATAAGCTAGATAGGCTCATCATTGTAGAAGGTGCAGTTAAAAGGAAAGTCGTAGGATAGTTGGTACGCCCCATATGCTGGCCGAAGATTATGGAGGTCATAAGTGTATGTGAATATCATATATATATCCGATGTCTGCCAAGACAACAAGATATCACCGTACCGTAGGTATCGCAGGAAGCTCCGTTAAGATGTAACCAAGTTGCTCCCGTTCGCGGATGGACTTCCTAGCATTGAGCCTGATCACCGATTTAGCACCTTAGTGAGCTTCGCGCACAGAAACGATCTCACTCACACCGTCATCATCGAGTTCATATAGGCTATGACGAGGGTTTTAGTGTATTCACAGCGCAAAGGAAACACACTGACATTTCGCTAGCACCGCTCCGGGAGCAGCGGTATAGAACTGTCCCATAAGACCATCTTGAAACATATACTGAAACAGTCTTGATCTCTTGTCTTGCAAGCATGGACGACAACAACTTACCACCACAACCACGGTGATTGCTAAAATGCTAGGAAACATATGGAGTGGAATATACAACAGGTGTGGAGGATTGCACATACCACGAAAATAAACCCATGTTGATACAAATCCACATCATATCACTGATATAATTTCTTGATTTTCTCCTTCCATCACAGAATCCGGCATGAGTCGGACAACAAGCAAAGCAGAGACCACGCACCGAATATGTCCCGTTCGTGCTGGTCGCATGAACAACCATATGGACCCTGTGATGACAGAATCACATAATGCGCTGGTAAATGTCGATATTGGCGACCACTGATTCGAGGTATGGATTCGTTAGGGTTATCGAAAGTTATCATATGACTGGCCGGACCTTCGTGCTGAATATGAATTCAGCGCTTCTCGTGTATAATCTTTGACGCCTAAGTGAGGGACAGTATAAGCTCGATGATCAAGCACTCACGCTAAACCACAGATGGCTAGAAACCAAGACGACGACAAATCAGAACAGTGGCACCAGAGTTAAAAGATTAATGTAACTCATGCCGCAAAACTATAGCGTTCTAAAGTCAGAGAGGTTACATGACTGATCAAAAGAACTGACCAAACGATACAGTAATGAGCACGCACTGATGGTCTGTGTCATCATGATGGCTCTCCACGAAAGAAATAATGAAAACGTGATCTCACAATTATCCCTGTAATCCAGTGATTGTTGCCCGTGACTAAAAGAACACATTGAGACCCTTGCTCTCGCAGATCCTGAAGGACTCACTTATCCACACCCTGTACGCATAGAAACTGTGTTGTTGAAACAAATAAGCATCGTCCCGAGGGCTAGTCACTGGGAGACACATACCACTGGACGAAGAAAATGATCGAATACTGATAATTTGTTACTAGACATCATGAACGACCAAACATGGTGGACTTACTGACACAAATAGTCCCAGCTTCGTCGCCAATGATCATTATACCGTACACTACAATAACACAGATGTACTTGCCAGCATCTGCCTATTCTCCGGAGTCCCAATGAGCCCGCTTAGGATCCAGGAACAAGTCTATCGACTTACCAGGGGAATGTAGTCGTACACTCGAGGGACGTGCTACGTCGGCACGAAATGAAGATAGACCAGTATATCCCTGTCATCGCGTATTGGTGCATTGTGTCGAAAAGACTGACACCGTTATGGTATCAGCATACACTCAAGATTGTGCGAAGCACCCACAAGGCTGTCATTATCTAGTGATGAAAGATGTCATTGGTGATATTTTCATGAATGTAAAAAGTTGTGCTCACGAATAACTTGAGTCTTTTCGGATCTTGTGGAAAAGATCGCAGGTAGAACATATACTGCCCAAAGGATATCCCATAGAGCCTTTACAATTCTGCAAGTCAATCTTAGATAGAGATGAGTGACGCGAGTCCATACGCTGTAGCTATGATGTATCCTTGGCCTAGAGTCAGCTGCGAGGTAAGGTGAATCACCGGAATGCTCACCAATGAATCCCGGCCCCCACATACCCTCAATGGAATTGGGCGCCATGAGACACGAAGGGAAAACAAAGAAGAAAGAGAGTGAACTGAAGTAGACGTTGTACCTGCAAGACTCTTTTATGCCTTTATATTCACGCATTATCTTCAATGAACCAATGCGCTTGGCACTGCGGCAATCATGACAGCATAAGACTAAATACATTCCGAGCTTTACCCGCCGAGTCTCCCGGCCCATCAACTATTAGTACTTAAACAGACGAAATGGAACGAAGACTAGCCTTGCTTCGACGGTGTTTGGTAACCCTTTATCATCATTCGGACCTTTCTCGGTTCCTTCGAACAACTTCAAACCCTGAGCAAATAAAGTCTGGACACCCTCACGTCATTCACAATGAAAAGACCCCAGACTCTGCTCAACATCTTCGCTTCAAGTTAATATTGCAGCCATCACCGCCGAGCTGTACAATCCTCACCTATGTATCCCCACTGCCGGCTCCCAACCACTACCGTCTTTTCTTCGTTAATATCTCACCTTCGTTACTTGACAACTTTCGTTAGGATGTTGTTATTTGTATCCTAGCATGTAGCACATCAATTAAGTACAACTGTATGATGGATAATCTGATATAAGTGCGCGTGTCCGACTAACGTAAAATAAAGCGCGCCTTGAGTTTTGGAGCGGGGCGAGAGCAGCGAAAGTTATGGAAGAATGGAGTTTCGTGCGATGAAGTGAATATTCAATAAAATGGGAGGCTTTACTTGTGAGTTAGAAGAAGGGGGGGGGGTACTCTGGACAAGCAAAAATATGGGTAATGAAGAGCACACAGCCACGAAGCCTGCTCATGGCCGTAAAATGGGTCAGAGTGTTGGAGCGGTGTATCCGTGACTGTGTGCCTGCGTGTCGCGAGCAAGGCAAGAAGTGGTGAAGAGCACTGCGCTACGACAAAGCCCCACATCTATCATATCGTATCTCTGAGCATATCAGCATCTTACCGACATCAGGAAAACGTAATTCGTTACAGAGTGCTACAGAGCGCTCTGTAGCGCTCTGTAGCACAATTGAACCCACTGATGGATGGCAAAGATAACCAAGCTGGATTTATATCAGCCAGATATGGTGCGTAATATTGGTGTTCAGGATCTCCACCAATCGCGTGAGTGCGCTACTGAGGTCGTAAGCATTCATAAGTGTCCGTAACGCGCGTAATTATATAAGTTGAGCGTTCATTTCAGTGGTTTTGCAGATGTAGAGCGCTTCAGAGCGATCCAGGCTAGGTCTAGAATGCTCTAGCCAGGTCTAGGATCTGCTTTTGATTGGAATTTTGCAAAAGGTAAAATGTCCAAACCTCCGATGTGCCAGTCTTTCATTAGTCTGGATAAACCGGAGCGAGCGTCGAAAATCGTCTCCTTGGAGACGTGTGTGGGGCAGTGCCCACGCTCACGGTGCTAACTGTCGTGTTCTTAATCCACCCAGGCACTTGCACGTGGTCTGGACGGTTTTCGTGAGCCATTCTGGGTATGGAAGAGAATTGTATGGAGAGGAATAAACAAAAGGCGTGAGAGCGGGATAAGACACATTGTTCCAGTAGTCTGCGACTGTGATGATTGATGAGGTGGGGAGGGACGATGATGATATTGGATGAGAGGTGTGGCGGTGAAGGATGCGGAGGATGTTCGAGAAAGCTGTGTGAGTGATAGACATACGATGTGAATTAAACTGAGTACCGTGGTCGTCCAGCAAATCGGGGACGAACCATTCGCTTTTCTCGCGGCAGATGTCTTCCGGATTATAGTCGAAGGACGGGGAGTTCTTATGGTCATCTCCCCGTCTGAAGGTTCTTCTGGGGTTGAAGCGGTTTTGTCTGGTAGAGAGGATATCTGTCGCCTCAATTTGCACGTCTGTTTTCCAGTCTTCTGCAATCGGAGACGAGGGGAGAGACATGGGCAGTGAAGAGGTAGAGACGCAGGATGCCATGAACTCCTTGCCTTGAAACTTGAGACAAACAACACGTTGTTTTGCAATGATGGAACAAGCTCTTGCAAGAGACTCTGCGCCACGAAGCGCGTGTAATGATGTCAGCTGAAAATAATGCAAAGGGGTCCCGCCCTGGTAGCTTGGAGGTGAGCACGCAATGCGGTAACTTACTGTATACAATTCAAAAGACGAACGGATGAATCCTTGCAGAGACAGCGTGCCATGATTTATGACTATCCATTGACCTTTCCATTCGACCTCAGCTTTTCTCCACTTCTTTTTGGGTTGCAAGGGAGTCTGAATAGTAGATATCTTGCCTCTGCTTCTTGCGTTTAACCTATTGCCGGTGGCTGCAGGAGATTCGAATTGGCCTGACTTTACACTCCATACTGCACGGAGGGCCCTAGCTTTAGACTCGAAGTAGGGTTGGACATACTCCGACATGATTTCTCTTGGTAACTGGACGACCTTTCCTGGTGGTGCATCTCTAGAAGTTTTCAAGGCCGAAGGATAGGGCATAATCATCTTCTAAAATTGTTCCAGTTGAGAAGGGGATAAGGGTATATACTGGTCAGTGACTGGACTACTGCCAGGTTGAATGATGTGTGAAGCAGATGCGGTTGATGTCTTTCCAGGTCGACGAGAATATAGTCTGACGCCTGAGTTCTGGGTGGCGATAGCAAAAGTCGTCAAAGTCATCCGAGCCCTGGTCATACTCGTCATCCTCGGTATAACCGTCGTCCATGCTATGGATTGAGGTGCGTGTCCTGATGCTGGAAGCAAACGTGATAGGAATAACTGGGCGCTGAGCGCTGAGCAGGGAGATGGGGCGTTTGGATGATATTTCGTTTGGAAAGTATCCAATGCTTGACCTGTGACTTTCTGGGTGCGTGAGATTTGCAGGAGACGTGCTTCATATCATTCTTACGAACTTGAAACATTTTGACCGCGCACCGAATCTGCATGCTACCGCCAGTAATGGGCGACAGTTTTCTGATTGGTCAAATCGCAGATGGATGGGTATGATGCTATGAACCAATGCAGACTGAGCTTCACCGTGACCGTGACCACACTGGATTTGAACTCTGATCTTTGTTCAATTCAAGAGCACAGTCAAAAGTCAAAACTATATGATCGGTAAGCTTTGTTCAAGTCTTAATCTCATTTTTGTGCGGGAAGACGTCTCGCTATGTCCGGGGGAATTGCATTCACTAGTACCATGCCATACCAGTATCCAAATTCCAATCAACGTCGAGAGTAATTCTCTGAGTAAATAATGATGCGGATCATACTAGACAATGTCTACTGCTTTACCCTGATATCGGCCGAATCAACGATACCAGACCCAGGTAGAATACTTGGGATGTGAATACTATCCTGCAGTCATCTCGCTGGTCAGTGGTCATTATGCAGAGCTCGATACTTACAAGTTAATCGGTCAAATCGCCATGTTTCCATATTCTGTCGAAGCTGGCTCGAATAAGAAACCCGTGTACACGGTGTACGAGCCAAAGTGGAATCATGTGACCAAAGCAATAAAGACAATTGTTTATTGTACGCGTCTTTTCCGATAGAACCACGATCATCATCATCAATGGCAGGTCAACCAAAGGGCATCGTAAGGCGTCTATCTCAAGTCTTTGTCGAAATTCCTTCTTCCGCATTGCATAAGCCTAGTATACCAGCTACTAGCAACACCACGCATACTGTGTCCGGCCGCAAAGAAAACGCGTTGCGTGCATCCATCTCTCAAAACACCATCATGAACAAGTCGCCCAAACGCAAATCGGACGAAACTCTTGACAAGCTGGTAAAGAAATCGAAGGTTGACACTACAGTTATCAAGCCAACCGCTACGCGTCGTCCCCTCCCGAACGCTACCCCCGACTTCCCAAACGGCTTTGTTTATTGTCATCAATGTAGCAAGAAGCGCGATGCAGCTCTCGCCATCCAATGCACGCGTGAAGACGCGAAATCTAAGCGACGGTGCAACACCAAGTACTGCGGCCCCTGTCTCAAGAACCGCTATGGATTCACGCTTCAGGATATCTTGTCCACCAGTACTGTCCCGGCAGCCGAGAAAAAACGCCATGTATCGGGCGAGGGGTACTTTTTTAGGTGTGTTGTGATTCTAATACTCGCATTTGCGATTAGCACTGACTATATGCGTGGTTTTCCGTCTTTACTTGCACTCATTTAGGTGCCCCCGATGCGAGGAGACTTGTAACTGCGTTCACTGCAGAAAGGCAAAGGGCCTTCAGCCCACGGGGTGCGTACCACGCGTTACACCACGACTTCACTAATTTTATCCCTGTATAGGAACCTCACCGTCGCAGCGCGTAAATCAGGGCTCCAGTCAGCCGCAGAACTTCTTATGCAGGATCCAACTGCGGCTGTATGTGTCTATATCAGTCCTAACCTCCTAATATTGACAAATGCACAGGACCCGATGGCAGGAAAAGCTGTCGCTGAGAAGAAGTCAAGAACAGCCAGATCTGCGCTCCAGGGTACTGCAAGTGCAACCAGTAACTCCAAGTCCAGATCCACCAAGAATCCTGCACATATATCCACTCCTGCACCTCTTCCAGCCCCGAAGCCCCTTCCCAAGTTCTCTGGACACCGGTCCGTACTCATCTCTCCCTACAGGGAGCGGAAGCCCGTATCTACATCCGTGAATTTGCACTTCGTTTTCTCCCCCTGTCACGCTCACACCACGACGAGCTCGAGGTTCTTTCCCGCTCTCAACGAGATTTTGACGAGGAGGAGGAGGAGGATGGCGATTTAGAAATTTGGGTCTCAGAGGGATGCGTGAAAGCACTACTGATTGCATTGTTAGGCATGATAGAAGTAGACGCCAAGGTGCGTTCCAGTCTTCTCCGTCTCCTCTTGTCCACTCACTATCCTGATTCCCCCGACAGATCCTTTCCACAACAGCCAACGCGCTCCATCAACAGGCGTTCCTCTTCAAGATCGTTAACACCCTAAGCACCTTGAGCACACTCCCTTCCCTCGCTCTCCCGTCTCCTACACCCGCCCCTGAGCACCTCCTTCAGAACGCGCCGACCATTAGAACCCGTTCCGCCCGCACTTCGTCTCATGCCAAAGAAATGGGCAAGGAGGCAGACTGGCCCGAAGTAGTTCGCACCTCACAACTCATACCTATTGTCAGCGTCCTTGTAGACCACGCATCACAAGGACAGGCGATCAGGGATGCATTAGAGGAAGGCGCAAAAGACGCAAAAGAATTGACAAGGGAAAGTCTAGAGATGAAGCGAGCTCTTGATCGGGCTGAGAAAGAGAGAAAGGAGAAGGAGAAAGCGGAGAAGGAGCGGAAGGCTAAGGATACGAAAGCGCAGGCCAAAGATAAGAAGGCGAAGGGAAGGGAAAGCAGGCGCCAGTGCCAAGGAGAAGGAGAAAGGCGGCGCCAATGTCCAGGAAAAAGAGAAGGATGCGAAGGGCTTAGAGGACACACCGACGCATACACTGACCCCTCAGACGGCCTTGACCATTGCCTTATCCTCCTGCGCCCAACGCATCATACCACTAGGTCGGGACTCAGAAGGCAGGGTATATTGGGCTCTGACGCCAGGACGAGGAGAGAGAGATAATTCACGCGAGTACCTTACCTCCAATATTGAAGTTGGGGAACGGGACGAAGGCGCCAGGACTAAGAGCCATAAAGCCAAGTCGAGGTCACCATGGACTCCCCCCTCCCTTTCAGAACGTGCATCAAACAGACGATGGAGCTGGTTCATAGCTGTGTGGGGCGTGCGGCCTGGCATTGAAGAGAGAATAGATCCGCCAAAGGATGAGGACTGCTCAGAAGATGATTCCGAGTCTGAGTCTGACCTTGATTCTGAATCGGATGAGGACGAAGACAAGAGCAAGAGGTCACAGAAGAAGACCGAACGTCCCAGATGGTATGCCTTCTCAGATCCTGCAGAAATTTTCAAGCTTGCGGAGTGGGTCGAGCGGAAAGCTGGACTTGAATCGCGTTCCAGTTCCTCGGAAAAGTCAAAACCGCGACCTGTATCAGCCTTACCTTTTCGTGCAGCATCTGCATCGCTGTCCCATGCGATCTTGTCTTCAAACACCCACACGTCGGCATCCACTTCCACTGCAGCTTCATCCTTTGATTCGTCCTCCAATAAACTTAACAAAGCCTCAAAAATTGCCGCCTCGCTCTTAGTTGATGAGGAAATGGTTTCGTCATCCGAGGCCGACGAATTTGAGTCCAGCAATGAAGACCAGACCGAGGATGGTGGTGACAAGCGGGATGATGACATGGATGTGGATTCACCCATAGACTTCGATGACACGCCCCGTGTGCTGCAGCTCCAGTCACTTGTTCGTGAACTCCGAGCGTATGCTGTGCTATTGAAGAATCGAGCGTAAGCATAGGCTGGGGTGTTTTTTGGACCGCCTACGCACCATTTCGCCTGCCCTCCAACTGACTTTGGACATCCACCGTCGCTTCATCTCCCCCTGTAACATGCCTCGTTTGTCTCCATTTTATAATTGGTCGGTGTCTTACCTTTACCCCATTACAGCTAATTGGCTACTTTGTTGCCTTGCTCGACCATTTGTCCCCATTCATTATACCTTACGAGATTCCGCATCTGCTGCCCTCTTTCCACCGCTATCGTCTTTTCGTTAATTTATTGACTTTCCATTGCCTAGCATAGACAACGATACACCTGATTATATTTTACATTGCACAGACTTGGGTGTGTTGATCGGTAGACTCATTTTTTCTGTTCACGTTTATACATAGAATATCGATAGCTATCCCGCCACATAGTGTCGGGCGATGTTGACGCATAATACCTTACTTAGGGACTTAAACAAGTTTGGAACATTGAGAACCTTCGATATGACCAGGCGCCTGAATACTTGCTAGGTTTGACTACAGGAACCCGTCATGATTTAGCGAAAAGCCTAAAACTGTTTGACAAGGCTGCCACTCCTGTCATTTGTTCCCGACCGGCCGTGACAACGGAGGTGACCTGGCATAACCTTGCAAGACAAAGTTATATAGTACGGTAGTACCCTGCCTGCCAGTGTTCGGCGACGGTCATGATTTCACGCTGCGCGCTGATTGGATGGAGCATGCTAATCAAGCGTAAAGCCTAGCACTTACCACCCTTGGCAGCACTTTTTAGAGCTTGTCAAGGTCTGTTAGACCCGGTTTCCATGTAGGACAAAACACATCTCTGAGACAACCCTCTCGCAAGAGGGTCTCCCTCAAATCCTCAAGAGTCACCAGAATACCCTTGTAGGCCTCGTTGGAGGGGTTGGTTCTGGTCGTCTCATGTGGTTCTAGAGAGCCTTTAGCGTGTTATTTTATGTTCCGCTGCCTCGAGATCATCATATTGTAGGTCCCGCTGCCCTCAAGATAACCTAGAGCCTCTGGTGCTCCTCGCGCATGACTCATGTTTTACCCCCCGTGTTTCTACTTACACCTATTTCATTTCTCGCATGTTTTCTCTACTTACATTATGTTTTTTCCGTTGTAGGTTGTCATTCTAATAAGTATATATCACACTGCTGTATCATTGTTCTTAAGATTCAGGTGTTTTCAAATGTGTCCTGACGCAAATCGAGAGCAGGCATTGAGAGCCGCTATACTGACATTGTCAAAACAAGGAGAAGTCAAACAATAAGTCCATAGTAACATAAGTAGGGGTACGAAAGGGACAGGGCAATATGAGCGCAGGATGAGTTGGAATGAGCAAACCATCATCCGCAGCACGAGACGAGGAGCAAAAGTAGCATCCAAAAAACACGAGCGTACGCAAATTGAAATACAATTAAGATGAAGGGGGGCGAGGAGGGTTAACTGGATTCTTAGACTAAATGATCGTGCCACATTGGTCATGAGGAACATAGTCCAAAGGCACAGTATCGCGGATGT